GCAGCCAGAAATTTTGCTAGGGGTACTTTCACCAAAAGATAGGCGACCAGGGGCTGAAACACCAACTGAGCGAGATATATCGATCCTCCCAGCCAGGAGTACTGTTGGCCATGGAGATGAGCTTTCTCGACGATTCCAAAAACCGAGGCGTAAGAGATGGTCGACTTGTCGAGTTGCTGGAGGAAGTAGATTCCGAGGAGAATGGGAAGAAGACGCAGATCGATCTTTCGAAGAACTTTGGCGTTGTTCTCAGGGGTCAGAATGTTTGAATGCCCTGCCTCTTCGATGAGCTGCAAAGCCTGATCTCCTTTGGGCTGACTTCCTGTAGTATTATTATGAGGAGGCACGGCCCGTGAAAGCTCAGGCTCAATAGTCTCCACGAACTCCTCCTGTTGGCCCTTTGGCTGTGACATTGCTAATCACTCGCAGAGGCACAATGAGAAATAATAACAGACCAAGTGGCTATAGGAGGAGAATAAGTCGAATTGGAAGGCAAAGGACAAAATAGAGCTTGGATATATATAGTGCAGGTTGTATGCAGAAACCCCGTGGGGAAGGAAGTATAATACATTCCCCAGACAACACAATCAAACCCGAAGTGTCACATCACAAACGGTAAAGATTTATCCTTTTTAGCCACGAACATAGTTTCCGATGAAACTTTGTACAGTCCACGCGGTCAGTTGATCTGGAAACAAACGGGAAGACACGTTGCTACCTGTGGCCGACGTCGGATGTTTGATCCAATCATTTCACTAAGATAACTACCGTGAGAGGGGCGATGAGAAGAATATGAGTTATGAGAAATGCCGAGAAATCGTTAGTATCGGGTTTCGGTGAGAAAAACCGATAGAAAAATTAGCGTAGGATCGACCTTCTGGGGCCCCAGGATGTCTGTGTGGGGAAAAAACACGGCAATTCGGAGCGTTGCGGCAGAATCAAGTCAGGACTGGCCCTCTCACAACCTCCCGTCTCCGCTTCTCGGTGATTATCCCCGATCTCCGATTCTGTACAGGTACAATGCATGATTGGAACAGCGCGGGGTATAGGATGAGACAGGACCGAGGGGAGCTCGACAAGCATTCAAATATGCCGCCATATCAGGGAATATCCTGGTATTCTCTCCAGTTCCCCTGAATCAATTGCATTGTCTTTCACATTCATCATGCCTCAGAAGGAAAGCTGCCCCAAGGGCTACTCGCAAGTGCCCCAGCCCACCAATCAAGAAGCTTCCGTCCACATTCGAAGCAGCACAAAGAGCAAGAGTACCTTCGATTTCACCTTCGAGGCTGTTCGTCCCAACCTATTCCGAGCCACTTTCTCCTCCACAGAGCACCCTATCCCTCCGTATCCTAGTGTCGCCAAGCCCGAGACCAACCTCCAAGGCGCCAACGTCTTCACCAAGGAGGGTGCCTCCTCCAAAACAATCAATGTCGCCGGTGTCACTGCTTCCGTAGACTGGGAACACACCCCTGTGGTGAAACTGTCATGGGCTGGCTCCGAGAAGCCTCTGCATGAGGATTTGCCGCTGCGGTCTTATGTCGCCGACGGCGAGGGTGTCGCCAACTACTCCGTGCATGACCGCGAATGCCTCCATGTTGGACTCGGCGAGAAGGCGGCTCCCATGGATTTGACTGGTCGTCAATTCCAACTCTCGGCCACAGACTCTTTTGGATATGATGTATATAACACCGATCCCCTTTACAAACACATCCCGCTCCTGATCAAGGCTTCTGCCGAGGGATGTGTGGCTATCTTCTCGACGACTCATGGCCGAGGTCTGTGGTCTGTGGGGGCCGAGATCGATGGTCTCTGGGGATACTTCAAGGTTTACCGTCAGGACTATGGTGGGATTGAGCAATACTACATTGTTGGCAAGACCATCAAGGATGTTGTCCGCTCGTATGCCGAGTTGGTCGGCTTCCCTATTTTGGTGCCCCGCTGGGCTTACGGCTATATCTCCGGTGGCTACAAGTACACCATGCTAGATGAACCGCAAAAGGCCCATTTAGCCCTTCTGGAATTTGCGGAAAAGCTCAAGCAGCATGGGATTCCCTGCTCCGCCCACCAAATGAGTTCGGGCTATTCCATTGCTGAGACTGAGCCCAAGGTTCGCAACGTCTTTACATGGAACCGGGAACGCTTCCCAGATCCCCAAGACTGGATTTCCAAGATGCACCAGTACGGTATACGACTTCTCACGAACATCAAGCCTTTCCTGTTGGCTTCTCACCCCGACTTCCAGAAGCTCGTTGATGCCGGTGGCTTCTTCAGGGATGCCGAGAAGGAGCCTGGTTACATGCGGCTGTGGAGTGCTGGTGGTGCTACTGGCGGTGACGGTGCCCACATTGATTTCACTTCAGCGGAGGCCTTCAAGTGGTGGTACGACGGCGTCCAGAGTCTGAAAAGGGTTGGCATTGACGGTATGTGGAACGATAACAACGAATACACCTTACCCGATGATGACTGGACCATGTCTCTCAATGAGCCCACCGTCGCCGACGCCGTAGCAAAGAAGGTCAAGAACTCTGTCGGTCTCTGGGGTCGTGCGCTACACACCGAGTTGATGGGTAAATCTTCCCACGATGCTCTGCAAGATATGGAACCCAAGCTGCGTCCCTTTGTCCTGACCCGCAGTGCTACCGCTGGAACTCTACGCTACGCTGCATCATCCTGGAGTGGCGATAACGTAACCAGCTGGGAAAATATGAAGGGCGCTAATGCCCTATCACTTAACGCCGGTATGTCCCTTCTTCAATGCGAAGGCCACGACATCGGCGGGTTCGAAGGCCCCCAACCCTCCCCAGAGCTCCTCCTCCGCTGGATCCAACTCGGCTGCCACGCTCCCCGTTTCGCAATCAACTGCTTCAAAACTTCTCCCAAAGACTCTTCCGTCGGTGACGTCATCGAGCCTTTTATGTACCCCGAGATCACGCCTCAGGTTCGCGCCGCCATTAAGCGTCGCTACGAAATGCTGCCCTACATCTACTCCCTTGGTTTGGAGAGCCACAAATTCGCAACGCCGCCGCAGCGCTGGACCGGCTGGGGATACGAGTCTGATCCGGAGGTGTGGACCAAAACACTCAAGGCAGGGGAGGACCAGTTCTGGTTCGGAGAGACCTTGCTCGTTGGTGGAGTATACAAAACAGGCGTTGACGTCGCGAACGTCTACCTTCCCCGCAAATCAGGTGTCTTCGACTACGGCTACGTCAACGTGAATGCCCCGTACCAGTACCTTGCATCCGGGCAGTGGGCCGAGATCTCGTCGGAATGGCAGAAGAGCATTGCGCTCATTGCGCGTGTTGGTGGTGCCATTCCCGTCGGCAAGAGCGTGCACACCCGTGTTCCTGGCGATGAGACCGCTGCATCAGTGGCCGTTCAGGATATCGACGATTACCGTGGCGTGGAAGTATTCCCACCCAAGGGAACTTCGCACGGTACGGTCTTTGCTACGACTTGGTATGAAGATGATGGTATCTCGGTTCGACCTGGTACCGCTACATACACAGTTAGCTATAGCTCTACTGAGGAGAAAGTGCTAGTTAGGTTTGAGCGTGATGAGGCTGGCTTTGCTCCTGCTTGGAAGGATTTGGATATTATTTTGCATAACGGGGATCAGCGTCGGGTTGTCTCAAGTACTGGTGATGAGATCGTGCTTAAGGGTACAGACTCGCGTGGTCGTGTTGTGTATACCCTTCAGGCCTAGGTCTTTGAGATTTGTACATAGACACTGGGGTATGGATATACCGGATTAGATTGAGAATAGATGAATTTGCATGGGTTTCTGGTATTTCTAATGTGGATTCTACTAGCATTGAAGCAATCGGAGCGAACCACGTACAAGATAGGAGAGAGATATACGTTTAAAGACCTTTTGAATTGCGTATACCGCGGGGGAATGATTTTAATTTTTTTTGTAACCCATTCGGAGTACCAATTGCATCCCAGGAATCTATCAGAGTACTGCAACACCACCCTAGTCTTATACTTTATGACCAAGGTCGGAAACAATACTCACTGGCCATTCCTTATCACACAACCGATTTGTCGCCTGAGAGTTATTTAAGCATGTCGCCTCCTAGTGAACCTTCTTCTGTACTTTTCCTACCATTTCAGACCTGCCCGGTACTATCTATCATAGCAGTATCTTGTTGTTACCTATGCTCACATATGATCTTTAGGTTTTGACCGTGTTCAGAAAGTTTGTCCTTGTGCCTCCTTAGGCACAATGAATCTTTAGTTTGTGCACTTTGATCTTGCTCGTCTCCTGTATTCAACCTTACTTCGCTAACCTGCTTCCGTAAATCTTGATATCCTCCCATATCTCAGTCCAGGAGTAGGGATGCCTCCCTTGAGAATGTTGGCACTATCAATATCTCTACTGCCACCATCCCCCGGATGGACGACTCGGCTGCGCTATCCTGACACCGCTAACAAAACGAGCAACGCGGCAAAATTTCACACTCTGATAAACAACCGGTCAAGAGGTAAGAACGACCTTGTATCACGGTAATCGATCATATTTCCTGACATTCTTGCTTGTTATCTGTCAATCTTCCATCATATTCCTTTTGTACAAGGATGATTTTGTACGTTATCTTAGAGTCGATTTTACAGCTGCCAATTGTGTCTAAACCTTTCCCAATTGGGTATCAAAGGGCCGTTAGTTGGATAGGGAAAGTGCAGTATGAATTAATTTTTACATATGTCTATTCTCAATCAGTTCACGCTAAAGTAAAAACCTTTTCCGCCGCTTAACGTCACCAGAGCTATAATATTGTCGTTGAAATCTGTGTGGAGGTAAAAATCAAAGTAGTTTGGAGACTTTCAACTCCAAAGTGGGGCTTGTGTGGAGCCTCATATGGCTCTGCAACCCTCTAGTAGCTTGACGAGATATTTCAAGATCTTCCCGAGGTCTTTTTGATTCCTGTTTATCTCCCAATATTTTCATTGTCCATAACTCATTTTTACACCCGGCACGCAAACTTCATTCTCGAATTATGGCCCAGAAATATATCCCTTCGACCATGAAGGCGTTGAGGTTGATCAAGGTATGCCCTTACGGATTCTAAATGTCCAAGCACATGGCAAACGTCGAATCTGAACCTCAGCTAATAATCAATCAGTACAATGAAAATTACCAACTTCGCACGGATGTGCCAGTCCCTGCTCCTGGCCCAGGAGAGCTCCTAATCCGCGTGGCTGCGGCGGGATTTTGCCACACCGATTACCAGGTCTATCAAGGTGTATATGGCACAAATTTGCCCATCACCGGTTCACACGAGCCTGCAGGAACCGTTGTAAAAATTGGCTCTGACGTACCAGGCGATTGGAAGGTAGATGACCGGGTCGGTGTGATAAATTTCAGAGAGCCATGCAACGCCTGCAATGGATGCAGATGGAGGATGAAGACGTACAGCTCCCTAGATGCCCGCTATTGCGAGAACAAGACCATGAGCGGTATCCTGAAGGCGGACGGCGGATTTGCTGAGTATATGATTGCCTCCCACTACGCAGTTGTCCGATTGCCACGTGAGCTGTCCTTTGAACAGGCAGCGCCCCTGATGTGTGCTGGTGTATGTCTGCCTCTTTACTATATATCCGTGAGAATATGCTGACTTACGAGAATCATCCAGGCCACCGTATGGAATGCGGTCAAGGAAACCGGGGTGCAGAAGGGAGGTTCGGTGGCCATTGTTGGGATCGGCGGCCTTGGGGTGCTCGCTATACAGTTTGCCAAGGCTAGGGGGCTACGTGTTGTCGCTATAGACAAGCGCGACATTGGCCTGAAGCTTGCATCTGAAGTTCCTGCTCACCTCAGACCCGACCTTACCATCAGCTTCAATAGCCATGTTGCTATCCAACAGATCTCTGACTTTACCGACGGTATTGGCTTGAACAGTGCTGTGGTATGTACCGATGATGTTTCTGCCAGTGACTGGGCTCTGCACCGTCTTCAGCCTAAAGGCGTCTGTGTCGTTCTTGGTCTGCCAGAATCTGGCTTCAAGTTCGATGCGTTTAATCTCGTATTCCGAGAAATTGTTGTCAAGGGATCATTGCATTGCCCTGTTGATGAAGCCGAAAAAATGGTTGAAGCCGTTGTTGAGAACGGAGTCGTCAGCCATCTTACACTTCTTCCTCTAGAGGAGGGCGAGAACATTCCCGAGAGGGCAGCTGCGCATTCATTTACCGGAAGACTGGTAGTAAAAATTTAGTGGGCCAATTGCTTGATAGAATAAACTCATTCTCTGCTAGATGAACCCCAAATTAGAGCTTTCATAAATACTAGAATATTTTTTATCACGGGCCTCGGCGTTGGGGACCCTGAAGTATAAAGCTTTCATACAATTATCTTCAAATGTTGATTCACGATCTGATATATGGTATTGTCCAAGTATTGGATAACATAGCTACATTATTTATTAATAAAAATGCTAGAATCAAATAACTACAGTTGATAAGGTCGGTGGAAAGGTAGCAGTGTCTCCGCTATCTCCGTTGGTGTTCACATTTAGAAATAAAGCAATTATCACTCAGTTGACGCATAGAGAACTAGTCTTAAGACTTTGGTCTAGGTGGCCAATGGGACAAAACTCGCGATAAGCAAAGTCTAGTTGGAGGTCGTGGTTGTGGAGGTAGGCCTTGAGAGTTGGAGGGGATAATGTGGGCCTTGCATCCACGGGGTATCAATGACGTAATCAGATCTATAAGAGGTCGGCCCAGGTACTCACCTTTGAACGGTCTACAGGAAAGCACCTAAAGGGGTAACTAGTTACTAACCTGTTGTGCTAGGTCAGAATTGTCAGCTCTGTCCAAATGGAGTGAAACGAGGGGGTTTCTAAGAATTCTCTAGCTGATCTGGTTGATCCCCCAGCCGGCTAGCTGTTGTCAGTTGGAGAAATAATTAGCCATTTTAGCAATATAAAATCCGAAGTCAAACTCGTTCAATAGACATATCTCATTCGAACAGCAACACCTGAATCCTCTTCGCGCAGTCTAATCTATCCACTTCCCAAGATCATTTGTATGTCCCCATTCCGTCGCCCCTGACCTGTGACCAATGACCTTTCCCTAACCTCCAAGCCTAGAAAATGTCTGCCAACATCAAGACCGTTCCTACCGCCGAGTTCGATGCCGTGATCCAGACAGCCAACAAGTACACCGATGGCTTGCGCTCTGGCAGCTCCGAGACTGTTGCGCAAGCGTTCCACAAGGACGCCATCATGTACGGCTTCATCAACCCTCCTAAGCCCGATATGCTCGCAGGCCCCATTGGCAACCTCTTCACTTTTGTTCGTGACAATGGCAGCGCCCCCAGTATTAAGACCCACAACGATGTGCTTGCTATCACTCAAACGACCGCTGTCGTCCGCATCGACATGGAAGGTGACGCCTCGGGTGCCGACTATACCGACTTCCTCACTCTCATCAAGATCGACGGTCAATGGCAGGTTGTTGCCAAGGTTTTCCACAAGTACGTCTAAAGTGTTGTTGGAATACCTAATCAATGTGTTGGCTTAGGTCAGTTATCACTGAGAAATGATAGCTCGTGAAATAGAAGACGAAGTTTTACTGCTTCTTGGGACTGTGGTCAAGTTTTGACACCTCTCTGTTAGAATTAATGTATTTTACATATTTCATCATTATATAATGTCACTTTAATCTATATACAGATGATTCTCTTGTGGCTCTAGCCTTTTTTCAAGGATCTCTGCGACGATAGACAGCGTCTCCCCAATGACTCGAACAATTTCGAATATATGCACACCTTGGAATGTCTCAGCCCATAGCCTCACAACAGTCGCCGCCATCCGACGGATACAGTAACTATCTGCCTCCTTGCTTTCCAGCGTATCTGCCCAATCCGTTTCTCTTATGAGGCTGGCAATCATCCCAAGCAGCTTTCGTTCGTCTTCTCGTAGGGTTTCCAGCCCCGACGCTTCTACCACGTCGGAAATAATACCTAGCCAACGACTGAGTAGAATCGCACATTCCAGTGTACAGAGAGGATGTTGGATACTCCCATTCACAGACTGTGTACACGCGGCAAAGGCGACGCCGACCCGAATTGGAATACTAAGGGCGTGGATGCATTGAAGGACAGCCCGATCGATGTGTAAGGAGCGCGTAAATAATGGTGTGTTGTTTGTGAAAAGAAGAGCGATTGACTGTGGGTCCTGTGATAACAGGTTTCGACATGGGCCGAGGTTGGCATTGAGACGGAGATATGCGAGTCTCAGCAAGGCGGCCGAGTTGAATCCGAGAGGCCCCCGAGGAGACTCAGGGTCAAGCGAAGTTTCCAGGGTTGCTTCCCAAGACCTTTGCCATGTCTGGAGAGCAGACTCGAATTTCTTCATGATATCCAAACGGATCGTGTGGCTGGTTGTGCTCTGTCGCTCAAAGTATATGCTCTGGATCAACGCATTTATCAGGGCATAATTTCCAAGCGCAGAAAGTGGCTCTTCGTGATGGACGTCTGTTCCGGCCATCATGTCCGTGAGAGTTGACTGGAACTGTCGCTCAGTGTGGCCATATGTTTCCCTTGTGTGTTGCCACTCGGCTGCGGATGTGTTCACCCATTCTGTGTTACAGTGGGGAAGCGAAAGTCGGATTTCCTGGTTCAGGATCAAGGGGGGCACATCGAAGGAGATACTGCAGAGGTTCAGGAGGGTGTAAGATACGAAAAGAGTACGTCGGCGCTCTTCCCGGTTTATCCAATCTGACCAAGTGCATCTTCCAACTATTCCATCTGGTTGTCCCAACCCGGCTTCTCGGGTAAGCATTGCAAGCTGACTTCCCATTGACAAAGCATCTTGTACAGCAGGCACATCTGCCCACATCGCCATTGCTATTAAGATGACAAGGGATTGTAGTGTTTGTAACCCTAATGGAGAAGTGGTCGTTTTGGTAGGAAAATGGCAGTGATCAGACCCTTCGTCTCCATCGATATTGGTGGAATTTGATCTAGAAACCTTATTTCTCGGATGATTTGATGAGCCTCTTGCAAGACGTGTGAGAGATAGCCGGGTACGCAGTCCAAGGTGATGCATTATGATCGCTTTGGCGGCCAAGTAAAGCTTATATCCCTTCCTCTTCTCGACCCGACAGAATGCACCCATCGCGACCATTGCAAGGAGAAGCTCGGGTGATATATTGTCCAATTTAAGAGTAGGGGGGTGAATGAGAGGAAAATGCTCATGGAAGCCTCGGAAATAGCCCGAAATGTATCGCGAAATGGTATGCCTGGACGGAATGAGAAAACCGGTGGGCAAAATATCGTCGTATGTTCGAATACCAGCGGAGATTCGGTCATATGCAAGTGCGGAAATATTCCATGGCAATGCAGTTTCCGTGTCAGTAACAGGGTCAATTCCTCCCGGTGAGTCTAACTCGTTGTGTGGTAGCCTCTCATCGCGCGAGGAGAGAGAGTCTGGCTCTAAAGGTGGGAGTCTAGATGGAAGCGAAATGAAAGACAGGGGTTCATCTGCGTTCCTGGGTATCGAGTCTTGTCCGCTTTGCTCGGTGTGAGAAATCGGTGCCATCGAGCTATTGACTCTATGATTATCTGTCTGCCAGATATCAGACAATGAAAAGTCGGTGTCAAAGAACGACGCAGGTAAAAAATCAGCAATATCGTTGCTATTGTTCCAGAGCATCTCAAACTCGTATGTAGAACTAAAGTCAAAGCTGGCTGTTGGATCATGAGGCATGAGCCCAGCATAATGTGGTTGATCAAACAGTAATCCAGGTGCAGAAGCACCTTGGATCACGGAGCTCTGCTGGGCTGATTCCGTGATTGGTACAAGTGGCCTCGGAGAAGATTGGTACGTTTCAAGGGGTGTGACCAGTCTAATGATTGATCTCACGAGTTAGCGTAACTCTCGCGTAGCCGACATATAGTCTACCTTTCTTCGGTTGTGGCCGTGTCGTTTTGACTGAAATGTAGAGTGCTTGTCTCCACTGATGATGAGTTATGATCGACATTCTCGATTATTATACTAATGATTGATTTGGTACGTGAGCGTGAATTTCGCGTAATTGAGAGATGGTCTACCTTTCTTCCGTCATGGTCGCGCTGTTTTGGTTGAGATTTAGCCTGAATGGTTCGGCAGGCGATTCACGATGGTCAAGTCGACGATGGCGCATGAGAAGATCCCTAGGTGTTTATTGTGAGACAAAAGCATACATCTATCTCGAGGAATTTATGAATCACCTTCTATAAAAGTTTTTTCCACAGTCACAAGAAAATGGCTTTTCCTGAGTATCTAGGCCTTGTAAGCAATAACCACGAAATAATATGGGACAGAAGTAAAACCTACGAATGCGTTCATGTCGCTGCAGATGTTCCACTCGCTTAAACTCCATTTTGCAGAACCTGCATGGAGACACGAGAACTTTGGGTCGTCCACGAGGCATGATAAACCGTGGCCGTGGCAATGGGTCTTTATTTGGAACTGTCGAAGTAAGCCCTTTAAATTCTGTGTATATGTCTATAGACCTGCATTTACAGATGACCAAAAGGTGGACTTGAAGGAGGGGGACCGTTGAACGCCGAGCCAATCACGTGTCTCTTATCACATCTTTATCTCTCGGAATCATTTCATTTCATCGTTTTAATCCTCGTTCCATGTCAGTTGAAATTGAGTATGTTCTATTCTTTATGCGCTGCCTAAATATGTAGGCTAGGAGGCGATAAAGGAGACATGGACCTGAGCTGACACCTGGAGTCATTTGTCCAACGAAACCCTTGAAGTTGAAATTCTTTGCATGCTTGCGAAAGTGGCAGTTATCCAAAACTAATAGTATTATTTGTTTCTGATATATCTTGGTCCAGACCCTCCCTGATTATACAAGTACATTTGTATACTCATGGACGTAAAACATGCGGCGTTACAAACTCCCTCTATTCATACTAGAGTGGTGCTAGTACATCATATGTCGCCTACTGTCCATAGATAGATATACAAGCCTCCGCGGCAAGTAACTTGACGAGTACCTCGGCATGAGACCTGACAATTAAAGCGCGTATTGTCATTTCTCAGGTTCATCGCACAAGAAACTCATTGAATGATTGCCAAGCCATCCGGAAAATCGGTGTAACAAGGTTGAGGTAGCCCTAAATAGGCCATGTCTCCAGTTATCGGCAGGAGCTTCCCATGGGCTTATCAAAGGCGTGATATTTCCACAGGTTGGGTGATTTCAACCGGTTAGTTTCTCCTATCATTACGTCTCCAATCAACAATGTCCTGGGAGTATTTATTCTCCAACGCCTATTTACGGCTCCACAATCTCTGGATATCTCCTTCCATCTATTTACCGCGTTCAATTTCGTAAAAGTATTCCGCGGGATATTATCGTTGGCGTATAAGAACCCCTTTGCTCTTTTTTTCATATTCCAATACAGCACTTACAATCCATATTACTATTGCTTTTTGTTGCAAACCACCATCAAGAGAATGACTGAATTCAAAGTTGCTCTATGCAGGAACTATGTCTCTGGCGAAAAATGGGTCCAAGACATTGTTGACTCATGGTATCGTACCATCGGGGACTTCTTCCCTGGTGCAGCAATAGACCTTTTCCATCCTATCGAAGGAACCCCATTTCCCAACGCCCAAGACTATAATTTGATCATTTTGACAGGGGGAACTTTCAATCTCACCCAGGAAAAAGTGGATCCGTGGGTTGAAGGTACTTTCCAATTTATCCAGACAGCGACTAGGGACCATCCGAAGACAAAGATTTTGGGAATTTGCTTGGGACATCAAGTAGTTGCACGTGCGCTGGGTGGGAAAATTGGGATTCTTAAGACAGAGCAAGCTGTGAGTACTAGTAAATGTAGCTGTTTTATTGCAACCAAGCAACGCTAATGGAAAACTTCATAGGTTGGTGTCCAGGATATTGCCATCACACCAGAAGGGAAATCCTTCTTTGGACTAGACAAGGAACATATCGTAAGTGAAAGAATGGTGATTTTTAACATTTGGCTTTATACTTACAACAATGACGCAGTCAATCCACAAGTTCCATAAGATGGTAGTGACTCTTCCAGCTCCGGGGTATATTTCATTGGCAGCGGAAAATGAGATTCTCCTATCTGAGGCCCAGAATGTCCTTACCTTCCAAGGGCATCCTGAGCTGGTCGGCGATATGGCCAAGGAAATTCTGGACGCAGACACAGGTGCTTTCACTTCGGGCTTCAGCAAGGAGGAACTTGATAACATGTTCCAAAGCGTCAAAAGGCCCCATGATGGAGACGCCCTCTTTGCGCGGATTGCCACCTGGGCTCAGAGCTAGCTATTAAACTTCCGTTGTGAATGGGCGTGTGTCTACTTTACACATCGTAGTAGGCTTACATGCTGTTTGTCTATCGAACCTGTCTAGCTTCCATGTGCCTAGTCTCTATAGGAAAGCAACTATCACATTTCTCTCCATCTTTGACGGAATGTATTGGGACCTCTTTATTTCTTTTCTCTTGCGATTTTATCATCTTGTTAATCGCCTTCGTCTTTTTCGACAGTTTGTACCATAAGCGGTTAGGTCTGCCCTCTATGTCAGAAGTGTCGAAAAACATTGCAATCTACATAACGAGGTTATCATAAAGAAACTCTAATAGTGCTACAGCAAAATCTGTAAGATTAGAGTCCAGACTTTCGACATGGGGGTTTATCAGCGTGCAAATAAATTGAACAAGCTTGAAATATCATGAACTGTTCAAAAAAAAAAGGCACTGCGTCGGAAGCCGTCCCGAGAGATATATATAACAGATTTGGAGGATACAACATAAATCACCTAGTATCATAGTTTGGTCCGTTCCTTGACCAACTTCCGAGTAATTATTGAGTTTCTCCAATGAAGCTGATGTTCCACGGGGGCCTCTGGAGGCAATGTTATATATAATTTGTGTGGTTCCTTGCAAGCGGGTGTATTCAATCAGGGCTAGAAAAACACTTGGCCTGGGGCTAAACACAAAAGTATGATGGTTTACAGTTCATCGCCGTGGCCTCGACGGACTCAGCCTGAAAAGTTATAGCAATCATGTACAAAGGCGCTGCTAATGACCTATCTATTTTCGTTACTAGTCAAGGCTATTGGAGACGTTGAGGGTGCCAGAAGTGTAGAATAACAGATTTAAAGATAAGAGAGCATCCCTCCCTTGCCTTGGATATATATACACGCCGGAAGCAGTGTCATCAGTTCTATCACGGAAATATTGACATATCCACATCAAAAGACATTAACAATGAACAGAACGTTCAAACAAAAATTAGACAATATCCAGTTCCACATATCATCACCTACTTCAACCACAGCTACAGCACGTCGACCAAAAGAGCTCCACTACTTCTCCCGGACCTCCTCGATCTCCTGGCCACTATCACTGCTGAGGCCGAGCTCGTTCTTCTCAGGTGCGGAATGATCGTTGGTATCCAGGCCCAGGTCGCGAGACTGCTGGACAATCTCCTCGAAATTGAGCTTGGGCATGGTGTTGGCAACCCTGAACGGCATCTTGCCTTCGACATGGGCTTTGGCGTAGATGATGTCGATCTCTTCAAGCTCACGGCCGGCAGTTTCAACATAGAAGAAGAAGCCGAAGATCAAGCCGAGGAAGTTGAAAAGTGCGAAGAAGAGATAGACGCCCCATGGACTCTGACCAGCGAAAAGCGGCGTGAACATGACCACGGCAAAGTTGCAGATCCAGTTGGTGCAAGTCGACGCCGCCGCACCCACAGTACGGGTACGGAGGGGGTTGATCTCCGGGGGGTAGATCCAGGGAAGCGGTAGGAGAGTGAATGCGAAGAAAACGATGAAGAGGAAGATACCAACGGCAGCACCCTTGGCGTTGTTCTCGTTCTCTTTGATCAAGCAAGCAAATGTGATAACAAAACTAAGGCCCTGGCCCAGGAAACCAATCAAGTATAGGTTGCGACGGCCAACTCTCTCAATCATGAAAAAGGATGGGATAGTCGCAATGGCGTAAACGGTAGCGAAAACACCACCCATGATGAGAGATAGGTATTTCTCCAGGTGCAGGTTTTCTTGGAAAAGTAGGGTTGAATAGTAGATAGCGGCGTTACAGCCGGTGAACTGCTGGAAGAACTGGCCGGAGCAACCAATAAGAAGACGCTGGAATTCCTGGGTCTTGCCGAATGTGAATACCGCCTTCCAGCTTGACTGCGAGTTCTTCGAGGATTCCACGTCCGTCTTCAAGAAGTTGAAGTCGTGAAGGACCTTATCGGAATCAGGAGTGGTGCCATTGAGCTTAGCGAGAACTTCGCAGGCCTCCTTGTCATGTCCTCTGCTCACAAACCATGAGGGAGAATCTGGGAGCAACAGGGCACCGGAGCCCACAATCAGAGCAAAGAAGATCTGAAGCGCAATAGGGAATCGCCACTGAACAGTATCGGCAGCGTGCGAGAGACCAAAGACCACCCAGTAGGCAATAAAAGTGCCGCCAGCGATCATCGCACCTTCGAAACAAACCAAGAAGCCACGGTTGTGAGCCCCGGAGCATTCCGATTGCCACACAGGAATCGTGGCCGTGTTCATCCCATTTCCAATGCCGGATACAACACGACCGATGACGAACTGACCGACTTCCCATTTGCCAGTAAAGCACACCGTTGTAATCAAGGCACCAACGATCAGCACGTTAGCACCGATGAAGATCAGGGTGGTGCGGCCGAGTTTGTCACCGAAGAACATGGAGAACAAGGCGCCGAAGAAACAGCCCAGTTCATAGCAGGATGTTACAGCACCACGGATGACGTTGATGTAGTGTTCTTGCGCCGGAGTCGGAGGGTCGGGCATTCTAAGGATCGGGAAGGAGTTTACAAATTCGTCGCCGTTGAGGAGGCCGGCCATCATGCCCTGGTTGTAGCCAAAGAGCGAGAAACCCATGACAGCGGCGATGGTGATGCTCAAGCGGAGCGACCGACCACTCAAGCCGCTGGTGGTCGTCCACATGTTGACGGTGCAGACAAAGTAAGAACCGTCAGTGTGGGGAGGCGGGGGTAAAAAAAAGATGGGGAAGAACAAGGATGGAGAGATAACCGGGATGAGCTCGGGGTAGAGGAATTGGCCATCTTATAGCAAGCACCTCCATGGCGGATTTGGAGCAAGTTGAATTTTCGGACTTATACTCAACCTTTGGTCAGACCCGAAACTGGAAAGTCCACCGAAGGCAATGTGGTTCCCGAAGCGGAGAGATGCGGGAGTCTTTCTCCTTGGCACTTGGCGGGGGACTTGGCGAGGATACATGGAGCACTTGGCTGGGGCACTTGCGGGTGGGACTTGGCGGTGGCGCTTGGCGGATCCACAGGTCTGTTTGCAGATGACTAATTCGGAAACTGCCCCTGAGCAGGGGCGATTTTGAATGTCCAGTATAGATCCAGCCTAGGGCTGTATCTCCATGATCGAATTTTACCATACTTTACTCTATATAGTTCATCCTACTCTCCTCTCTTCGACATGATATACATATTGTGCATATTCGCGTTCTACTGTTGTGGTATACCTTCAACCGCCAAGGCCTTTTTGCCCCAGCATGACGTCGGGAAACTCTTGGCCCCCACATGACGTCGAAAACTTTTCGGCGCTAGACAAGGTTTGTCCAGGTTAGATCAAGCTCCGGACCAACAACACTCAAATCCTTTGCGGCGCGGGACAAGGTACACGGACCGGTGCAATCTGGTTCACTTACCCTTGTTTCAAGCCGGCTTTCCGACCACGCCGTCACGCCTTCACGCCGTGGGAGTATGTAGCACGTGTCATTGGGGCAGACTCGGTATCGCAATATCCTGTCACATGAGAATGCATTAGTGTTATCATTTGTATGAATTTATATTCAACCAACGCTTGACGGGGAACAATCGTTCGATTATGGTTCCTGGGGTATCTGGGGGCCATCCCAGGGCCAGTGCTTTACCAGGGGATACTCCGTACATATATCCGTGATATATACTACCGTGACTTCCTGGTAGTGCCTAGAATTTTCAGCCTCGGCTTTATGTTCTCCCCACGCCAAGGATTAGAAAATCTCGATCCTGCCCCCCTTTAATCTCGCGTAGTTGTTATCCATGGATATTAGTAGGGTTATGACGTGGTTAAATGCGGTTTCAATATGTAAACAGCCGAATTCCATCCGAGGGTCCACAAAATTTCTGGTGCCATGGATTGACTTGTTTGCCATGAGAAAACCTTGGGTGGATGAAAACGGTTAAACTAGAACAAGCAATGTGGAATATTACGCTTTCAGGGACAAAGCCAAGCTTACAGTCATAATATATATTAGGGATCACATTGGGGCTCGGTAGACTTTCCACTTTCCCACTTTCCACGCAATGTCCACGGGTGTACCTTTGAGGGTCGGACTAGCCGCGCCAAGAATGACGAAAGTGGCGCTTGGTGCGGGTGAATAGTAAAATGCCTCACCCACCAAATCAAGGACAAAGGGTAAAAAATGTCGAACATATAGGGCGACAATGAAGGCAGTATAAAACAACTGGAACACAACAGGATTGCCACAATATTCCCAAAGGTCAACCCTCTAGGAGTCCTATGATAAATAAATGCGATCACTGTGACTCTATTTCCATTTGAATACCAAATGTCGCCACACTTTCTAGATAGGATGCACTATGACCTTACTAGCTGAAGCAAAGATAAGAGTTTGTAGGATAGAGACTAGACGCAGTCGCCCAACTTGCTTCAATTAACTAACTAAATACATTGAGGTCCGGGATTGTAGCAAGCGCAATAACGGCTCTCCGAGAGCGGCAAATTACAAATTTGAATCTCTCTCCACAGTTTCTTCCAAGGACTTCACAACTTTGACACTTAGGTGTATTGTTTAGCTGCTTGGAGAATTCTCTGGAGCTCATGTAGACCTCAAGATAACATCCATGTGAACTATGGGCCTGACGTCTTCATAGAGATATATTTTGAATCTGTCATCCTGTCGTGGTCTCCACTTTACAGTCTAAGCGTTCTCTTCCTATATGGCAGCTGCATTATGTTATTGGCAAGAAATCTAGTCGCCGTTGTGGACAGTCCACAACATCAGCCTCAAAGGCTAATCCTAAGAGAGTAATTTCGTGCTTACATATCATACAAGTTCGAGATTCGAATGTATCACCTTTGTCAAGGTTCGTAGAGGGCACAAGTGAAATGGCAGAGTGGATGCAGCAGAGTATCACTGGAACAATGATCACTGATTGGGAAACATCTCACAATCTTGCGAACTCGTGATCCCTTCCTTTCCCACAAAGTCGTGACTTCCAGCAAAAGTAACGTACCTTTGTGAATACCCCATTTTTCACCTCACGTGGGAGTACTTCGTTCGCATCCCATTTTCCTTTTTAAAAAATAATGAACCCCTGCCTCCCCGCTGCCGGCTTGGCAGATGCTCCGCCCTCTCCGCGTGTTAGAAAAATCACTGCACCTGTCCTCTCCGATCCCAGTTCCCAGTTCTCAATGCAATAGGATTTCCATGACCATGATACTTTCAAACCCCAACTTGCATTGGTCATTGAAATATACCCTGATAAGTGCCCGGGATGAGAAGGTCTTTCGCTCTTATATGGCCTGATTTCGAGCACCGTCAACCTTCCGAGTCCAGTAAATTCTACGGTCTGCTCTCCTTATGCTCCGATTCTACTCTTACTTTACTCGAGCCTTTCACTTATTAGGAAAATGAAAACGATATTGGAAGGTATAACGATCAATGCCAAGAGAATGTTAGCCCTAAGACTCAATCCTGAAACCCCCGCGTAGGTCCTCTGACCTCAGAAGAAACAACTTCTCTTTCAGGCAATCAATTAAATCAACACATGGGCATATTTTCCGCGTCAAACACAAATAAGGTTACCAGACAGGAGTCACTTCGGAACCAGACGCGGAGTCGGGGTGGGGATGATTTCTTCGCTTCTGGTGCATGTCGAGCCCGAGACGCTCGGGGAAAATCTGTACTTTGTCAGCGCATCCACAGGACTTCGTACTTACCGTCGAAGATTTGAGCTTGTGTTGGCTTCACCCTTTACAAGGGCTACTAGTCAACAGCGCCGCGAAGTGGCCCAAGCTCGTTGGTGGAAATCGATGTACGGCCATTACACCCGCTCCTCTCTGGTTTTTGAACTTCTAATGACAGCAAAATCTTTGTTGGGTGGGCTCGTGACAAGCGGGATCATCAGTCACTTTAACGGCAGCACTCAGGATTCTCCTGGCCGATCCCTCTTGTGAGATGGATGCTTGATATCCCAAGGGTCGTAGTCCTTCATCGTCAGAAACGTCGATTTGCTTGCTCTCGATATGTCAATATTACTAAGGCACTCCACATACTGAGGTTTCCAGGAGTCCTTTATCAGGAAGATTAGATATTCATCCTGTCAGATTATGAGAATTCTGTCAGATCATGCTGTTTGGGCGCATTGTTTTATCAAACTCACCCACAGACGAGGGATATTCGGTGGTGCATATCGTCCCACATCATCAATGCTGTAGTGTCTTCGTGCTTTTTCTTCTTCCTTTTCTTTCATTTTGGCGATTTTCGAGGCCGAATAGAGAGATCATATGTTATCTGGAGTGCTTGTTTGAAGCCCTGGGTCCCCTGCAGGTGCGTTCTACTGTGAGTAGTGGTCGGAAAATGTTGAATATGGATGTCTTGCGTTTTGGTGGGCTTCGCCAGGCCATGGAGAGGAGCAAAACTTTATTGAAAGGTTTATGGCAAGGTGATATGAGGAAACCGGGAGAGAATAGAGGAAATCATTGCGAAGTTTTACGTGACTGTATCCTCCGCTCCTTCCCTCAAACCCCAGTGTTTACATTCTTTAGATGGCAGGTCCATTCCTAGTACACTTACACTAATATATAGAACGAAATCAAGTCGAAGGCTCTTCCCCATTACCCTTGCTGTGGTGCGAAAAGCTTGGGGAGTATCTGGAAAGGCCTTCTACGTACATGACTCTTGAGTTAAGCTTGACAGAAGAAAAGAAACAGAAATCTATCTGATAGACAAGGTGGGAATACCACCAATGGGCTCACTCCACCTATATTGAGCGAACAATTCCAACGGTACCATGTTCGGTTGCAAAGTTCGACAGCCGTGAGTATTGTAAGGTCAGTCCCTATCCATCATACGAAGCCTGAATAAATTTCCCTTTCTGATCGCCCATAAAAGAGAGACTCTAGAATCTAGATATAATTTAGATAACATCCCGATTTAGCAGTTCAATGTCGTGTGCAGTCACTTACTGGATGAATATGGCATCTGCGAAATGGTCTATGATTGACGCGAAGCAACATTGTGTTCATGATAGCTATTAACTCATGTGTTATGAGGCCATGGTTTGTTTTGGCGGAACGAATATGAGCAAGACATGACATAGCTGAATGTGGGAGGCCAGTGTATTGATAATGATTAACCACTCGCCACACTTTTGGATAATAGAAGTCCTCCCTAGTGACAGGGTCTCCATTTCTCGGGTCCGGTCTATGAATATTACAGTTTCATATATTACATTTAGTTCAAACTTTGCAGCCTCCTGATGTCCAGTATTCTTGGTCCCTGGCTTCTTCAAGTGGAAATTCGTCACAAAGCCCATCCGCGGAAGTTCCTTCCCTCGTAATACTTAAGTGAGAATCAATCACGCGCTCTGTTTCCATAGCTTGGTCAAGGGGAATGCGATCTAGGTCGTACCGTTGACGTTCCGTCCATTCGAGATTCGCAAGTTTTGGAGTGACTTAGGGGGGTGGCGGTATTCAATCGGCGATTCGTTCATAAGATCCTGTACGCTACACACGGAACGTATCTCGCGCGGGCGTTCCTCCGGCTCGATGTCACAGTGGAGTGGATAATTTAAAACAATTTATCTGGGTGTGGTTTGAAGTAGCATGGCTCGAATTCTGGAGTTCCGTCATTTGCATCGGCTAAGGATACTTCAGATGCATGAATTCTAAGTCTGTGGATTTATCAGGAGAGGGGAAGTCAGGCTCAAGATCTCTGACTTGCTGAACGAGGAATCTGAGAAAAGCGTGAGGCTGATCTTGGCTGGAAGCCATTTGTGCCAAGGCACACTCTCTTCCACTCCGCTAAAAGACCATCATGTCAGAGATCTCACTCTGACTTACCTAGGACCAATATATAGTAGCACACATAGTTGTCCGCGACATATTCTTTAATAGGTCATAAGCCCGGTTTAACTCGATTAACAGGGATTTTTTTCTATACTATTACTTACCAATAAATATCCTTTTGAACCTCTTCTACAGGTTTATCCTTTATCTTACCCTCTTTATCTCTAAGTATAGTGCCGACCGAGTACTTATAGTAGTGCCGCCTAACATGGATAGTAGACCTTGCCAACTCCCATCATTTAATCCGATGGGAGTGGTCTCATAGGACTGGATAGGACTCCTATAGGCAATACTGAAAAGCGTTAACTAGAATGATATATACCATACTAATAGATCCTTATGATTATTATATCTACTACCCGTACTGGCTTTTCTTTTACCCCATAACCCCATGAGCTAAAAAACTGGGCAATAGTAAAGTGGTAACATCCTAGTAATATTACAGTAAACCGGTATTAATTACTATTAAATACTAGTTCCATTTACCCCGACCTCTGCCCTGCGATCGCGCGAGCTCGGCCCCCAGTCGAAGTTCGCGAAGGGCTTCTGGCGCCTCGCTGATATGGGATCGAAATATTTGATCCTGAAATCTGTCAGTTGGATTGCGGACACGATGGCCCTAACCACGGTCAAGGGTTTTGTTATCTTAGCACCTTTGGAAAACATGGAGCTCATACAAGAACGCGAAAGGAGAGGTCGTTGATTATTACGCCTCGCTTTATTTAAAAAGCAAAAATGAGGCTTTCAGGCTGAGCCCAAGGCGGAGTCGAAATTTGGGATGATTGAGAGGGATGAATTCCAAAATAGCCAATAGGAAGCCGATGGTTGGCGCCTTCATGCATCGCTCACAAGTCTCTGCATTTTTGCCTAACGGGGTTCTTTCTCGGAATGCGGCTATAGGGACGCACAAAAATAAAAATCTATTGTAGGAAATTAGCATGACTGGGCGGCATACTGCTGAATGAGAAATACGTTCGCGCTTGCGTCCCGGGGGGGGGGGGGATAAACAAATAGGTGATTCAGGGTACAGGGTACATACTATCTGGAACCAATAAGGCAACTCTAAAAAATGGAGTATCACGTATCACGGGGGCCAATGAAACCGTTTTGTGTTTGGAGGCGGTGCTTACCCATTGCAATGGAGTGAACTGTTGACTGCTGGGAGGGGCTGTCAGTCTTCCACCCCATGCCTTTTCTACTTCTGCCCAGTTTTCATATTTAACGGCAACTTCAAGATTCTTGACTTGAAGCCGGTTGGATTCAAGTAAAGTGCTAAGCGAGAACATTTTGATAGGCAACGCCTAATATATCAACCAACCTCCCGATCTTCTACTGAACAATCGGGCCAGATCGAACGAGATTTGCTTCTCCGGACCAACTCTTTTGTTTACCTGCTTCAATCCTCACGCGGGATTTCTATGGATCCCCTTTCAATTGCAGCCGCCGCTGCGTCCATCAGTTCTACCTGTTTAACGCTAGCAAATACAATATACGAGTATGTAAAGGAAGTCAAGGACGTGGACCAGGCTATATTGCTTTTTGGAAAGGACTTGAAAACTCTCTCTCAAGCCTTACTAAACGTGGATACCGCGCTGAAGGACAACGCTGTGGCACTTACTGCCACTCTTGGTAGTGATATTAAGTTATTAGATTCCCTGGAAGCGTGGTGAGTTGATAATTATCCTTGATAGTGGTATTGGTATTGTCCAACGTCTGTGGTGGGCCTTTATTTCAAATTCTGACATCACGTCCTTGCGATCCTAGTATACAGGATTGTGGCGAAACAGTCGAGCGGATTGGACAAATCCTCGAGGAAACTCAAACCCATGGCCGAGTAGGAAATGTCATTCGCCGCCCAGCCACACATTGGAAACTCAAGGACAAGCAACAAGAGCTGGGGCTCCTTCGCGGTCGGGTTATCTCTTTCCACACTGCGATGAACATGAGCCTCCAAATGATCCATATCTGCATCATCCTACATGTTCAAAACAACCAGGAAAGCCAGCACGATGATGTGCTAAAGGGGATTGACCAACTGCGGAGACAGATCAAGAAACTCACAAAAATGGCCCGAGACAATGACTCGGATAGTGAAAGTCTACCAGCCACGGTTCAGCAGTGTCTCGACTATGCTATTGCCCTCGATACGACCGCTAGCACAGCAGTCGACGACAGGCAATCTTCTATTCTTGGCGCCATGACCCAGGCCCCGTCGGAGAAGGTCCAAGGGTGGATGCGAAATAGCCACAGTTTCGAACCTCCGATTTCCAACCCGGCCCTCACCGAGATCTCCGAAGGAGATGAAAAATCCACCATTGGCCCTTCTGTTTCCCTGACCAACGTGCCTTCCAAGGTCACTGAGGATACTTCTATCCAGTCATCGTCTCATTTGGAATGGTCCAAGGCCGAGCTCCAAAAGTCTCGAGTTCTGTCTGAAGCAGGCCGCTCTGAGGCGGCAAAATCACTATGTCGAAAGGTCATCCACGAGTCTGAATTTGCCACTGGAACCAATTCCCCGGGTTATCGAGACGGTATTTTGCTTCTCGCCGACATCCACGAGCAGAACGGCGACGAAAGTGAAGCATACGAAGTCCGAGAGGTGCTTCGTCCCCAAAGACATGTAGAAATGAGAAATCAGTTCAAGGAACTGCTCCAAAAGAAGGACTCAGAGATGTGCATCGAATTCGCAATGAGAGAGGCAGCATTGTTGCATCATATTAAGTCAATACGACAATATCGAGAATTTGTAAGCAAGCTGTCATTTGATGGTGAATTCTCTGAAGCAAATATTCTCATCGTCCTTGCCGCAACTGGGAACAGCGTTTTGGTGCAGTTGATGCTGAGTCGTGGAGCTTCGCTAGACACGAAAGTTGAAATCGAGGACGCGGTAACTGACAAAGTGACGGCACTCAGTTGTGCTGTCCATTTCAAACACAAATATTTGGTCGCAACCATTCTCGAGTACTCACCAGAGTCTGCTACAACGGATTTATCAGTTGTGGATCTCGAGAGGATCATTTTAAAGCGTGATATTGAGATGTTACGCTTGATCTTTGACCCTATGCCAAAGCGCTTGGGCGCCAAGCGCATAACGAATGACTGCATGAAGAATGTTCTGCTGGGCCGTCATTTTAAGGTTGCCGCAGTTCTATTTGAGAACGGGGCAAGCACTACTATTAAATTTGATCAGCATCACACGATGCTTCGACACGCAGTTGAGTCCAGTGATTACAAGTTGGCCGAGTTTCTGTTGAAACATGGAGCACCATCCCTCGCCGAGGCGAACCTGAAAGATAGGAAGTCTATTATACCTCCACGGGCTATTATTATGGCGTCACGGGCATCTAATGGCGAATGGAGTACGGCGAAATGCCTACCTCTTCAGAGGGCAGTGGTCAAAGGAGATTTGAAAATGACAAGCCTCCTACTCCAATATGGTGCAACCCGATGTTTGTATCCTATATCGAAGCAGGCCGTGTCTGACACAAACATGACTCCAAACTGTGACCCAGTTAATATTGCGATTACGAACGAATCACTTGAAATGCTGAAATTGCTGGTAACGGAAAGTGCTCATATTTCGCCCTTTGCCGCGGAATTAGCTTTCCTGTCTTCATGGGTGCCAGGGATCGAACACTTCGAATCTATCAATCCGTCATACATCCCTTTCACCAAACTCCAAACGTTGGGGGAAAACGCAGCGATATCAGCAATCAAGTCACAATCACTTGGAAAGCTTCAACACTGCGTTAAAGAGAAAGCACATATTACTCGTGGTATAGTCCACGAGGCATGTTCAGTTGGTTGGGCGACTGGATTGAAGCACTTGCTATCTATTGATAGTTCACATGCTGATGCCGCACTCTTCATAGGTGGCTGCACTAGAGAAGATAACACCGGGGTTCTTCAGGTCGCGCTAAGCTTTGGTGGAGACCCTAATTATGAACAAGATACCGCGCCTCATTTTGCTTTAGAGGAAGCAGCAAAAAAAGGACGCTCACCAAACGTGAGATTCCTGTTGCTAAATGGCGCTCTTGTTAACAAATATCACACGAAAGACCCATTCAAGAGAACTGCTCTTTATTCGGCCGTCGAGAATGCTAAAAAGAAAGATGGTTCTGATCTAGTTCACTCAGGGTACCTCCGGGTCATCTCCCTTCTCGTGCAAGCAGGTGCAAGCACAGACCGAGTGACAGTGAAAGGAATGAGCGTGCTTAGTTCTAGACGCCGCAAGCTCGCATCGGCCCTAAGAGGGGAATATTACGGATGAATATAAGGGGGGGTTGGGTTCTAAATAAGTCCTAGCACGCCACATCCTGACAGGCACTCTCGAAGACCACAAACACATAATAGGCCGAGATAACTACGCAATCGAAATACAATGGTTTATTACCTGATTACTGATTTCCTGTTTTCCACGATGTTGTTGTGGCTTTGGTCATGCTGTCTACTTTCCCATTAGTCAATACTCGCTTGCATTCTAGTATCAGTCAAGCATATTAAATGTGACTTCTTTCTGACTTTTTATCCGTCCTTCGGTTTTCACCATTTGAGCGCGCGTCACCAAAATTCTCTTGATTTAGCCCTGGGATCCATCTTTTTTTACCTAACTTGGTTCACACAAAGCGAATAGGATCGATCCGATGCCCTCGTTTCCGTCCTAGAAATTCCAATTGCCTTCCACATCGGTATTAAGTAAGCTGTCAAAACATATAGTATCACTCTCTTGAAAACACCATTCTGTGAGATCATTCATAGACGAGTCTTCAAGCGCTGGAAAGTGACAGCTCGTGAATTGCAAAACAGTATTATCCACTCCCATGTCGTTGTCATCCACAACCTCGCTACCCATATTGGCGCTCCGACTCCCTTGGCTTCCAGAGGCAGACATCGACACACATGTAGGACCCATGGTAGTTTCTGGATGTACCAAGTCAAATCCTCGCGTTCTAAGCGGCGGGTTCGCACCTTTCGATGTTGCCCTTGGATATGGGGTTGCGCCCAGAATGCGTTCTCCTTCGATCGATCGCACAGCACCGCTGCGCGTAATGGCGATGGTGCCGAAGTGCGGAATTTCGAGGCAGAAGCTGCTGTATGAGTCGTCTTTATTTTGAATGACGCCCTGGAGGGTTCGAATGATGGTGATACTTTGGTCGGCGATGTGTACGGCAGTACCATGCTGCTTCAGCCGTTCAAGGGTCTGAATTACTGCCTCGACAAGCTGCAGGTCCTCGTATCGTTCCTGTAAGGCGACTTGATCAGTGGTCGTATGTGTAGACCCCAGAAGACCTAAGAGGATCGTTGTGGCTGCCGTGAATGCTTGAAATTCGACAAGATTGCTAAATAGGGTCTTTCCTGGAACCCTACGAATGGAAATCCACCTCTTAATTAACCCTCTGCTTGCACTCAAGCAGGAAATTCGGGAATATTCGTATCGTCGGTCACTGGCCGCGCGCAGCATAAAAGGTAGATGGAGTAGTGTTGCGAGTTCAAAATGCCAGATTTGACACATCATTCGTTCAAATTGAGAGGCTGCCTCTTCTGTGCGGCTGTTTATTGGGGCGGAAGGGATTTCCCACCAGTCCTGTGGCATCTGTTTTGCGAGCGAGTCGAGTTTTTCGTCAATTTCCTGAGTAGCAGAAAAGGCGTGTGTGGAGTCACTTTGATTGCGAGTGAGGATGAGGCCCGATATATGGCAGAGGTGTTGATGATAGAGGTCTTCGATTGAAATAAAGGGGGCTTGGTCATTGAAATGAGTTGATGCCGAGTTTGTAGCAGATGGTACCCCGAGGACAAGAGAGAGATAACGCTCCTAGTAAAAGTGAGTCTAAGTGAAAACTATTAAACACTTGTTCGCATACCGCTTGCATTATTTGGTACCATATATACTGGCGTTTTGTCTCCAAATCAGGGACTGCCTGAGATGCCTTTGAAGACACTCTGTGTAAACCCATAAGTTGGGCCACATTAATTGCTCGACGGAAGGTGAGCCATGACCTGCGGAGACTACCTGCATTGGTCTGATACATTCCTTGAAGTGCAAGGCATTCAACACCTTCTATACTTCCAGTCATTTCATCATCAGAAGTGACCGTTGTGGTGATGAAGGTGATGATATTCTCCATCATTTCTTGAAGTGACACTGTGGTCCGAAGCCTTCGTAGGTCGACCTTGGGTGGAAGCTGCTGAATACAAATGGCCACACAAAGAAGAAGTCTTGCAATTACCATGGGGTGACTTTTTGAGACAGCCAAGACATCAAACGGGTTTTCAGAGTCATGTGCAGGTGGTTTCACTAGGTGCGGCATCATATGTCGCTGGATTAGCCACCATCCGTGGCTCATGCCCGAGAGAAAATCAACATCCTCTTGACAAGGGAGCATTGCAGCGAGTCGCTGCTGTAGCCTCCCGATTGATCCTATCGGAGATCCATTCGCGGCAGTCCCAGAGCCACTGAAGTCTGAGACTGGGGCTGATTGTGGTGATGGGGTAGAAGAATTGACCTCGGGCTGCTGTCCTAGAGCGGTGTTGAATGTCGATACAAAGGAAGGCCGCGAGCGGCTCATCGTTGCTGACGTTGATGAAGGAGTGAAAACATCGCCTGGGTCATAGGCCACACAGTTATCTGCTGTGCTCCGAGGAACATTTTGCATGAATTTCTCGAGTAAAATTTCAACCCTTTCCATTCGGTGGCTTAGCGCCGAGGTTTCCGCATCGCGTGCCGGTTGATCCTCGACGAACTCCTGGCTGAGACATGAGGTGCCTTTGTCTAGGCAGCCGACACAGATAGGATCATCGTCCGCTTGATATATACACTTGACCTTTCTCCGTCTGCCTGATACTTGTCAATCTTTTTAGCCCATCATGTTGTTGAGTACGTACACTCCCAGCAACTTCTCGTGCCCTTGCGGACCCTCTTGCGACGATGTTCTCTAACAGGTGTTATCGAATTAGCCGACATCATCACAGAGTGTTCGCTGGTTGGCCTTGGTCGTGAAGGAGTTATTTCATTTGTTTGGGAGAGAGGGGCAGCACTGCCGTAATCCAACCGTGACTGGATTCTTACTAGCGTGGATGTACCCCCTAGTAACAATTTTGTCCATGTGGATCATCCTCATCCTTCCATACTAGCAAAAGCCGAGTACTAAATGTTATATTAATCACTGGGTCTCTTTCTACTTCACTGTCTTCTCTTTTCGATGATAATCACAAGAAGAATAGTCGGCCACTTATGCGGCCTCGTGATGTATTCTTGGTAATCTTTTTAGTCTTTTTGGATGTTCGTTTTACGTCTATACGACGGCAGTAAAAAAAAGGCATAGTTTGTAAAAGAGAGTGTTCTATTTACATATAACTTTGAAATGGTATACGATGATATAGTGTATAGATGGTGTATGCATAGTCTTGGCTGATCCACATAGGGTACGGTCTCTAGGCACCAGATCTCTAAGGTATCAACAGCAAACATTTGCAACTATGGAGACGCCAATTCACCTCACATCGCCCAGGCATCACGGAATCTGATTCCCTTGGTTTTCATACAGTATCTTTGGAACGATACATTCCGTATATCAGATCTCTGTTTAGTTGATCCCTTCCGGTATCCAAAATGATGTCTCCGTGCATCGACCGATTCGACCGGATTTCGGCCGAAGCTCGATTCACCATACTCCTCAATCAACACAGCAGTACATTCGACTACGGTGCAACCGAAAGGATAAATACCACCCCAGAGCCCTTTTCTTCGTGATTCATAATGAACCCTGAGAGCACCTTCGTCACCACAGCCTCCTTCTAAACTCGTGTCTCTGCCATGGCCGATCTAGCATCTCTCCCAAAAGACTGGATCCTCACATCAAGCCAGTTTACCAGAAAGGCTCACATCAAGGTTTACCCTGCCATTTATCCAGCTAAAGCGGAGAACTCTCTCAAGGGAAAGACGGTGGTTATTACCGGCGCCAGTCGTGGCATCGGGGCTCGAGGCATTGCACCGGCCTTTGTCGAGGCTGGTGTCAAAGGCATCGTTCTCATAGCTACAGATGCAGCTAAACTGGTTAACGTCGAGGAAGAACTGAAGATGATCAACCCAGATCTTGAAACCCTTGCTCTCAGTGTGGATGTCTCGTCGCGTGATCAAGTTGCTAAGGCCTGGCTTGAGATCAATGCCAGATACCACAAGGTTGATATCCTAGTCAACAACGCTGGTGTAGAAACTACGGACAGTGACAAAACCCACGAGCAAGATCCGGATATCTTTTTCAGAAACTTTGTAAGTTCCCACTAGCAACCCCTTATCACGTCGAAAGGATGGAGAGTACAGTCCCAGTACGCATTCAGTACGATGGAAAGCTCGTTGGCTAATACAAAACACCAAAAATTAGGAAGTCAACGTCAAAGGAACCCACATCATGACGCAGCAGTTTCTAAAAGCCGCGGTACCGTGGGCCACGACTACCGATCCCGCTAGAGTTATCAACATGTCCAGTTCGAGCGCCTGGGGAACTTGGCCTTTCCTAGCCGCATACTCCAACAGCAAAGCCGCCCTAATTCACTACACCACGACGCTTGCCGCTTCCTACCCAGGCACAGTGCTCGCAATTGCAGTCAATCCCGGTCTCAATGACACTGATATTATCCCCGAGACCCTTCGGGCAGCTGGGTTCAACTTCAACGACCCAGCTCTGACAGGCGCTACCTTGGTGTGGTTGACAGCGGACCCGGCGAGAAGCCAGTTTTTAAATGGAAGGGTGGTCACGGTTGAGTGGGATGTTGAGGAACTAGTTGCCAGGAAAGAAGAGATTATGAAGGATAATCTATTGACTATGCAACTCAATGCAGTGCTGGGGAACGGTCAGTTCGCAGATTAAGCCTTGTTTCACGGCTGGACAGAAAGGCCAAGGTTAGGTAGACAAGCTGCCACATGTGCTTTGCCTACCTCAATTAGAAGTGATAGCTACTAAGAATCACATGTCGTGTTTATACAATAGCGGTGATATTTGTATTTACAGTGCCATAAAGTATTGGTCAGTTTCATGGATTCTCTTTGCCCCAGTTAGACCTCTCCTTTCTGGCAAGTTATTCAATTGCGGAACAGCCCCTTCACTAGATTCTTCGCAATAACTTCATTTATATCATCGATTAGCCGTTAATTAGTTATTTCAGAAATAAATATCATAATTGAAGAGGTTTTCTCCCATAGACGGCAACTCTACTCATAGTTAGTAAAAGTACTCATGCCATCGATGGGGATAGGTCAGACTATACGTTTGAACATAGGCATGCAACTTCTTATCCCGTAACTCCTGTTTGACAATAGCATTATGAATCTTAGCCACATCCAAGCCCCAACCCAACACCTGCGTGTATAAGCGTAGCGAATATGAATCGATGGCCTGCTGCAACTGCACTGCCTGATACTTCCCTATTGTCTTTAGATGTGGATCGCGCGGCCAGGGCGAGAAAGGTAGCGCGTAGACAGACAATCTAACATCCTCAAAACCGGCGTTAATCATCCAGTCTTTCAGTTTATGGTAGATATTTAGCTCCCGGCCGAGCTTTTCGCCGGCGAAATTAACAGCCTTCTGCCATTCCATGATCGCGGATTCTTCCTTCAGGGAGTCATCGTCGCTCCGGGCCCAAACGGCACTCTCGTGCGATTCAAAGTAGCCGCCGGGTTTAACGTGGTCGAATATCCGGCTTATGAACCTGGGCCAGTCCGCCACGCATCTGCTTAGTGTGTTAGAGAGTCGTTCTCGTTGAGATAGGGGACTGGTGGCAGGAATACATACCCTGCTAGGCATCGTCCATGGATAAAGTCAAAGTGGTTTTTTTCATAATACCATTCGCTTTCGAAATCTTCCACGATGAACTCGATATTTGGGGCCACCCAACTAGGCTGGATAGGACTAATGTCATTCCCAATCACGTGGGCATTGGGGAATTTTCTATCATCCGGGGTCAGTCTTGATAATAATAAAGACAGAGGACAAAGGATGTCACGTACTCGGCAATGTCTAAGGACCAAATTCCCGTTCCGGTTCCCAGGTCAAGAATGTTCTGTGGTGATGTGATGGGGGCATTGTGGAGCTTCCCTCCCAGTAGCATCAGCCATCTACACCGCTAGGGTTAGCCACAGTCGTTCGCCAGGAATGCTTTCCTTCACTGACATGTGATGTGTCTGAAGGAAAAGTTTAGTATTTGAACATGCGACAGTCACTAGAGTTGGTGCCTTACGATATCCATTCGATCCTGTTCCTCCTCATCATTTGGCATCCTAACTTGGTCAGTCTGCCCAGGAGCTTCTAGGGGAAAGCGTAGAAGTACATATAATTTCCCTGGGCATAGGTCAGTTGGTCATTAAAATAAAACTTAGCACGAATGGGTTGGACAAGATACTTACTGAGCCGGTACTACAATACCGCCGACCGTTTTCATATTCAAACTCGAGCATGCTCTCCGACAGGGAAGTGAGATCGGACAAATCATCACTGAATTCAACACTTTCCTAAAGACAGAGATTTAATTCCCGGATCACAATGAGCCACTCGAGTTTACATACGTCGCTAAAATTATCGATCACAATTGGAACGGGCGCCTCGGCGTCGACAGGGGTTATAGATCGGGGCTCGGATGGGCGATCGGATAGCGCCGATGGCGTGTGGGGACTTGAAGACATTGTGATGCAAAAGAAAAAAAAGAAAAAAACAGGAACATTCCTGGAGGAAACACGGCCGAATAAATAAAGCTATTCTCCTCTTAAAACCCGCTTGTTAACTCAAAACCAGTCTTTAGTAACTAGGGATTTTGGGTTCGTAGAAAATCAACTCCACTCTTTTCTTTTACGAATACTAGCTACACTCTGTTAGTCTGAGTACAACATACTATCAAAGTTACTTAACTTCCAGTCCAATTTAGTTTCTATTTATCTTACTCTCTAAGTCTTTCTTCATCTCTGGAAAATTATGAAGCCCGAGGCCAAGCCATATAGGTTGTGACCAACTCTGTACCGAGGTTTTATCCAAGCTGGTGAGGTCATTAAACTATTTCACTTCCGGAAGGAGTAATAGTCATCCGACTATTTGGTGGAGCAGTGTGAGACCCTTATGTTTAATCGAAGAGGTGACTTGGGATGAATATGCAATCGGGAAATAGAGATTCAAGTTATACTCGGTAGGTAGGTATATTGCTATGTAGATTGTGCCTATATAACCAACGCTGGCCACTAGTCATACCAAACTGATTCATTGAGTAAAATAAAGCATTTATATCTTTACCGCCTTTTTGGACAATTTTATTGTCTCCGACTCTCTGTTACGCATAGGACGTAGTTGCTCAAACGCATATACCACCTGAAGCAGAACCCTATCAGAAAATGCCTTCGTCAGAAGAGCCAAAGCATATCTATTTCCTAAGTTAGTGGGAATTACAAAACACAAAAATGATGCGAGGCGTTCTTACGGCATTCCGGGTGCTCGAATGACAAACCCTTGTGCATGTTCGACGGTAGTCCCTTCGGGAAAGTACCCCAGTGGCACAGACATCACAGGGAACCCCATCTTGCCGCGAGACTTTTTGCTATACCCTACTCTGACGTTGCACTTCTTCATAGCTCCCAAGATACCACCTGGCCCGCCAAAGAAACGCTCCTGCTACACAATTTTAGTCTATTTATCGCTGTCCACATAAGTTCTTTCTGTTTGTGTCCAAAGGAGCTTTCCAATGTTTCTCTCCGGGTGCTTCTCCTCCGGATGTGTTTTAGTAAACTCAATGGGATCTCCTATGGAGTGGGTATTGTTGGAGTTTGTTTCAAGTGATTGTATATACCGAGCTATATCCCGTCGAAATTATGAGATCGAACAATCCCTTTAACTTTTCGGTTCAGTTTCTTGAACACTGCAGCAGCCGGAAAGTCTGCATTGTCAACTACCGTTGCACCAGCAGAGCGTAAAGACTGCAAGGCAATCTCAAATGTAGCGGCCTAAAACTAGCCTAAAAGATTGGTCTTGCCTAGGATCACGTCGTCGGCTGCTTGGAGTTTGGCGACCATAGAGGATTCGTTGGTCGGCTTTGCTCCAAGGCCCGCACATGAGCCTGCGGAAACATCTAGCTTCCCGTATTTTGTTGCTATGTTGTCCTTTATAAGTAGAGTAATGCCATGGGGCGAGCTGCGATTGAAGTTAATATGTTGGCGTGCTAGGAGGAATGGCAGTTGCGAGCTACTTCCTGACTCGAGCCATTCCTCATCCAGCGTTCTGGCGTCTCTTATGGCATCGGAGTTTAATTGCAACGCTACATTAAACTCAGATACCTCACCAACCCTCGCAACATATGCTTTGACAAGATCAACTAACGTGAAATGTGCCGATTCGTGGCCTTCCGAGGCCTTTTTGAATGTAAGTTTTCGAATAGGTGGAAGGTAAATCGTCCCTATATCGCAAATCAACAACGACACGCCAATTGTAATATAAGCTAGGAATCTAAACTTAGAGGATTCTGATCCGTTATTCTGGTGACCGAAATTCGCAAGGCCGGAATTTTAGATATCAAGAATGAATACAAAAGTCAGTAATACGACACCGCCCACAAAGTTCGAATAAAATTGCCGTATGTAAAAGCTTCCATAAGCTCCCACTTGTTGTCTCAAGCTGTTCATGGGAGGGGAAAGACAGATATTTCACACACGTAGATTCCAACGTGACTAGAGAGAGACAGTAAGAAGAAAAAAACAGATATTTAGGGTTCTGGGTCTACTTCTGTATTCTCCACGGGGGCAAAGAAAGAGGAGTCTGGAATTACCCTGCCTGGAGCATTGGCTTCCTGTATCGCACTCAGTACAGTTTGTGCCGTACTATCTAGGGTGCCCTGCGTTGAACCGTGTATTCAAGTATTTACATGTCCGAATCCTGATGCCTCCGTCAAAGACACAAAATGCTCAAAATTTAATAAGCAATGGTGCAGCAGACATGCTGAGTACCTACATGCATCTTTTCAGGGCATGTTTGCTGTGGCCCAAAGCAGAATTTGGACTTTGCGATAGATCCTCCTTGATGTCCGCTAGTATGAAGCCAAAGGCTCGATCTCTTGTACTAGTTTCCGTAGCCAGACATGGGGGAGTAGATCGTGGGAGAATCCCCAATATGCAAGTCATTATTATCGGGAGCTGGAGGTTCTCACAGTGCGTCTACTACTTGGTGCTAAAAACGATTTTTTGGAGTTTTGAAACATGATGAGTTTGTCCTAGACCTTGGTGAATTCTCCTAGAATTTCTGCGAAAAGATGACGAAGATCTATTCACTGAAGGGGGTTTAATGATGTGAATGATCCTTTAAAAGAATTGGAAATAGAGGATGATGATTATTGATAGTTTTCTGCGTTGCCGATCTATCATGTTTTTCTTTTTGGTTAGTTAACTAAACGTTGTTTCCCAGGGTAACCTAATGATAATAACCAAAACACCTGGGCAAGGGAGACTCAAAAATAATACATTATGTAAGCGATTTTACGAGTCTCCCGGAACTTTTTTATGAGTCTCCCCGAACTAGAACCCGCCAAAAAACCCCTTTTCAATTGAAACCAGCCTATTGAAGGGCAGTATCTATTTTAATTGTATATAGTGCAGACTAAATCTCTGTAGGCAGACTAATTAAACAAGGCAGCAATGTTTCCCCCCCGCCCCTCATTTCGTGCTTGGCAGGGCCGGGGGCTGTCCAACCCAGTTGCTTAATAAATAAAAGACCTCGGTTTCTAGATCTCCGTAAACCTCATGTTTCCCTATTCTGCTGGAAAGCGAAGAAAAGAAACATCAAACTGAAAATGTGCCAAAGAATGTGTTCTTCCAACAAACACCCGCTCTCTAGAGCTCGCAAGACACAGGTCCTTATCTCGGTGATTTCGTGGCCGTGCGCTCTCGCCACCATCTTTACGACTCGTTATAGCCCTCTCGCATGGATCCAGTTCGTTGCAGTGAGTCTTCCTGCCCTACTATAGTAGAAGACTCCCTAACAATTCGAAGATCACGATTTCTAGCATCATACCTGCGCTCATGCTCTTCTGGTATCGCAAATTCGGAAGTCATTCTTATTCGCCCTTCGAAATCGCCATTGATGGCGCAGTCACCTTACTCCTGCTCGGGGTATACATTGCCGGAGTTGTCATCCTTGCTACTCATGAGATTAGGAGATGGGATTCTCCATGGGACTATCGGCTTGCTCTCGGTATCCCGCAGGTCTACTCCAATCTCTCATGTATCGTCCTCAGGTAAGTCGGTCCCGTAATTGAATATCACCTGCTCTTCCAAACACGCTAATCCCGCTAGTCCGTTATATTTACGCTGCTTTGCTCAAGGGTACCTACACCAATGCATCCAGCCTATGCTCAAGGCCGGCTGTGTCAATTACACCCTTTGCCCAGCTTGTGACAAATCTGTGGATGCTCCTATGACCCAGGGTCTGGAAGCGGGACAGGAAAGATCCACTGTCTGGACAGATATTCCTGAGGGTTTTTACACTGAAGATGTTGAATCCCAGCTGTTGCTACCTGAGAACTCCCTGGACGAGGAAGGTAAGCAGACTACTGGCATCGTAACCAATAACTGAAGCTTTAATTGGGGGGTTCGTTCGTGCGGACGCTTTGGAATGGCAAAGTTTGAAATGAGATAGTGTGATACTTCTTTGTCTGCCTGAGCCTTGACTGGATAGTCGCCGGGATGTCAAGTTTCGGTTATGTACAATCTAGGACATCTATGTTACATTGACGGTGCCTTGATTTTGTATGCAATGAATGATGATCTTTGAGTTCTTGGCGGATGATGACTTCGATACGATTATGTTAATACTAGATGATTGATTAGCCGTGGCCGCTCACAACCCGCCAACATACGTAGTTACACATAACCACAATATATGCTTCATGTCCAGTCAGCATTGTTATATGCGTTATTTCGTTCTTTGTTCTAATCCTGACTCTTACCTGATCTTGCACTGTTCTGCGCTCACTGACTGATAAACGTACTTCGTGATTTTGCAATTCTTACCGGGGCGGATGGAGTGGTTTGTTTATTTTGATAATATACGCCATCATACCTGCCCACTACCTATATAAGTATAGGACATATGAACAAAAACATTTTCACATACATACGAAAAAAGGCCATGAACGCGCCTATCTTCTTTCCAATTTCACACCCGTCCCAAAATACCTTGAGGGGTTTGAGTCTTTATAACAAGGGCAAGAAGCGCTCCGAGCACACATGTTGTGCCGCTCAATATTGAAACCTCAGAAAATCCGTGGTACTTGGTAACAAGTGCACCATTAACTGGGGGTCCAATCAGAGCAGCCATTGAAGAAACGCCCAATGCCATTCCCAGATAGGTACCACTTTCTCTGGGATCTGGAATCAAGATGGAAAGTGTAGCGGATGCACCAGAAATGATTGTCCCCGACCAGAACCCAAAGGCAATCGAATATACTATCAAAGCTGGGTTGGACTCTGCTTTGTTCATGCAAAATATGATGATGCCAGTGATGGTTCCACCTAATGTCAAAACATTCAATCGACCGAATCTGTCTGCCAGAACACCTGGAATCACACGACCAAAAGTCGAAGCAGCGTTGAGGATGGCAAGAAGATATGAGGCGAGAGTGGCATCCATGCCTCGAGAAACTGCGTATGTCGGAATATAGAACAAAGGCGTGAAAAGCCCAAAGAACATGAAGAACATTGCTGACACAAGGAGGCAAAAATCAACTTTCGTAAAAGCAGAAGGAATGTAAAATGACGTTTTTCGTGGTGGTAATCGGGCTTTGACCGTGAGGCATGAAAATACCAGAAGTGGAGTCACAACGAATGCAATGATTCGGACGGACCAGCTAAATCCCAGCGATGTGCTGTTCAACATTTTCGATAGAGCGATGGGAATAACCACACCACCAATGGATGATCCAGCGACCGCTATCCCCAAAGCTGCCGCAATATTTTTGTCAAAATACTGCATCACTGCAGCCATTGATGGGAATTGCAAGAGGCCCATAGAGACGCCTAGTAGAACGCCTTGTGCAAGCATGAACTGCCAATATTTCTCGCATAAGCTTGTCATCATCAAGGAAAATACATATAGTATCGCCGCAGGTCGGATAACCTTATATTCTTGTCAGCTAGTGTTTGAGATAAGCCAGATTGTGGGAGAACATACCCAAGCCCCATACCGATCGAACAATGGACCCCCAACGGCGGCCGTTACAAACTGAAGGAAAGCCGATAACGATCCAATCCATGCAATTTTATCCGCAGGTTCATGTTTCAGTTGGTGTGAAAGATAGTATTCTTCGAAAATACCGAATGAGTTTGCAAAACCTAGGGCTGCAAAGAAAGTGCAAGCAGCTCCGGCTGTTGTGAGCCATGCTTGAAGACCTCCATCTGGTGCTTTATTGGGATCACAGAGGTTTACCTCGCTGGTCTCATTGGTGCCGAAGCCACCACCTGATAGTTTCTCTGATGCCAAAGCTGTGAGGTGTCGATTATTCATGATAGAAATATATAGTGGATGAGAATGTGCAAAAGTTAAATAAAAAGGTAATTAACTCACCTAGTGAGGGATTATAAGGAAGATATAACGTATCAAGACCGAACCTACCTATCGTCCGCCTGTTCTTATATCTTTTCAAAAGAAGCTATTTTCTGACGATGTATACAATCGGAGCGGAATCGGAAACGGAGACGGAGAATTGCAGACGAGACGGACCAAAAGCGCAGGTCCGACGGAGTTAACTCACGATATCAAGATCATTGCAATTTCCCGCTCCGAATGAACATTCTCCATTCTACTAAACTCGGGGATCTGTGACTAGCGGAAGCGATGGATATCACAGGAACAAATACTTCGTCGGGCGCCTTATCGGTATCTGGGTCGAACCCCCGGCGTAGAAGACCCCCCCTGTAAGTAACAAAATCCGATCTGATTTTCGCCTCCTAAATGAGACCATAGGTCTTGTTCTCTTTGCCGCCAGCGCAAGATTAGATGCAATAGGCAGGTCCCTTGCAATAACTGTATACGGACAAAGAATCGGAATTGCGTTTATCGATCCTCACAGCCGCCTGCGCAGCATGGCAATGGACACGAAGGAGGAGAGACACTTGAGCTTGGATCGATCAATGCACCTCAACAGATCAATCAAAGCTTGGATAATTTTGTGCATCTTTCACGTATTAATTACAGACCAGCGATCTCAAGCGGGCCGTCACAAACGGTAGCCACCAGTTCCACTTCCCCTTCAACTCCGAATAGTCACTCATCCACGCACGAAATTGAGATGCTGAAGAGCAAGATAAGACAACTTGAGAATCAACTGGATAAATCAACGAGAAGCCATACTGGAACTTGCGCCCCAACTCCGGTTTCTGACATTGAGACAACACATTCTCACTTGGCTGGGACTTTTCATATCCACAACGCAAGCCTTCCTTCAAACCAAGGCCAAATGGTTAGACGCAGCTTCATTCATAAGAGGCGATTTTTCGGCCAAAGTCATTGGATTAGTAGCCTGTCATTGGTAAGAATCCTTACCACATGCATCGCGCTCAAACTTAAAACACTAAGAAACCATCAGTTTCGTGATATTGTCGAAATAATAGAGCCACATCTCATGGCCGAAAGGTCCAAAGCTATTGTGGGTCTTCAAAAATGCAAACATCTCGGGAAAAAGATCAAGGCACAACGGACACCCCAATGGCCGGTACCGATAACCACCGATTTGCCCTCGAAGGATATCTGTGACGCGCTCGTCGATTGTTATCTTCGAACATCTGAAAGAGTCTACAGAGTGTTGCACATCCCATCATTCCAAAGAGATTATGGCGCGTTCTGGGATTCTGGAACCCGACATGATCCCATATTTTTGGTGCAGTTGAAATTGGTGCTCGCCATTGGGTGCACAACTTACGATGATGAATTCTCGCTACGTTCCTCTGCAGTCCGGTTGATTTACGAAGCTCAAACATGGTTTGCTGAGCCTGAATACAAGGCACGTCTTGGGATACCATTCTTGCAAGCACACATCCTGTTATTTCTGGCCAGGGAATTGCTGGGTGTGGACGGAGGAATGAATTGGATCGCAGCAGGCACATTGATCCGAACAGCTATATACATGGGACTACACAGAGATCCAGTCCAGATACCAAATTTATCCGGATTTGCATCGGAGATGCGCCGCAGGTTATGGAATACGATTTTGGAGGTTTGCCTTCAATCTAGTATGGAGTCCGGAGGACCTGCACTCATCTCGGTCGAAGAATTTGACACAGAGCCCCCGAGAAATTTCGATGACCATGATATCGATGCCGAGCACCCTATACCCCGTCCAGAAAATCAATTGACTTCATCGTCAATAGCGATTGCTTTCCGGAAGACATTTCCAATACGACTTGCCATTGCCAAATTTTTAAATGACCTCGGCTGTCAAGGCTCGTATGACGAAGCTGTCCGCCTAGATGCAAGTCTGAGAGCTTCTTACAAAGAAATGCGTCGGACCATCCAGGGATATTCCATACAACCTTCTCAATTCGAGGTCCTCATGCTGGACTTTGTCATCCGTCGCTACCTCCTTTCAATTCACATCCCATTTTTTGGACCGTCGTTTCTCGGGACAACCTACGCCTTCTCCAGAAATGTTGTCATCGATACTGCCGTCAAATTATTTAAATGTGCTCGTATATTATTACCTTCAACAGCAAGCTCATCACTGAACCAAACCACGTCACCAGATCAAATCGATTTTGGGCGACTGACAATATGCGGGTCGGGATTCCTTCACACGCCATTCATACATTCCAGCTTCATAATAGCCATTGAACTAAAAAGCCAAATTCTCGAGGAAGACGGCCTGGGACCTGTCTCCATAAGACCTGATCTTTTATCTGTCATACAAGATGCCAAGGCTTTGAGCTTGCAATGTATCAAGATCGGTGAAACCAATATCAAGGGTTACTTGTTCATATCACTTGTTTCCACTCAGTTGGATGCTCTGATGCAAGGGGTCTCGGAAAGCGAACTTCCAAAGTTGTTAATCAAGGCCGCCGAAGAGGCTGAAGATAAATGTCTGTCAATTCTCGAGCCCCTGGCGGCCAAGGGTCAGAATGAGAAAATCGGAGAGGCCACTGAGCCTGAGTCTTCGACATCACTTCCTGATATCAGTGATGATTGGGATTCCATGGTAAGCCTCGATTTTGCTCCTTCTCTGTATCTCGTGCTGATTTAATACGTCTCAGATGACTGATGTGAATTTTGACTTCGCTGACATGGAGCCTGTGAACTGGATGTTGAATAGTATACCATACGGTATACCATGACAGTCTTCCATTTAGAATTTAGAATTTGAGAATACTATGGTGGAACAACAGGTTCATAGGAAATAATCGTTCGATTTTTGTTACCCACGCCTTTATAGAACTACGCACGGCGACTCACGTAGACAAAGAGCCAAACCTAGAAGTCAGAACAGGATTAAATTTGCATCCTATATCCAATATTACGTAGAAGATCAGGTATAAACCCTAGGGTATCCTATACTGGAGCTCCGTGAACTTGTAGTCGGTCTCTTAATCAATCTCTTGAATTAGTAGAAGTTTTGTCATTATCGAAAATGCATTGACAGATTGTAATAGCAACTAGGCTTCTTAATAGTGACAGGTCTCTGGAGTTACCGGCGAGCTATATGATGATTTGTCATTATTTATATCTCGCGGGTGGGCGGTTGCTTCTACATTGCCACTGAGAAATTTGGGCACCGGTGCCTTCTGGCAATTGCCAGGATTGATGTGCCATATGGCTATGATGATCGCCCATTGGTCATCATGTGTGTGTGGCTCAACATACCCCGCTCAGTCACCGTCTTTGGTCTTTGTAACGGAGTCCTGATTCATATCTTGTTCAAATTTGTATTGACATTCAGTCGGGTCAATATGCTCTCAGACAAAGAAAAGCTTCAAACATATCTTCGACAGAACGAGCAAAGTACCTACATCCGTCTTCAATGGATCGACTTCTCTGGAATTCTCCGCGCACGATTTGTTCCCCTTTCTCGATGGATATAGATCACTGAAGGTAATGAGGAGTATATCATTCTACAAGGCAGCAGGATCATGCCAGTCTCAACGGCACCGCGATCCTTTCCAACTAGCAATGATCTTGAGGTCTGGATCCTGCGTCCCGACTGGTCTTCCCTATACATATGCGGTTTCAAAGAGAGCAATACTTCTGTCATGTGTTTCTTGGAACACAAAGGGGCTGAAGATGTGTTTGGCAAGTGTCCACGCATGGTATTGCCTCGTGCACTCGCGCAATTTGGGAGAGACTGGGGCACGAGCGTACTGGCCGGCCTTGAGATTGAAGTCATGCTCCTAGGTGAGGATTTCCAGCCGATATATCAGCTGAATTGATTGAACAGCTATCAAACGATTGCTGATTTGCGCGGTCAGACAATTGACATAGTTGAAGGAATTCTTCGTTGTCTCACGGCGTCATCCATCAATATTCATCACCCCCATACAGAGACAACGATAAGATAGAATTTGCACTCAGGCTTGAGCTTTTACTCGACACTATCGACTCGCTTATCCTAGCACAGGAGACAATACGTACTGTTTTCATCAGACACAACATATCTAAGGGATCAGTATATCCCTATCTTTTGCTTCAAGATAATTCACGGATTCTAAATTCAATCAGTCTGTTAAAGTGCCTCATATACATGAAGATTATGCCTTGTCGGACAAACTACAAATCCTCAATCACGAAAAGCTACGAGCCTAACTTCTATGCTGTTAGGCCGTCATTAAAATGTTGTATCAACAATCCCCAGCAGGGGTTATAAAACACACATGATTTAGAAAGGCCACCCTTCCAGTCGCTATAACACTCGTGTCTTTATTACCACAACATTCGTCGATCAATTCTTGAACTGTCATTTAGTTGATCTTCAGTGATCTGTTTCGATATAATCGTCAAGCTACAACTGGCTGGAACTTACTATCCTATATCTCTTTAAGCTCAAGGTCAGTTCCACAGGACCCACATGGAGGACTAGCCTCGGGAGAAGAACAGAAGACAGAGAGTCCTTACCCTTAAAACGGGATATCTACTATCTACAGAGGTCTGCTAACATATATGATCGTCACACTTTCACCATTTATCAGCACCGACACTCGTTATGTGTCTGTCCATATTTATTCTCAATAGAGTTTAATATAACTTGGTAACATCGGTAAAAGAAGGACTGTGAAAAGTCTAAGTCACCCACCCCGCCAATGTGTCTCGCAATATATTCCGGTTCCGATGCAAGAACCAATGATCTCCATCTACCTCAAAAATGTTGAACTCTTTCGCATGTGTGCCCCAAGCAGCAACTTCGTCCGGGTACACCACTTCATCCTGGCGTGCGGCAAAAGCGGTGATCGCTATATCTAATGGATCCTCTTCACTAAATCGGTAGTTCAGAAGTAATGGTGCGTCCTTCCTCATCGCCGGTAATATCGAGCGAAGAAATTCGACATCATCTATATATCGAGAAATAGCCATCGCATACTCGGGGCTGAAGTCCTGGGGAATGACCTGGAGTATTACACCTCGCGTCTGCCAACGTTTGATGAGATTTGGTGCTATGGTGCCGGTTACCAGAAGGCGTGGAAGAGGTTTCTCTTGTTTTCTGAGGGCTCTAAGCACTTCGAAAGCAATAATTCCTCCGAAGGAGTGGCCCCAAAAGACTTTGGGGGCTCCCACGACTTCGTCCATCTCGCCAAGGATGCCAGAAACAACTTCAGACATGTTGCTTAAAACCGCTTCTTCGGATCGATTCTCTCGGCCTGGTAGCTGCACTGCAATTGCGTTGAGTCCATGCGGTGGATCCACCAAGAAAGGAGTGAAAAGAGAAGCCGAAGCGCCCATTGAGTGGAAGCACACAAGACGAGGGGAGGAGGCGTTGGATATTTTGCCGCCAATGAACCATTTTGATAAGACAGACAGTCCCACAGAGGGCACGTGTTCGGAGGTGTGGTTGGCAGCATCAGTACCGTTCCCACCTTCGACATGACTATTTTGAAATGAGCCATTAAGCTCCACCGCAATTTCCTGAAGACTGGGCGCTTCAAAGAGCCTCATGAGGGGGTATGGAACCCGAACTTCACGCAATATCACGCCTCGCAGTTGTGTGAGAGTGAGGGAGTCAAATGCGTATTGGCTGATCTTCTCCGTGAGAGAAATCCGACTCGGGTTTACGCCAATGATTTTGGCCAGTCCAGAGCATAATGTATCGGCGATCATGGCCACTCGCTGTGGGCCAGATATATTGAATATTGATCGGGTGGACCCTGAACTGCCTAACTCGGCTTGCTCATTCTTCAGCCCCATGAAAGCAGCATCTCGAATCAGATGAGGGTACGCTGTGAGAAACATAGACCAATCAAGATTAAGAGCCAGGCGTTGCGTAGTACCATGAAGAATACCACGCTCAAAGGCGGATAGAACTGCTGGAAGACACGTGGTCACTAACCCTAGCGACTGCAGGATTTCGTGGAGCCTGTCGTTGTGGGTTGATTTCTCAGACATACCAGCAAAGTATCCTAGTAAGCCAAGATTGAGAGAAAATCCTGGCAAGCCGGATGCCTGACGGTAATGTGCCAGTCCATCTAGGTACTGGTTCGCAGCAGCGTAGCCGAATTGTCCTGTGAGCCCGATAATACTCGCGATGGATGAAGCCATAACAAAGAAGTCAAGATCCATGTTCTGGGTAGCCAGATGAAGATTCCATGCACCCAATGCCTTGGGCTTGAACACATGCCAGAAATCATCCATCTTTGTCTCATGAGCATATATATCTCCCAAGATCCCTGCACAGTGAACCACCCCTACGATAGGAGGCCAGCCCGTTTGATGACTGAAAAGCAGCATTACCGCCTCAAGGCTACTGATATCTGCTTGCGCAATCCTTACGTTGGCTCCGTGGCGTCGCAGATCCAAAATAATTGCATGATCCTCTTCAGACTTTGGTCCTGAGCGACTTGCAAGCATGAGATAACGAGCTCCTCGCTTAACCAGGAGCCTGGCGAAGTGTAGCCCTAGACCACTTGTACCGCCAGTGATGATATAAGTTCGATCCCCTCGGAGCTCTAGCTGAGTTGGTGGTACTGTAACAACCTCGGTGTTGTCTGGTAGTTCCACGGCAATGTTTCCGATTACGGTAGACCGGGAAACTGCCTTCAGGGCTGTGGAGACCTCCGTGATGGGGTATGTGGTGACTGGGAGTGGTACCAGCTGGCCGTTTGCAAGCAGAGCACAAACTTCGTTGATCATTCGACAGTGTAAATCCGGCTTTTCTATTGCCAGTCTATCGACGTCAACAACAAAGAACGAACCATTCCGGCTGAATTGCTCGAGGCCGAGCTTCGTATTCCGGTAAATATCCGTACTTCCTATCTCCAGAAAGCGGCCGAATGGAGCAAGACATACGACCGATTGTGGGAACATGGTGCTAGAAAGTGAATTTAGCACCACGTCCATGCCTTGGTCTCCGGTTACAGCCTTGAGCTGATCGTGGAATGATACAGAAGTTGGATCCAATACGGCTTCGACTCCCATCTGTAACACCCACGCCCGACGGGAAGGAGTTTCAGCTGTAGCATATACACGAGCACCTAGATGCTTGGCAATTTGAATTGCCGCGATACCCACCCCACTACCTGCTGAATGGATGAGAACCCGTTCTCCAGACTCTGGTCTGCCGAGGTAGGCCAAGGCATAATATGCTGTTATGAATGCGACTGGAACGCAGGCTGCTTCGGGGAAAGTCAAAGAGGGCGGGATAACAGCTAGCAGGCTACGGTGGGCGGTTATGAGCCCTCCAAGGCTCTGTGGCACTCGAACCATGACCGGAGTGCCAATTTTAATGTCTTGCACATTTTTACCGACCGCCACAACTCGGCCGGCGGCCTCCAGTCCTAGCTTTTGACTTGCAAGGCTTCCAGAGATTACTTGCTCACTCGACACGCCGAAGACATTCATTGCATCTGTGATGTTTAGACCAGCGGCGTGCACTTCAATACTCGCATCATCTGGTCCCAATTCTTCTTCGACTTTCTGCCGTATAATGATATTGTCGAGAGTCCCGTTGGGACCGGGCTCAGAGGAATATGCTCCCCCTCTTGCAGGCACACGCTTTTCTATGCGTCTCTTCTCCTCTCCGGGATCCACAGCCACAATTCGTTTGAAGAATCGACCTTCGGGTCGTATGGCCACGACACTCTCGGTATAGCCGACCCGATTCGTTTGTAACTCTTCTTCCAGTAATGGGATGTTCTGGCGATGTTCGTCTAGCGCAAGATCCACACAGCGGATACGAACTCGGGGCAGCTCGTTTGCCATTACTCGGGCAGCTGCTTGCACAGCAGAGGAAATGGGATCACATTGTGAGTCTGCTGGCGTCATGCAGCTGCCCTTGGTCAAGATCACAAGTGTGGGAACTCCTTGGTTCTCATGAAGCCAGGTGGCGACGAGAAGAAGTACTCTCATCACAACTTCCACGGTGCGGTGAAACTCGCGGCAGTATGAACCGGAAATGAACGCCGGAATAATGACAAGTAAGCGCGCGTCCCACAGAAACGGCCATTCTGTGGGCTTGTAGTTTTCATCAACTTGGTCTAGAAACTTCTGATGGAACTGGGCGCGAGGAAATGTTCTCTGGATGCTGCATTGCAAGTCAAGGCCCCCCCTCTCAGGTTCAAAAATCACCACGTTATCGAATTCAGACTCTACTCTGCTCAGCCCGTCCTTGGTTTCAGGTTGGAAACATACTTCGTGTTCCAGAAGCCGTGGCACATGCTGACCCGGAATGCGCTTTGTTGTGATTCCAGTTGCTACGGCAAGGATTTGACCATTTTCGCTATAGACTGATGTATTGCAGCGGAGGAAAGTATCATCATGCAGCGTAATATGGGTATGCACAAATGCAGATGTGATACTCTCCTCTGCTTCGAATATCTCAATCTGTTCAACGTGGGAAGGTAGGTTCACATACCGGAAATCACCGTGCTGGCCCTTGTCAACGAAAATCATATGTACGGCAGTATCCAAGAGCGCCGGGTGGAATCTGAACCGTGCTGCCTCCGCATGCAAAAAGCCCGGGAGCGTTATATATGTGAAAATTTCGTCCCCTAGCCGCCAAATCCTTTGAGCTCCCCTGAACGCCTCTCCATACCAAAGACCTGACTCTTCCAGTTTCAAGTAAAAGTTTTCAGGATCAACTTCCACCCCAGCCTGCAGCCGAGACCTTGCACTTTCCAGTGCCTCTGTAGCAGCCCCCGGTCGCTCGTCAAACGCATTAATCCGTCCACGAGAACAGACCTGCCATGGCACCTCAGGGGTCGAGTCTGCGGGGCGTGAACTTATCACAAAGTCATTCGCAGGGGTTGTAATTTCTAGCAACACTTGCGGAGCGGGATCCTCTGCAGATGGTAGGATCACAGGACGCTCAAGCCTCAGGTCTTCCAGCCAGATTTTCATGTGTGGAAGGTGTTCCCGCGCAGCCATGTATACGGACTCCACATGTCCTGTCATTGGAAATACGACCGCCCCATCTATAACATGATCGGCAAGAAAGGGAGACACGCCTGTGCTCAGTCTGAGTCGTACCGCCGCTCGATATTCATCGGTAAGACGAAGAACGCTCCTAAGGAATGGATGCTTGTTTTGACCAAGCCGGCGTTGCTGAGCCTCCGGGTTCTCGAACCAGTACTGCTGGCGTTGAAACGGGTATAATGGGAGATCGACAAGCTGGCCCCCGCCTCCGTTGAAGGATTCAATGTCCACGTCAACGCCGGTTGCATGTGCCGCTCCGATGACACATGAGACAGGGTCAGTTTTACTCCCCCTGATCATGGCTGGCATAATGTGAACAGAGTGCTTGGCAGATTCAGCAATACCACGGGTTCCAGAGACCAAGACAGGGTGTGGCCCAATCTCGACTAGGAAATTACAACCGTCTTCTAACATCCTTTCCATGGTCTCGCGAAATCGGACTGGCCTACGTACGTTTTGAAACCAGTAGTCACCTGACAGGTGAGTGCCAGGCTCAATCAGCGTAGTGACAGTGGAGTACAAGTTGGTCTTGGTCGGGTTCCCTTGAACACACGATAGTGCTGCAACGAGTTCGTTTTCCAGGGGATCCATGAAGCGGCTGTGGTATGGTACGTCCACTTTGACGAATCGCGCAAAGCTCCCCTGAGCCTCGAGAATACTGGCAAATTGTTCCAGTTCTGCCGTAGGCCCAGTCAAAGTCGTCATTTCAGTGCCATTGTGAGCTGCAATCTCCACAATTCCTCCAAAATGATGCCGCTGAAGAAGTTGCTCTGCCACCTTGGATGATATTCCAGATGCTAGCATACTTCCCATGCCTGCTGCCTTATTCTGGATCTGTGATCGAACATAAATGACTTTGACGGCTTCCTCAAGACTAAGTGCACCAGCGATATGGGCAGCAGCAACTTCACCAATGGAGTGGCCCACGATAGCATCTGGTGTGAGTCCATAAGACATTAACATTCTCGCCAATGCAATCTGAATGGCTGCGATAGCAGGCTGAACAATTGTGGTTTTGTTCATTCTTGCTAGGTCGTCCCCGCATGATGACATCTCCGTGCAAATTGAAAACCCTCCCAGTGCAATGAATATCTCATCAAAGGCAGCTAGAGACTCACGAAATTCAACTTCTTGATCCGCAAGGGCCATCCCCATCCCGAGCCATTGGCCGCCTTGACCAGAAAACAAGAAGGCTGTTTTCGTAGAACTTCCTGCTCGTCTCTGGAGAGGCAACACATGCTTAGTTACTTGTCCAGAACTTAGATGGTCAAGTCTAGAGCACAAGTCCTCAAGGGTGTCAGCCGCAATGACCGATATTTCGTTGTGGGTGCTCCGTCGCATGTTGAGAGTGTATGCAACGTCGGTTAGAGCGGTCTTTTGGAGTTGTAGGTAAGAGGAAAGTTGTCGAGCAACCTGCTCCATAGCAGATAGAGACCTTGCAGAAATCACATAAACGCGTGGCGCATGACTGGCTGGAGAATAGGAGCTACTGATATCATTCGGTGCTTCTTCGAGGATAGTATGCGCGTTGGTCCCCCCAGCCCCAAACGAGTTGACCCCGACCCATAGCGTGTGTTGCCCATCTGAGGATAAGGGTGTAATCTGGGTAGGTACCTCAATCTGAAGTGACTGGAAATCAATTACAGGATTGGGATTCTTGAAATGGACCTGTGGGGGGATTTCTCTGTGAAAAGTCACCAGTGCTGCCTTGATGAAGCCAGCGATTCCAGCAGCGCCCTCGAGGTGACCGAAATTACCCTTGAGTGATCCTATCCAAAGGGGATTTTTATCTTTAGACCGCGCCTGTCCGATCTGGTTTCCAAGGGCGTCTGCCTCGATGGGATCCCCGACTGGGGTTCCTGGGCCGTGGGCCTCGACATAACGGACTTTGGCTGGGTCCGTGTTGGAATTTTTGTAGATCGAATGCAGTAATGCTGTCTGAGCTGCCAGGCTGGGGACAGTGAATCCCTCTGGTGTGTATCCGTCTTGATTCACAAGGGAGCTGCGGACCAAGGCGTAGATTCTGTCCTTGTTTTGGATCGCTCGACTGAGAGGCTTCAAGAAGACCATTCCGACGCCTTCACTGCGAACATAGCCATTGCCCGCCGCATCGAACGATTTACAGGCGCCATCTGGAGAAAGAAAACCCGCCTTGGACATCAAAATCGTAGACTCGGGGCGGAGAATGGCATTAACACCACCAACGAGAGCAGCCTCGCTCTCTTGCGCCCAAAGGCTTTGGCAGGCCAGATGCAACGCAACCAAGCTGCTCGAGCAGGCGGTATTGAGAGTAAGGCTCGGGCCTCGTAAATCTAACCGATGCGAGACCCGATTAGCGATTGAGCAGTCGTGAGTTCCCATTCCCACATGGGGACCAACGTTGTCTCGTTGCTCTGTTCCTCCTTGGATGGAGAGATAGTCGTTGGCGAACATCCCAACAAAGACACTTGTCTGTGATCCAGCCACCTGCTGCAAAGTTGTGCCAGAGTCCTCCAGCGCATGAACGCTAGCCTCCAACAGGAGTCGCTGTTGCGGGTCGATCCTGGATGCCTCGCTTGGGAATATACCGAAGAATTCGGCATCGAAGGATTGAATTTTGTCCACGAATCCCCCTTTGATGCTTCGGATGGTACCATATTTTGCCGGGTTATCATCGTGCAGGGCATTTGCATCAAAACGATCACTCGGTACTTCAGACACCAGGTCCCTGCCTTCACGCAGTACGTCCCAAAACTCCTTCGAGCTCGTGACCCCCCCGGGAAGGCGACATCCAATACCGACAATGGCAATGGGCTCGCGATTGATAAAAGCCATAACAAAAATTATAGATAGCAAGAAAAAAGAAACCACGAATGTCTGTTGATATCTCAATAGATTCTGGAGATTCTGGAAGCTAGTTATGGTTCTCCTTTCCAAACCGCTTTCCATCGACCCTTTTATATACACGTAGATGCCTTTTTTCAAGAGTCGCCATATGACGTAGGCAGATTTAGATACTCGGCCCACCCCAGCGATGTTCTTGGGGATTGGGCTCACAGACTCCCTCTCTTCCACATAAGATTCATATACGCATCCATCCCTATACAGTCCATCGGTATCCACTCTTGTGTGAGTTTGGCGTATGCCCGCTTCCCTCTTCTTCCCTTTCGCATAACTCCGACCAGTCTAGTTCAAGGCCCACACTCCCATTTCTTTCATCCCTCCAGTACTCTCGTAATATCAGAGGTCTGTCGATCGAAGAACGCAGTGCAGGTTTATCCATTGAGTTCCCATCCCTACACAGAAACAGTGTAGGTAATACCTCGGTGGCAGGTCGAAGCAATATGCAAAATATAACTATTGCGTAACCACATGATTATGTGGGCCAGTGTTAGAACTTGAGTTTAATACGTGCAAATTGATCAATCGGTCGATCTGCATATTGCCTCATGGTACTAACCACATACACTATATATGTCTCCGGTAGTAGCCTGAAGGGGATAATAACTCGCCTAGCATTTAAATCCTATTAAGTACAGCTCTATAAGGTCGGTATTTCAGATATTTCGGACTTCGATTCGTAATGCCTAAGTTGCCAAGTTGTTTGGAAGATGAGCTGACCTTCCCTGCTTGCTCTAGTCTTAGTAGTCTGTAGCTCTGTAGATGGCTTCTTTTTTTCTCCACGCAACTAGAGATTTTCCAGGGTACTCATCTCGTCATATTAGTCCTTCCAACTTAATCTTTCACAGCGGTATTATTTTTATTTACAAATGGTGTTCTATATGACGTGGAGAGTGGGTACTATAGATACTTGTTACTCTAGGTGTTTTATCTCCGCTTTATCGGATCACGTATCATTTCAGCTATCGTTAGAGTTATCTGACTTGTTTTACTTTTATCTCGACTGGTGTTTCATGTTGAACTAGACCTGAGATGCTTCTCTATGAAAGTATGTATAGGTAAGCGCGATATCATATGACGTATAGCCTCCTATGAGACACGTGCTCCTTGTCGGTATCTTATGTGAATATATCGCCCTCAAGACCCCTATAAGAAGATTTTCCTCTCACACAGACTGCTATTTAAATGTATTTTCTAAGTAATCATAAGTCCTAGGAGGACGCACATCCCTCAGTGAGTTTTGGATCAGTACCAGATGACCTACAGTGTAGTTTCAGTCATAACAGTTGCACAGGAAAGCAAAACTAACGTTTCGTAGTTGACTGGCTATCGGCAAATAAAAGCGGAGTCAATGTACCTCGGTACATGTTGACTATTGCAGGACCAAGTGCTCCCGTCCGAGAACTTCACAGGACTTTGTACAACAGGTTACCCAAGTAAGGTTCACCCATCTGTGGACACACACTCAACTTAGTCATCATGATAATCATATCACTTCCCAAGCAGTCGCGGCTTGGTGTATTTGACTTTTTGAAGGTATTACTCATCCATTTGTCCACAGCCTAGCATAATTTATGATGTATGCGAGATTTTAACATGAAATATACCGCTATTCCAAGCCGATTTCATCTAATATGCGCATTCTAAAATAATATTTGGGTTTTATAGTTAGTATGATGAGGATAATTTCATAGCATCAAAGTGGTATCTTTTATTTGTATAGCATTGAAACAACATGCATAAAATACGGAAAAGAATCTTATAGTAACCTTAGGAGTCCCTCTCTAGTCCTATGGGAATTCGGTCATACACTGTCCGTCATAGCGAGTCAGCTTCTCTTTCCAACTGTCTAGAAAGACTTATTAGATTAATCCTGTAGGGTATTCCTAAATTCCCCATGCCCCACCACTAGGCATCATTTGTTAATTCTGGGAAGCCTTCGCGCTACCAGGATTTGTGCTGATGCTATCGGTTGAAGCATTATCAGGTAGGTGACCCCCTAAACCCTAAATCGCAACCGGGGTTATTCCTATGGGCTAAAGGAGGTTATTCCTAGTCGATATCTAGAATGTGGATAATCAATGCTAGGAATACGCATTTAAAACGCAGAAAATAAATGCGATTGATACCAAGACACTGTTTGAAGAGAGGCATGATGTGAATGAACGATAAATGCAACAGTTATTTGGGAGTTGTCGAAACATGCATCTTTGTTAATGCTTTCCGCGCTATCAGTAAAATGAAAAAGAATAGACTGGTGGTGGTACAAGACCTATAGTGGTGACAGCATAAGGATCAACGGGCAAAGAGGATCTACAGCCGGTGATTAAATTATTGGTTCTCAGAAATTCGACTACAAAATGGTAGAAAAGAATAATACACCGATTTATTCGTTCATTTTCTTTTGAAATATAGAAGAGGAGCGTTTATTGAATATTATTGGCCGGTTGACACTCTCTACAGTGCGAATTTCCTAATACCCAGGCACCCCCAAGTCTGCTGTAAAATTTATTTCACTCTGCCCACTTAGAAAGTTATTATAGAAAGATATAGTAGGATAAGCCAGTGCTAGGGTTCTGCAGAGTCTGATTGGGTTACTTCTGTCGGGGAAATGATACAGAGCTTAATTTTCGTCATTATTGCTGATTCCCTGCTGGTAGACCAAAGATGCTAGCCGGCCCGCTGAGAGCTATATTTTGAAGTTGAGCCCCAAAGGTGTCGTGCTATTGATGGCTTCCCAGTTACCAAGCCCAGCCCACCGTCATAAATAGTAGATAGGGTGGAGCTGGTCTGACAGGCTGCATGGGAGGACGATTGCGGAGATGGTGGTGAGGTGGGAAAGAGGTGGAAGATGAACCACCACGTTGAGCGACTCAGGGAATCCCTTCTACAACCAGATCAATTCACCACCTAGCTCAAGTCCTAATCCTTGCATCACCACAACACTCAACCTTGAACACTGTGAGTTTATGGAATTTTGCGCGTCGCTAGCATTCGAGATTCCTACTGACAGCCTCTCAAGCAAACAAGTTCCAGACGATGCCCTCTTTGAAACGCCCCCGTGACATTGCCACCTCGCCTCTCCCCGATCTCCTTGTCAGCGATAACCGGACGACGTCAAGCACGCTTCATAAAATACAATTCGCCGGCCCACTTCTGCCATGGACAGGGTTCACCACTGCTGTTAAAAATGCCTACAATACACAGCAGTGGAGTAACCGGGTGATTCAGATCGGCATTCAATCCAGAAATCTCACCACTGAGAGGGTTTTTGTCGGAGATGAGGCCGGGGTTTGTGCTCGCTTCCAACAAGCTGCTGGACAGGTCCTTGGTGCAGTATTTGAGGCCCAATCAATCAATATAGCACTAGGGGACTTCAAGTGCACTGGACTTTCATACAGCAAGACCCCCGACGTGGTCATGCTCTCTTTACCAGATCTGCAGAACGGCAATGTGCAGCAACTAAGAGTTGTCGGCGAAGTCAAGGTACCGTGGCTGATAGAGCATCGACTTGACTTGTGTGCTGCAAATTCAACTTGGTTGCGAGAGGTCCTTGCACAACCTATTTCATACATGTTAGACCTTGGTTGTGTGTATGGCTTCATCACCAATTACTGCCAGACCATGTTCTTACGACAAATTCAGGTCGGATCAACTTGGAGGATTGAGCATTCCCCCGTCATCGAATCATCCGTCCGATATGTGCCCTCAGACCCTGCAAATCAGGTTATCGGACCTATGTTGACCTTCAATCAATGTCTTCTATATCTTGCTACCATTGCTGAAACCCAGGGCCCGATTACCAACCCCACTCCTCGCAGTCAATGGATCAGGCGACGTCGATCTTAGTATACTGCCCGGATACTTTCGTGTATAGCAAATACATTCATGTAAGCAAGAATCCGAGACAGTATGTGTGTGCAATTGGCTGACGTCTATGATCATGTGGCAACTGGAGCTAAATTTGACAATGAAGACAGATTTCGATAAAATGCATGTAACATTTGACATAGTACGCCCTAATTGCACCTGCAGCAATCCTTTCATTCATATTTTTTTACTAAGCCAGTCAGGAAGAAACAAGACGGCGCAACGTGCTTTACACTGTATCCCGCTGGGGTTGTTTCCATATTCACCACGTCCAGCCGTTGACATCTTCGATCCAATCCACCGTTTCGGGTGGTGTCCCTTCCAAGTAGAATCGGCTATTGGATGGTTGGATGAGTCCGTATTGGAAGTAGTTAACATCATCCCACTGTTGAGGTTCGTCAAACGGAGATGCGAGTTTGAATCCGCAGATGTGCCTAGAGAAGGTTAGATGTTAGATCATCATAGTCCATATAGATACTCTCGTATAGACACACATTTGACCACTAGACTTGTCATAAATAATCTTCGATGGACCACCCATACATGGCATATACCCGCACTGTAAAAACCTACTACTCTCTGTTAGCCTTATGATTTCGCAGTGGTCACTAGATAATCATACGTATAGACTTGGCGAAACGTATCGCGGATGGCCTGGCGATCGTCAAAGGGGAGTCTCCAGAATTCGGTCAAATTAAGAGAGTCGCCGGCGACTTTTTCCCATAGAATATACGTGATGTATCCCCCAGGAACACCCTCGTCGTGGTCTTGCTGGCGCTGTTGATAGCCTAGCAGCCGAGGAACAACCTCACAGTCTAGCTTCATGAATGTCCGGAAAGCAGTCAGTTCTGGGTGGTCAGGAGGAGTCTCGACGGCCTGGCTAGCCCGTATCGCGGCCTTCTTCATTTCAGTTCCAGCTATAGGAACCTGTTGGTAAATGCGTAAAAATGCGCGCCTGTTATCATCTTCCACGCTGGCAGGTCGGCATAGGAACTTCCCGGCTGTGTCTGAGGGCCCGAGCTCCGCAGCGATGTCTTCCTTTGTCAGGCGATTCGACTCTTCGCCGAGCTTCTCGAGTATTATCCATTTTTGGGCAGGGAAGTTGAACGGTGGTTCGGCAACGGTATCAAACGTGACCTGCGTTCCTTCGAGATCGGTGAGATATTCCATTGATGAATCCATGGCAGGTAGGTTGGAGATGGGAACAAATGGTACAAAGAATGGGTAGAAGAGTGGTGATCATATGTTTACAAACAAGGTTTAATTTCTCCGGCTCTGCGGCAAAGTTTCTCTCCCACATCACGTCAACCTTTTTTTCTTTCAGCTACGTGTATTGTTTGTTTGATGGTTTCCAGTGTCTCGTTGGAGCCCTTCGCCCTCCACTGCAATCCTCTCGACTACGGATCTTTCTCCGACGGAAGCCAGCTTTATGCCTTCTCAACTGCCCCTCTACGGACCAAGCATCCCGGTATAACAACTGGCCCCGGCAACACGACCTGTTCCGAGGCCAACGGTCAAATCCATGTCAGCCAATACGCTATCCCTAATACCTTTTTGGTTATGCCTCCGCTTCATGCAGCAGTGTCGACTTTGGCTAGACTAAGAACACATGTTACCTCAGCAACGATGACAGCCCGTCAACTTTCAAAGCTCGCCACTTTACCAGCACGCAGTCTGTCAGTTGTTCTGGAGCTTGTGAAAGAGAGGAGTCCCATCCCGGCCTTCCTCGGTTTAAAACGACACAAACGCCATCAGCTAAGGTCGATAGGGCCCTCACTTGACCTTTATATCCCTAAGGCAAGTTTAGAGCCCTGTAGCATAAAGGCGATTGTCCAGAAAGGGTGCATGGTAAGTACGCCGCTGCCCTTAGGTCGCTTGACCTGTCCAACAAGACCTAGCCGAGTAATAATGAGACAATTCAAGTGCTGAAGGCAATCGAAGCCTGAGCACAAATCGGACCATAGCCTTCATCCTACCTGTCTAGGTCGCTAGTATACTTATACCCTACCGTATAAGTTCCAGTATAGCCCTCCACAATAGAAACTATGTTAGAGCGAGTCAAAGTATAGAAGGTTGCCTGATGGAGCTCAGTAATCCAAATGAATTGAAAAAAATGCCTCACCAGATCAACCTTAGAAGGGTAGATGAGGATAAGAAACAAAGAGCAGATAGTGGGGATAGGGAGGGTTATATGAAACCACGCGCATAAGGATAGAGGGGGCTGAACCAACAGTGTCAAGGCTAAACCTGAAGTAACCTCCATCCCGGGGCGAAGCCGCGCTTATAAAATGGGTGACTTCAAGATTCTGTCAAAACTAGGAGATGCCATCATCAATATTTCTCTTTTTAATTTTGGGAATACTTCAATTTTACTGCTTACCGTAGACACAGTAGGCGCCAGATATCTTTACCAAGTTTGGTATATGCGAAGATTACGGGCTCTTATACTCATCCACGGATCTTAAGCTTCGGTCGAAATTCTGAATCCAAAATACAGTCGACGTTGCTTTAGCAACAATAAAATGATGCCATGCATGTGCCGAGGCACCGGTCGTTTCATGTCGTGGGGAATGAACGAATCTGTTATCTTAAATTGGCGCCTCGAGATCTTCATCCTGGGATAAACCAAGTATTCTGATTGGTTTGTGTCTGTGCGCAACGCTCATGTCTCCGACTATGGGTCCACAAAACATCCCGCTCCCTCCTCGACTAGGAAGTCGCGCTGCAGTAGGCGCCTCGACAAAAGTACAACTATTCCTGGGAGCTGAAACAGGGGGCATTTTAAAAAATGGTTTGCCCTTTTAACCCGTAATCTCCCTCGCTTATTGCAAGTCCGAGAATGAGCAGCACTTGAGGGAAATACTATGAAAACCCCACCACAACCAGCGACAGTCCATGAACTGGACCAATATGGCAACCCGGTGCTTCGCAGCAAGGTTTCTGCGACTAGAAACCGCGTAACGAAAAGGAACTCGACACCGTACTCCTTAAACAGAGCTCAGCATCCGCCTGGAAAAGCCCAGGACTGGATTCGGGGCGAGTCCACACGTAGTGGCTCCCTGAATGAGATGGTCAGGGCCTACGGCGAAGACCCAAAATTTCCCATGACTATCTTCAGTAGTAGCCAGGACACAGATTCGGAGCGTAACAAAGTTCCCGGATGTTGGTTCAGAAAGGTTTCTTTCCTTGGTATATATATATATTCACATTCTGACTATACCCGTGATTCAAAGCTAATTAAGATATAGATGAGGCGGAAGTACTTGATACCAGCGCAACAATCGGTAGTCAGCGGTGCATTCGATTGACAGCGTTTATCACGAAAAGTGATGAAGACCACATAGATCCCAAAATCTACGTGGAACAACGAGTTTACGAAGGCATAAGCGATAACATAACTGTCCACGAACTTTCTTTTGGCGGCAGCATTCAACTTGACAAGGAGTATGTGTTTCCGGGCTGCGGCGACGAAGATAGAATCTGGGGAAAGCGTGATCTGATACTTCGCATCGTATCGGTAAGTTACACTCTTAGGTATCTACTGTCTAGGAAAGGTCGCTCAATCATATTCAGCTTGAGCAGGAAAGCTTCAATACCTACCTGCGGGGCCATACGACATACTACGGTTATGATATCAAAGACTATATCTATGTGGACGAAGAGAGCATTTCTAAGGAGTCACCGCATACGGTATGGCGAAATATGAGCCAAGCACCTTACAAGATATCATTTAATGCGAGGGATTTACAAATTCTGCGCAATGCCAAACAAGAGAACCCGGAAAAGGTAGCCGTATTATCGGGTGAGGACATTGAGCTCCTTCAGCTGCATTTTGTTGGGCAAGGACATTCCACCGAAGACAACTTGGGTGGAGGTGATCTTGATGTTTGTGTTATCTATAGGCCTTGATGTCAATATGGTGTTGTTATATGTGATCTTTGGGCTCTCTTTTCTGTAAAGGTCGTATAAAGTCTAGGATAGCTAAGATCTGATTCCCTATTTTGCTTTAATGGTGTATGTTGAATATGTCTGAATGTAACACTACGGAAGGAGGGAAGAGGAGAGCGAAGCTCCAACGTAGTTGGTTATACTATATGCAGTATGACCTGGTCCTTCGGGTATTGGGTTATAGAAAAGTCTAACATCTTCTTTCTCGATGGTGTCGAGGCGTGCTACACATCTAAATATCCACATGTGATGAATATTAGTCAATGATACGTAATGATAGAAAAGTAGTAGCTACAAAGGGAAGAACATTATATCCCAATATATACATTACTATCAATTTCCACAAATAATCAATTCGAAATTATTAGGCTGGCTAACTCAGCTCTAGTAGCACCATGCTATATCAGTCTAAGAAGGAAATAAAAAGAAATTGCAACAAGCGAATTCAATGCACAATTTGATACCAAAAACCAGTTGTTTGCATCAAGTTCGGAGCTCACAAAAGCAATTTTCTGGGCGCTGTAGGTGACAACTTGTTCAAAACCAGGTCCAATGTGCTCTTCAGTTCGTTCCAACTATCAAGTATATTGGAGTCATCATGACCTTGAAACAGATCAAGGGCAAGCCCTTGCTTGTGAATCTGATCAAATTCAATCGCCTTTCCGTGGAGTGTTTCGATCGAGCTTCTGATAAACTCGCTATAACGGCTCTCCAACAATAGTAGTGTGGCTTCGTATTCCCTCCGAGACTCTGCATACGAGCCAAACAATGAATTGAATGTAGATCGAAGTATTGCCATCATGTTCTTGCGATACTCGGTATTTTGATACGCCCCGTATGCTGGATGGAAGCCGTGCACGACATGCGCTATGTGTTGTTTGTAATTGAATTGAGAGACCGTTTGATTTTTTGCACCATTTAGCGAGGATCGTAGATCACCAAGCTTAGCGTGCCAGAACGAATCATAGAGACCACCATCCTTAGGACTGAAACACTGGCATGCAACGATAACGGGGAGCTTGAACTTGTGAATACAAGCAAGAGTCAGCTCAAACATATCATGCAAGGCTTGTAAGCGCTTATCATGGTTATTTTCCAACCATGTATCAGTCAACATAGGAAACAATTCCATAATGATTATGTCGTCGAGCTTGAATCCAGTATCACCCAGGACAACTTGTAGCCAATCTAATGTAAAAGTCTCCGTGACCATTTTGTCGAATTCAAGCTTATCATTCTTTGGGTTTTGAAACAAAATACATGGAAAATTCACAATGCCGCATAGCAATCGTCGGAAATTTTCGAATCCTTGCTGCGGTAATCCATATTTGTCACGAAGCTTTGCAGCCTGGGTAAAAATGGGATCGTTTGGAAGAATTCGTTTGATATTTGCATGTTTGATTGTTTCCTTCAAAAGCTCTTCCAGCGTTCCCGGGGCTGGGACATGTTCAAAAAAGGGGTTGAGAGCTTTCGAGGTTTCTTCCGGCTCCATGGTCTCTAGGGCTCGAGTATACTCCAAAAAGGGATTGAAGAGAGGTTTCGATGTTTCTTCAGGTGGGGAGGTCTCTATGGCTGGAGTATGCTCCAAGAGAGGGTTGAAGAGAGCTTTCGAGGTTTCTTCAAGCTCCAAAGACTTGAATTCGTTAACGAGAACATCCGCAGTGGTGGCCATATTGTGTGTAATACAAAGTAGCGAGATAGTTTCGGTATAAGACAGCTTATCTTCTTATATACCCTCTAAGGTCAGAGATTAGTGTGCTTGGGGGCTGGTCATATGGCTCAGTGCCAACTCATGGATGTGTAGCACCGACGTCAGAACCAACATGTTCCTCTCGACACAGCCCGCTTTTTCATTCAGTCGGCGTGATGATCGTATGGTTCGCAAGCATTGTTCGTACTCGTGGCTGTGCACTTTTATTGCCATGTCTCACACCTTTCAAGCCGCCCAAAGATCTTTGTCAATGAGGCTCAACCAACATCTACAATATACGTAATGATTGGTTGCATAATGGATATCCATACACCCAACCAATAGCTGTTTATCAGCCACAAAGCATAACCAATTCTGAGATTTAGTTGATTTGGCTACCTATGTATATCTTCTGTTTATTTATATATCTACTAGTATCGTTAAAAGCACAACCTATATTCTCAACAAAAGTCGATCAAGACTTGCAATAATATGTCAAGACCATAGGTAACTGATACGTAAAGTCGGTAACGGTAGGATTACTTGCAAGATAATGATATGGCGGCCTGGATGTAAAGTCCTAACTGAGGCGAAGTAATAAATTATATGGCGAAAAGGACGAATAGCGGGGCAGCCAGGACTTTTGCATCCAGATGCTGAGCTTACAGCCACCTATCTAAACCAGGACCCTGGCATGTGGCTTGTTTCCTGGGCGAAGAAACGGATGAGCGCCTAGTTTGTAAATGACTGGAGCGTATCATCTGAGCCCAGGTAAACTACTATCGGTCAGCCCAATCTACAACAGCAGAATAAAAGAATAAATAAACGTATCGGATCTATTTGTGACTTGTTATGCATGAGGAATCACATAGGGCGCTAAGAGCTTTGATTGGTACCCTATATTGCCCCATTAGAGTGCCACAGATACCATCTTTATCAAGGTGTCTCAGCGCTTAACGGCTTGGACCGGCCCACTTATTGGAACTAATACCAAAGTGGAGAAATAATATATTTACTTACGCAGAGGTGAGCTATAGATAACCCGATTGACATACAAAACAGTGAGCCTATATGACAGTGTGACAACCTTGGGGAAAGGCTGCCTTAACTCAAGCGCTATGGTCGTGGCTGAGGATAACAGGGCCGGGTAGATAGAAGCGTACATCGCAGAGCTAACGAGTCATATACAAAGGAAGGGAAGTGGCGGAGCTTAGGAACTCACTAATCTGGATCAATAGCAAAAATGCCTCACCTACAGAGCTCAAGTATCTTCAATCTTCTACCAGAATTAACTCAAGTACCTAGGAGATAATGAGACATATAGGCATCAATAATGCCTAAAAGGAGGTTTTGTCGCATGGCACCTATACCTATGGTCTCGACTATCTTTTTTTAGTGTCTTGGCTTTGGCCATTTGGCCAAAGCCAAGACCTCTAGTGATTTGATGGTTACCAGGTCTAGACCTAATAGACAGCCATGCCTAATTGCTGGCCAAATTTCAACATCAATTCTATAATTGCGTCGACAGTCTGATTTGCACTCGATTCTACCCCTTAATATCATTTGTAGCAAGCTCCTAGTGTCCTGAATCTCTGCATCCTTTCCTCTAGACTATAAAAGAGACCGTAGCTTTTATCGCTGGCTCCTAGGAATTCTCTTTGCTCTACTATCAATTTAAGCTCAGCTCAGCTCATATATTAATATACCAGTTTCCCTAGATGCACTCTGCAATTTATATCAGAACAGCTTGATTCATATTTCTCAGATTATTTCTCTACGCTTCCTCCTATTATGTCTGGCGCATTATACTAGTACGGGTTGGTGCTGGAAAATCATCCTAAATCATATTTCCTACTGCCGAAAATTCAAATTTTGGACCTCGGAAAGAGATATTGATATTAAAAACCGTATTAAGGTATAATTTTTCTTACCCTCTCTAATAGTATCGGCTATTCTAACATATCGTGGGTAGTTCAACAAGCGTTATCGTAACCATCAGTTCCGGAACGTTTCACTGTATTATGTAGACTCTAATCCTAGGATAGAACTTGTTTTCTACGAAGATCAAGAGGTTTTGACGACGACCCGCAGTCTTAGGGACCAAGATCTTCGGATATTAAGCGTGGGCTTGGGATACTCCGATGAATCGAACAGGTCAATGGTGGAATTAACACATCAAGTTTATCATTGGACTTTTATGAAGGATGTCCCTCGGGTTTGTGTAAAAGGTCGATCGGATTTTGAGTCTTCCGAGGTGCTATGATTCCTTTATTTGGCAATATCTGTATTTTCTATCTGCTTTCTATATTCGCTATAGTTAAATGGAAATTGAAATCACTTTATTTTGTCTCTGCTGAGTCCTCTGAATACAACTTCTGATACACTAAGAATGAACCTGGAGACCGTAAGTATTAGAAGCTTTTCTAGTGGACTACGCCGATGGATCAAGTGGAATTGTTTGCTGCGGCTCGTGGGTTTCTGGGAAACCGAAGTCTGTACAACATCATTTTTTGTTGTATATCAAGATCTGCAAGGCGAAGGAACTAGTGCCGTTTGGGAATCGGAAGAAAGTCAGGAAAGGAAGCATGCTTCGTATTTCTATGGCTTATTATGCCAGAGAAAATTGATCTGTTTAAACCGTTTTGTCTGCTACTTCTATGTCGGAAAGTACATAGGATCAATAATGGAGCAATTAGCACTAGGTATTGATTTAGTCCGGCATATCCAAGTCATGAAGCACATATAGTCAGCCTTAAACAAATCATCCTAGAAGAGGTTCCAGCGCGGCATGATATCAGTCATTATTAGCAGATAATTTACTAATGGGCGCTATGTAGCTTTAAAGATAGATTATTTTTTGCCCCCGGTCCAGGTAAATGTATAGTAATTGAGACAGCGGCCATAATATAGATATATTAAGCCTGATCATTGTCCGAAAGAAGTATTTCAATTCACTTTCTCCCTAGTATGGATACTATAGAGCTAACTTTGACAACCCTTATTGCGAGCTGGTATTTTCTCATTTTTTGTGCACTCTACTGCTTCCCATTTCTCCATAATCGCACTCAGGTAGGCAAATCTGCGTTCTCTATTCTTAGGTTTAAGCTGCTTGACTTCGTATATAGAGAGGTCAATCCTCACATCGCGATTGAAAATACCAAGCGCAAAGAGGAACTGGGCTTCCCTATAACACACGCCCAATCATACTCTGCTATATACTTCGTCCTAACGGGAATATGCCCAATACTAAGTACGTTCTATGTCTTTACCCGAGACTTTCAACCAAGCTAGGCTGAGCTTTATAGACGTGGCACATACAATACAGCGGGCGTCAAGAAGCCACTTGATCCAATGAGGATTAGTTGAGTGTTAACCGATCCGAAAATTTGCTGGCACTCAAAGAAAACATCGAATGGCCTTGATCATGTCTGTTGTTTGGATACAGTGACACTGAAGTCAACGGTCCCATCCGGTAGCACCCATTTCAAGCAGCTGCAACTTCGGACCTACCACATATTTCTATGAAAGATCATAAGCATACATACAATGACGAGGAGCTTTGGTTTATTTGGTACAAGCGCGCTGCTCTTGGCCAAAGATGGAATGATATCCTTGTGAGCTTTAACCGCCAATTCCCGGGGCGGCAACGCCTTTATGGCAAAACACTACGAGCCTTGTACTATCGATTGATTAATAGGCTACGAATTTTCTTAGGGGAAAGCATTTCAACGGACTCTATCGCGCGAATCTATCATACTCGCGGATGCTGGAAGCTTGGGAAACTGCTCAGTCTTCTTCTGGAGGTGATGATAGGATAACGTCTCTGGGCTGGATCCCATTTGTATGATACCACAAAAGCATTGAGTGCCCGTGGGAGATAACTGATTTCTTTTGCTGTAAACGCATTTGATCATTACTATGTTCCGTATAAATTGCCAGAAATCGGGGTATAGAGATAATGAGTTGTTAATGTGTACTGAGTGGCCATGCAAAACGTAGTCTTTAGCTTTAGCCTAATAAGGTTAAGACATATCTCTGGAGTTTTGTAAGATATAGATTCCCGTCAGAAGGGCTGACGTATAACTATTGCATATTGAAACTGAATATCCTCGGGTTTATGAAGTTTAATTGACTGGAATTTGCGCATATTGGTGTACCTGCATGTATAGATTGATGGGAATGCATTGAGAATGATTCATAAATGTCCTCATGAACGGCCGTCGGATGTTGCACCCTATAATGCCAGCCTAGTATATACATGACTACTTGTCATTGCCGTATTCCTTTACCCACTGGTCGAGCGAGAGCGTTTCTGGCTGGCTGGTATACGCCTCCTGTCGATACTGGTTCACTGCAGACATGTTAGATGTATATCACGTTCAGGAAAATTGACACTTACCATAGCCGCCGAGATCATTCCAGCTATTAACCAACAGCGTAAGCGTTCGTTTCTCAATAGCCGGACCTGGGGGAATTTCCTTGGAGGTGTCTTTGGCTGCGTCGTTGAGTCCCTTGAGATCATCGGCGATGGTCTGCCAGACCGTTTCGAGTTCCTCGACTGTTTTGATGGCTGGATTTATTAGGTTGATCAGGGCCGAGGCGCCGTTCTAAAGTGGTTAGTTCTGTACCAGGCATTATGAAGGAAACTTACTGACATGCGCTGGGCGTCTGCGCTCACGATCCGGGCTGCTTCCAGCTTCTTTTGGTCATCCTTGATCTTGCCCTCGGTGTCCTGAATGTTCTCCTTGATCTTTCTGATTTTTAGGCCGTAGATGCTGGCCACGGCGATGGCAGCGATGAAGCCAAAGATGGTGCTGTGTCATTAGCAGAGATAATCCAGCCGGATATATAAACTTACACCCAGGCGTAGGCCGGAGTCGTCTCAGCAACTTTGAGATCTATACAATATATGATCAGCATATGCTCCCCAATCGGTAACAAGGACAAACCATAGCTCAGCTCGTCGTGCTCGGCATCCAGCTCCTTCTGTAGGGTTTTGATTTCGCCCTCGAGCCTTTTGATCTCGGTATCATCCAGCAGCTTCTTGACCTGCTCCTCGTTGGTCTGCAGTGTGGAGCTATGTTTGGTCGTGGCAGTCTTGAACGTCTCTAAGTCATCCCGGGCCTTGACACTGAGTGTCTGCAGCTCGGTGATCCGAGCAATCAGGTCATTGGTAAACTCTTTGATCGCCTCTCTGGCATCGTCCTTTTTCTTCTGTTCCGTCGTGTCGTGGTAGTCCTGGATGGACTGCAGAAAGCCCACGTAGTACGAGCTGTCGACTGTTCCACCCGCAACCTTTGCGTAGTTGATAATCTTGCCTGACAGATCGACGAGTCCTTTCCAGGTGTTGTCGCGGAAATTCTGGTTGTCTTTTTGGACCTGATCTGCATTAGCAACTGATAGGATGGCAGAGAGGTTTTCATACATCGGAATAAGCCGCAACCATCAAGTTAACCTCTTTGGTTACCTCGCCCTTGACCGACTCGTCGATGCCCATGCGCCGGATATAGTCATCGTGATCGGTGGGCAGATCACATCCGGCCCAGATGTAGCGCATCATGTTCATGATGTCCGGATGAGAGAGGATGAAGACATCTTTTTTCTTTTCCTCTCCTCCCGGATGGCCCGTGACGTTCGTGATGAGGTCGGAGGTTGCATAATAGGTTTTGATGTCTGTAGACATGTTGGAGGATTGAATGACTGAAGATTGAATGGATTGATGGAGGGATTGATTGAGGATTGAATGATTGAGCTGTTTGAGATAGACCATGGCTGGGACATTCGATGTTTATATACTGATACAGACTCGAGAAGAAGACTGATAGTCCATTTCTTACGGTGTCCGCGACATGATAGCCAGCCACATCCTACCCCTCATCACGATGAAGTATGTAGCAAGAAGCCATCAGCTCAGTTCTTCATGCAGCTGATATTCCGCAAGAGCCACGTCAAGTAGTGACCATAGACGGTAAGAGGGCTGTCTGGATGGACTGGAAGATTGTGAAAGTATCATGCACTGATTCAGTAGTTGAAACGACGCTGGAAGAGTGCATGCCTAGCAAGTACAGCATACGGAATCCGACTTCATAGTATGGTATGTATATCCAAGCCAGGTGGCAATACGATAGTTCAATTATTATACTGCATGAATGTTATTATATCTACCATATATACTCATAGGTTATCCTATTAATTCTAGGAAACAGGTATTTCTACTGATGAGAATGCTAGAGGGCATACATACTCTATCTACTACATTTAGCAGTAATCGAGGTGAAATTGCGATACCCCATTGTAGGCCCACTGTATTTTCAGTCCCAAAACTCCACATGGAAAACGAAAGCCAAAAGTATTCGAAAATACTTGGCTGGTAATGTGGAGAATAGACGTCCCAGACCATCTGCAGATTCAGCCAGCCGCAAACTGTCCCCACAGCGGAGTGGGAGGGACGCGCCGTACCATGGCCGATGTTCATCTTGTCGTTTACGGAACAGCGTGCATGCTGCAGATTTACCTTTTCCGGCTAGCCGAAGAGCTGAAGAGGCATTAAACGATTAGCTGGGATGGGGATAGTTAGTTGCATATGGCACCGATGGGTTCGTACCAATGTGGTAATGATGTACTGCTAACCGGAAAAGCAAACATAATAAGTAATAAATAGCATTGTGTCATAGAGTCAAAGGAATATATTACCAAAATATACATAACTTCCAACAATCGTATTCAATACCGCCAGAATCAAATATTATTCCCTGTTGACGACTGTCAGTGGGGTGGGAATAATAACCAATGATAGTATAACCCACATGCATAACCGCGGGGAACACCGCCGATCTTCTGCACTTAGGATGTAATATGAGTATCTCTTACCGAGGACACCATCTACAGACTAAGCAACCATCATCATGGGAAGATTTGTCTACTACCCGGTGGAATCTAACAGTCTAGTATTCGGGCTTATCCAGAACATGCCGTTAGTCGGCATTTGAAAGGTTACACCTGTATGGCGCTCATCTTATCTTTTCCGCTGTGCTGTCGTGCTCAGTAAGACAGGGTTGGTACCCAAGCGACAGACTATTCTCTGCACCCTGCCACCATTCATGGCCCCTTGCGTGTTGTGATACAATCCTACATGCTACCCAACTACCTCTGCTCGCTGCTCTATCGTCCGTCGTCAAGAATAAGAATTCTGCTCCCGAACGGTGGCCCTCGGGACTTGGCCGTGATCCACCAGGATGATCTCCACAAAGGTGGCTACTAGGCCTCCCCCGAATACGAGACTGTGATAGGTCCATGCGTTGGCTGGGTTTGAAATGGGTTCGGGGAAACCGGAGGAGTCGATTATCCGACTGCACGAGGCCTATATGTAGGAGACCCAATTAAACGAACGATTGATGACTTTATCTAACGTAGCCTAGAGTACACGAGGGCTTAAGTACTTGCTGAGTACTTAGATGTCTATATGAGCGAACACGCTGGCCGGGGGTTCGTTAGTCGGACTAACGTTATCCCTTTGATCCGAGCTATCAGATCTCATCAGGATTGAGGTGGGCTACACATGAGATCATGAGATGGACTAGTTTTTAGCCGGATATACTTCCAAGATCGGCAAGATGTGGCTGGCTGAGTCTATTATTTCCTCACCCGCATTCCGTCACATCACATTAATTTGCCCAGGAGCGAGCCGAGCCGAGCCGAGCAACATTCGTGTGCTACGCTACTGCACAACCATCACAGCAGATGCAGGCTTGGCTAGAGGGGTAGAATATCGACAGTCTAGATGGTCCCTTTCTATTCTACGGCTTATATTGCATCCTTTGGGGCAGAGAGAACATATCCATATGCATGACGATGAAGCCAATTTCCATTACTCAAACTGTGCTTCTCTTACTACCTATCACTAACTGCATGCTGCAGTCCAAACCAGTCAGTTGAGCTGAGATGAGCTGATCACCGATGTGGGGCATGGTCAATCGCTTCGACAGCCGACTGCAAATGTTCCTCTATCAGTTTGTTGACTGGATATCGTCAGTCCGTGAATCCATCAGCTATAATGCATATCAGCACTCACTCTCGTCTGTGACGTCTTTCCACCCCAACAGGAGATGCGCCAGCTCAACTCTCAGGAATACCTCAACCTTGGGACTGTGCGGGTCGTACAGGAACTCTTGCAGAGTTGTCGCGTCTGTGTCAATCGCCTCCCAAGAGCCTTCGAGATGTTAGATCAAGCTGGCTAAAGACAGAGAAGGGGGGGGGGAGACTGACCTCGGAAATATTCCAGATCCTTGACCGCCTTGCCGGTGTGCTCGTCGAGGCTTTCAATCCACTTCTTGAGATTGTCCAGCCCGACAATGCCGCCGTGGATGTTGAGCAGTTTCTCCAGGATTTCCTGCAAACTGGGATCCTGCATTCTCTTGACGAGATCGGCGTACATGCCGCGAAGATACTCCCGATTGTCGTTCCAGGCGTTGATGACCCCTGCGAGGGAGATTGATCCAGAGGTCCGACTGGCCGTGTTGGCGGAGACGATCAACTCCATGGTGAGCTTGTTCAGCTTCTCCTTCACTTCGGGGGTTGGTTTGTCGCGAAGCTGGCGGAAGAGGTCGAAGAGAGAGGCTGCATAGTTAGTGTCTGTGATTGATGGATGGATGATACATACGAAAATCCGACTGGGCTTTGGCTGCAAACTCTAGCGTTTTTTTGCAGGCAGCATCGACCGTTTTGATAATCGCCTGTTTATCAGTATAAGTCGTATCTTGACAGGAAGGAAACTCACGCCAAAGTCATCGGCAATCTCAAACATGGTATTGAAGCCCTTGAAGAGATTGTTCAAGATATCGGCATAGTGATTGTAGACATCCCGGGTGATGCCAGCCCGCTCACAGATGGTGTCCACCGACTGAGGCAGGTTAAGACACTCGACGGCAAACTTGGTGGCATCAGAAATGAGCGGCCCGTCCAGACAGATACGGCCGTCCTGGAGGAGGTCACGAACAGAGAGAAACCGCTGGTCGACTGTAGTCATTTTTGGGAGTTGATGGAGTTGATGAGATAAATGAGAGGTGAGATGCACGAGGGAATTCTACCCCGTATCCAGGGGGTTTTTAGAAACACTCTACGCTGGTCTTTTCGGCGTGCCTGTTCGTGCAGAAGGTGCCTTCAGCAGAAGTACGGTGCATGAGATTATCTGGCCCATTATTAGCTCGAGAATGTCGATCACAAAACATTTGCGCTGAAGGTGAGGGGGAGAGGCAGTGGCTGGCTGAGCCCCTCGTCTGTCTCATGGAAGGTCGTGGAATAAAGCTCTGGTTCACGCAGTCTCTCCTGTCTTTCTCAACGACTCTGAGATTATTGAGAACACCAGCTCTATAAATAACAGACAACATTACCTCCCTCCCAACACTGAACTATCTTCTTTATCCCTCTATCAGAAACCATCTCATCTCCTCTCAACACATCTCAACCCATCTCAACATGCTCCCAAATAGCGACCCTCATTCTAAGGCCTTTTGGTCTCCCGACCCCGGCTTCACCCAGCTCATCCAGGGCAATTGGAACGGTAAGCCTGTCGAGAAGGAGGTCTTGACCCTTTCCAGTCCCCCGGTTCAAAACACCTCGGTCTATGCCTTCGGGAACATCTTTCTTTCCACCACCCGTGATGACTACGCCAGAGAACTTAACATCGACCTGTCCATCATCCCAGACATTGCCAGTCAAGTGGACGAGCTGGTGAAGGCCTACGGACAAGCCAATGCCGATAGCACTGCCTTCCGCGACACAACGTGGAAAAGTCTCGTCGATCTCTCTGGTAAAATATACAACTTCACGAAGATAGCGGGAGGCACGGTAGAATCTTCCTACTACGCCGCTATCATGCAGTCGCTAAATGACTACAACACCGCCAAAAAGAAGAGTCCCCCCGACACCGGAAAGATGAAAGAGGCAGCAGAAGCGATTGTCGAATTCACCGAAGACCTCCTGACAAGAACGGCCGAGCTTGTTGCCAGCGGCAAGGCTCTCATCTTAGCCGTGGACGAGTTCAACAGCAGCATCTACAGTATGTGGGCGTCGTTGAATTCCACTCTGGAGGATATCAAAAGACGCTTGGACCCGGTGGAGGTCAGAAATCTCTCAATCATCAATGGTCTTCAGAAGACCTCCTCAGATCAGCGCGTAGAGTATCACTACGGTATGTCGGCGAATTCAACTTTAAATGCCAAGCTAATGTTATCTACAGACGTGATTGCGTCTGGAGAGGGAGCCTCATACGCGCGGTGGTAAATAGCATCACCCCCTGTATTATATAAAACTAACTAACCGATCAGCCCACTGTTTGGCGTCCTCCCTGCAACCCCAACCTCAGCATACGGTCCCCGCGCATCCGCAATAAAAAACGTGATCCAAACAATCGAGAACGAAATCAAAACAGATGACAAGAAGGTCCTAGCTGCGCGCAGAGTTGCCACTGATGCTCAGCAGGTCATGGTACATCTACCCCTTCTGGTTAACTAGCTGTATCTAATCCATCTTGGTTCTTATAGGAAGACACCTACGCAGTCCGCGAGCTAATCCTAGGAACGTCAGCGGCCATCAAAGCCATCCAAGTCGGCTGGGAGAGAATCGGGACAGACTTACAATATCTCCACGATGCGGCTAAGGGGAATACGATTCCTGATGTTGAATTTGATAAGGATTTCATCCTGCAGACAATCGATGGTTGGAAGCAGTTTGGCACATCCGGTATGCAATCCTCGCTTCTCTTGATCTGGCATATAATGGCTAACATATATCTAGTGGATGCTTTTCGTGAAGCCGCCTACACTGGCCAGCCTGAGCCCATGACGGTTGACCAGTGGATTGAAAAGATTGGCCAATAGGTGTTAATGTCTATATAGTATTGTCTTGAAGTCAAATACTGTCTGCGTAATAACCCACTGTGGACGGCTACTTATATTTGTATGGCCACCAATTCTTCATGATAATGAACTTAACCTTGCAATACTGAATAAAAATACAACTGCGTTGGGGCCAAATCGATTACTCGTAGGGCGCCTTAACGCCTCAGGCGGACTTTGTATGTCAACGAAAAACACATGTTTTCGATCGCTCGACCTCACGAGAGAATGTGACCCTAGTGACTTCCCAGAAAATGCCCACCTTTTTCTCAGGCAAGCAGTAAATGAGCTTTTTAAATTGGGGATGTGTCTAGTAGCCGGAACATGACTTTGGGTATTTCAAATCATCGCCAAATTGTTCGTGGCAAGATGAAAAACGAGAGTTTAAAAGCTTTAGGAGAAAAAGAAATTTTGATATTGTGTTCTTTGAGCCGTTGAACCATTTTCAATACGTCATATGAGCTCTTTGGGGTCCTTTGATCTACTGAAATTCCTTAACACCGAGTCCGGGATCACCGCGGCCCGGATAACGGTGTTTAAAATGTGACCTTCGCATCCTGCTAAGACGACGATTCATTGAAAGAGGTCGAAAGCTAGGCATACTGTATATGGCTTAATTCGCCTAGACCCCTATAAGATTTTCTTTAGTTAGATTTAAGCCCCTATAGCGAGACAGAAATAAAAGTGAGGACAACTTATCTAATAAGTGACGGATTATATTAGTGGAAATGTCAGAATACCAAATCCGAATACATGGTAGAAACCAGGTAATATACCACGGAAAATCATGTGACATTGGGTACCAGGCATACCATACAAAAGTGCATATTACAGTTAGTCATCATGGTCCGCACAGATTGTTGAAATAGCGGGTTTTGTCATTTTAGTTAGAGTTGTCAACATTGGTCATCTATACCATACATTGTTCGTACACCAGTTTTCTGTCGTCCTCACCCGGTCCCACAACCTCGCGCCAAGTTCATGCGTGAAAATCAAACCTTGCTAATATTAGCCCTATAATTGAACCTGACTCTAAATCGGTGCATTTTGCACTCTTTGTCCTTAGCAGTGCAAGATATCAACAAAACCAAATGAATTGAAACATAACAAAGCTTTGGCCGTGATCACTTCAATCTACGTTGCAGCCTGGTGAAACATGGTTTGTATGAGCACAATTCGTTTCTCCGGGAAGGACGCAATATCTAACCCAGTATTAGCCTAAATCTTGTACAATACTTGGATATGAAAGTTGGTCTGACAAATCACGACTCACATTTGGCAAACTCGTCCTCTATTCCTGCAAGCTGAAGAACTCCAATTCTTTTAGTGAAGTCTCGGGAGTCGAACTTGTCCATGTTCCGTGAAATCTTGAAATATATCCATAACCTCTCAGGAGGAAATGTCATGAAGAAGTCCTGCCGGCTTTGGCGAATAATTGATTTTTCCCTATCCGTCAAACGAGCAGTTTTGAGAGCTCGATCGACTTTAGTCCTCAAAAGCATTAAAAGACCGGCTTGGTGGACGTCATTCCAGAACGCCCTTTCGTTTGCTTCTGTCCATTATAGTGTCAATTTGGGAAGGATAGGATGCTCATGGCGGCTATCATACCAGGCTTTAAAAGCAAATAAGCTCGAGGCAGTAGTCTTTCTATCCCCGAAATCTTCAATAGCCCGATTCCAACTTCAAGTGCAACGACGGATGACATGTGCATCCGACCTTCATCAGGCGGGAAACTAGGTTCAATAACAGTCTTTCTGCAACTGACAGAGCTCCCAAGATCACGACAAATTTTCTCCAGTGTGGTTAGGAATACGTGACGTTTCTCTTGGGGATCGAAGATAGCTTTCATGCCATATATATCCGCTTTCATATAGTTCTCTAAGTTTGCTTTCAACGATTCTCGAGAATGATAGACAATTGATGAGGTGAGGTACGCTTCTTCTAGGAGAAGATTGTTGATAATTGTCATATGACGCGATGGAAGTTTGAAGCACTGGAATTGGAACCTATCGTTCTCACGGAAAGAGGCTCGCAAAGAGGTTGCTGAGGTTATATCTGGCGCAGCATAGATAGTGTGGCATGGATGAATGGGAAGATCTTGCAAAATCGATCCTGCTTTGTCAGGATGGAGATGTTGAGATTGAATAAGCACAGCAAATTGTTCCCGTAATTTCCGAAGTCCATCACTGTCCTGGCCTTGTGAAGGAAGAAGATGACTCCGTAAGACAATGATAAGCTTGGGGGACAATGGGGCAAAATTGTGGTACTCGGTGTAGTTGCTCTCCACCTTTCGGGTAATCGGATGTATTTCCTCTGTCGATGGACCTTCAAAGATGCAATATGCATTTTGAGTCAGCAGAAATTCATCTTCCGAGGTAGATGGCTCGCAGAAAGCGATAAAACTCCCTATGAGATGCAGTTCCATCATCATAGCGTCGTCCGGATACATTTGAGTTTTAAGAGTATTCATCCAGTTCCTTTCAGGGTCCATATTAACATCCAAGAACCGACGTAAGTTATCAAACCACACGTCACGCGGTTTTTGGAATCCACTGGATTCCATATAACTCAAAATCTTTTCCCGGTCATCCGCCTGGTACTCATCAATGTGGTCATGGTTATACCGGTCGAACATGCCCGAATTTCGATACTTCATCAGAAACAAGAATTTTCGTAGCCTATCAAGTTCAATCCGGTTGAGCTCGAGCGTCAAGCTTTGAGAAAATCTGCTGCGTGCGCGATGAACAATCTCGCTCACTTGACCTTCGAGCAGTGCAAACTTCTTCTCGAGGTGGTAGGGATTCTCATCAAAACCAGGGTCTCGATACATATTCACGAGGGCAAACTCGGTCGAAACTGGTCGCTGGGTCAACATGGATCTTTCCAGATCAATCTTGTTCGCCAGGAAGTCAGAACGCTTTTCCATTTTGTTCTTTTGACTCCTATTTGCCGGCCCTGCTGGGGGTTGATCTTCCGGTGCAAAATTCTTCAAGATAAATCGAGGAATGAAGTGGTGGTTTTGCTTTGATGGCGCCATCTTGGGTGTCGATTTCTCTATTGCCTTATCTGGTTAATTTCGAAGAGAATACCATTCCATCTTATATGCAGGCGTACTGCGCGGGATCGTTGTCCCGCAGACCAGTCTCCAGGCAACTGTTTTTCTCCTTGTTCAAGTTCGCTCTTCTGATTCTCGGCGGGTATTCATTGGAGTGTAAAGTCTGAGATAGACAGCCACCAACGCATATTCCATTAAAACGCGCAGACCAACTGACACTGCTGTATGGGATATCCCTGCATAGACCAATTAGCATCCTTACCGCTCCCGATACGCAATTGCTGAGCTGGTAAATCATCCAGTAAAACCGGCGGTTATGGGACTCGGCGATCCACATCATTTCTAAAAGAATAATAGCTCATCTCCAGCATCGGCATACGAATTGGACCAAAACGGGGATAAGGATATGATTGGTGCAGGTGCGAGCGTTCGAGGCAGCCAAGGGCCAAGGCACACTCAGCCGCTTTGGTTACCCCTCCGAGCTCCAATCTAACATATTGTTATACTGAAACCTTGGAAGAAACCAGCTCTCTCTATGGTAAATATTTTCACAGAGCCAATCATTTGTTCATGACAACTACGCTGCAATGCCAGAAAGCTTTTACTATAAACACTACAATATATCGTTGATCTCGACGGGGAGGGCAAATCTAGATGCCGCGAAGGCTGTGCTGGATAAAATCCACGGACCTCTAGCTCATTCCAGAGCTGATAAAAAGATATATACACTAGGTATAATGCATGTTCATAATATGGTGATCACCTGCCTTCCGTTTGGTTTTATGGGACGTATATCAAGCCATTTGGCTATCGGCACGTTTAAGCTGTTTCACACCCACTTAGCAGTTCTATCCTAAAATGTATCATCATCTTAGCTACATATCAACTCACTTGTAATTTTCCTCCTATGGCTTCGGGCTGTTAGTGCTTCGCACACTTTCTGGGCACGAGGAAAATGACTTTGCATTTCTCGTCTAATGATTGCGCCTTGTTCGGCCTGTAAACTGAGCCAGCACTTTTAACCAAGTTTCCACGCCAAGTACCGTAGCAGGATAGCATTCAGACAAGACTAATCTGCAATCGCCTTCATTTCTAAACCATAGAGTAGGGGACTACCACACGGACTAAACCCCTCGTTCACTCGATCTAATGCTGCCACGACAAATTTCTATTATTAATAATACTGGGTGTCCCTTACGTCTACGCATTATATATACCTAGTATATCATAACCAATCTAATTCAGATATCAGCAGACCTGACCACAAGCACAGAGCATATCTACAAAAGTGTTCAAAAACATATGTCAGAACCGATAACAACTATAAAACCTCTTCACAGATAGAGCGCACGGGGTAACCAATTGTGCATAGTCGACGAAAATTGTTTGTCGAAGTGTGACGCCCATTCTCAACTATAGAACATTCATGTCTTTCCGCGTCTCATCCATCTGTCCCAATAGGATTGTGACTGACTAGAAAATCACTCGAAGCAAGGCCTTTAGAAAACCATCTTTCTTTGCTGCAGACTTTGGGAATATTTTCCTAGTGTTGAGAGTGTACTCTCTCAATGCCTTAGGGCTAGGAAAATGCTTGACATTCTTTCCGGTTCTTCGGGAATCAACCAAGTCGACTAGATTGACATGAGTCTTCGCAAGAGCCTTCTCGGATTTAGCATTGTGATATCTAGGGGGAAATGGAAGATATAGTAATCACCTTTCGGCACTGAGAAATACTCTTGGTTGGACTCTGGGTCTTCACTTCGGCGCAAAGTGCCTGCCAGTTCTCTAGCTTTGTCGCGTCGGTACCGAAGTGAGCATCAAATTGAGATGCAAGAAATCTCGCACGCTCTCTATTGTATTTTTTCGAACCTTGTCTCCAGTTCATTTGACATGCTAGGCGATCAAACTCAGCAATTGCTAAAGCCGAGTTCGCAGTTTGGAAACTTGGGAACCGAGAAAAATAATTTGAGTCGTCCATCTTAAACTTGACTGCCGTAGTGTAGAAATTGCAAGGTAGATAGGATAGAAGTTGTTCTATCGTAGTATTTGACTGGGGATCTTGCAGAATTTAAACCCGAGTCAACCTAATGGATTATATAGGTAGTTGACCTTCGCCCCTGGCTTCAAACCGCGGTTGCCTCACTTTCGAGCGGCGCAGTGACAGGGATCTGTTGGCACAGCACTGCCAAAGGTATGTATGGCTCACAACTGATGACAAGCTATACAAGCCACGCGCAACGGCGATACCGGCGCTAATCGATTCGTTGAGGTCTTTTCAATTTTCATCATATGAGGGGAAACGAAGTGACAGACAAAAAAGAACGAGATCTTACACAAAGTTCATGTATGAAGGAATCTTGCAATTTGTTCCAAATTTGGTTTTCCATTACATCTTTATTCGCCGAGGGATTTATCTCAATGTTGGGATGGGATCACAGCCCCCTTCGGTGTTCCAAAATCAGGCGAGTACCATCGGCTAGGGTTAGCCTCAAGGCAGATTCAATGTCCAGCTGCGCAGTTTATCTGCGACAGCATTGGTGTTCAATAGGAGTGATAGTGGCAGACCGTAAGCAAACACGGACATACTTGAAGATGTAATGACACACTTGCGGCAGCCTACCCCATACGGCTGTAGAGTAGTTTATTGGACGGCACAGAATAGTAGATAAGGGCGTTATGATGATGCTGAACTAATTAATAGGGGATTCTTGAATACACTCTCCCTATGTCTTCATCTACCCGCTTCCAACCAGTTACGTGGACGTTGACTGGACCTAACTTCCATTGTCATTGGATGACAATATCTGCATCTAGCCGCCTCCTTTCATGAGCCGCATACACCGGCTCAAATATTCCGCGCCACAAGGCATCTTTGGGAAGATATGTAACTCACCTCTGTTGCTGCTTGCGCACCGCTTTAATGATAGGTCCTTAGATGTCCTTTCTAAATATATGATCTTATTTTTGGGTGTTCTTATTTTTGGGGGAGCCATCCCTTCTTGTTTTAAGTGATTCACGCCCCAAAGTACCTTCCTCTATACTTGTTTGAGGGCGCTGCGGGGTTTGGGCTGCGCACTTCCTCATTTGGCGCTCATGCATGCAGGCCACTTTTCTCCCCCCCCGCCAGAGTCAGCCTCGCTTCATCATTCCGACACCCAATCGAGTAGAGAAGATTTCGTCTGGCACATGAAGTTCTCTAAATGACAAATCAGCATTTACTGTCGCGACTTACTAGATGAAAGATCACTTACGAACTCATAGGTGATTCGATTTGCTCTGAACAGACTCTTTGCCACTGATTTGCCGTGTCAGTGACGTGTATGACATGGCACGTTAATCCCTGAACATACTTCATCTATAATTCCCGTCGTACCAGGCGTTAAGGTCAATTGAGGATTTTCTTGTAAGAAGAGATCCTCAAACTCATCTTCCACTAATCAGAAATGCGACCGGCATAAATCTAACGTTACGGAGCATACCATTATAGACTCGTGATCTCGAGTTAAGATCCCACATCATTCCCGCGGTGAATCGTTCTTGGTACGCCTCCGTGCTTCGCAACAGCTAGGTCTCTTTGCCGCTCTACTTCAGATTAGCCATCTCCCGGTGGACAAAAACTAGTATTCGGTAATTAGTGGTAAGATTAGAGGTATACTAACTGTGGTTCAAGATCTCCTTGACTGGCCTCTCTCCACTGATATCACTTGATTGTGCATACTGCAGCAGTTCCTTTGCAAAAGCCGCTCCTATTGCGGCAGCATGTTCCTGCCAAGCCTTGTCTCTATGCGGGTCATAGTCGCGAATGCCTCGGATGAAAGTGCACGTGAAATCATTCATCAGTCCTGTTGCCTCCGTGTCGACGCAAAGGACATGACCTTCAAGATTTTTGTTGATCTCCTCTCGCAGGACAGCATCATTCATTACCTGGTGTCTAGATGCGACAAGACCATAATGCACACGCATCCCCCTAGCCTTCCGCCGTACGACCTTGGTCATATCACAATGAAAACAGTTGTATCCTTCTTCCGGGTTGTCATATTCATCTCCGTCATGGTTTTCTTAGCCAGTGCGATGGTTGACATGGGCATGATCTGGTCTGAACAAGACATCCAGAAGTAGGTCCGAGCGCAGATACTTCGGCGCAAGCATGGGCCATTCCCTCCCTAGTCTGTCCAAGTATTCTGCTATCTTTGACCCGTTCATTTCATGTTCCGTCTCGAGTAATGTCAAAGCGGTTCGGGGGGAGAGGGGTTGGTTGTCTAGTGAACCTGTCTGCCTGAACTGACTACTTGCCCCTCCGTCACCTGAGTCCCATTGCACCACGGCGGGAGATGGAGCTACAGGAGGGGCGCTGACCACTACATCACCGAGTCTGGCCTTGGATGGATCACCCCCGACCATCAGATCAAACTTGACAGACGGGAACGAGAAGGTTTCAACCATCCTTCACGGCGACATTGGCGGTTGTGGAAAGTCCGATCCCGCCTCTTGTCAGACCAGCTATAACCACATTGTGTCTGCCGATAGATCCTAGGGTGTACGTGCAACGGTCATTTGGTGGCTTTGGGAGGCTGACATGTCGTTGATCCCGCATGGCCGTTGCCGCCGTTTGCTACTTTAGCAGAGCACAAACCCATCCCATTGTGTAATCGCTATAGAGCCTGGGATTTGTGTCCTCTGGTACGATCATTTTGGCGAATGCTTTAAACATGATATGTATGACACGAGCATAGGTCTATTCATAGACACATATTCATAACCTTGGAATTTTGATCTATCCCCAAGGAGTAGGAAACATTCGATATAAGACATACTTAGATAACGTAATAGAATCAATGTAGTGTGACTGACTGCTGACTGCAAGTGCGTTTTGGATAGTGAAAATGTCTAGCTGCATAATGTTGAGGAAAACGGCCACCTACTATTAATGGCTGCGCACTTCTATCTGGGAAGATTCAATATTTACTCCTCGATAGAATTATTTTTAGATATTTAAATTTCGAATCGCGGTTTAAGAAAAGGGGCGTAGTATTTAATTATATTCTTTTATATAGTACCCTTAAACTTAGGGGGTAATACCCTTTTAATTATGTCGGTTATAGCTTGAAATATTTCGTATTTTCGAGAAATATTTATAGCGATAGTATAACCTTTAGGTACTCTAAGGTAGCCTATCGAAGATACGCGTATATATCGTCCCTCTAGTAATAAAAGTGTCGTTAGATCTAGATTCTTAGGAGTCTAATAAATTAGTGACTACTATAACTAGTTACTTAATATATCACTAATAATAAATCTATAAGCTCCTATCGAGGTATTACTATAAGATACTAATAGTACAGGTAACTTACTTACTTCTAGACATTTTAAGATTAGGAAATAAGTCCCAATAAACTAGGGTTTCTAAAGTACCGGGAATAGTAGGAGTAAGTCTAGCTTTTCCCCTATCGAACTAAACGCCGCTTTACTCTCTCTCCTTAGGATAGTAGATTCGATTAAACTCTCGGCACTTTATAGGAGACTATTTTATAAACTACTCCCTAGTAGCGTCTATCTCTCCGCATTGCTAGTAGTAACGGATATCACGAAAGATCTCCCTATCACTAAAGTTTTAATGGCTTTAGTCGAATTCACGGAGTCTCCTACGGCAATCATCTTTTAATTGTACGGAATCGTATATTTCAAAATTCTACTAGTAGTCATTTGGGTCGAGCCAATGGAGTGCAGCAGCAATACGGTGTTGCCCTGGAAACAATGAAGATTCAGATCGCTTCGTAAAACGCGCGGGACCTGCCTCCTTCCGTAGCGTCCGGGAATGGGTTATATGTGTGTAGGACCACTAATTACATGAGACGAGTGGAAAGAGGCGAGGGAACTCCTCTCTGTGCGGACAGTGTGATACTTGGCATATTGTGCCATCTCAACTGGTGCCGGTGCTGGGATCTACTCCTGCACACTGGTACGATGCATCTTGAAGGCGTCGGTTTAGTGTATTTTGCACGATCCTCAAAGAAGCACTGCTCTCTGTGCTTTTCCAGTCCTTAAAAGCGGCCGAGGAAATGCATTGCCGCAGTTCGTCAAGGCTGGTACCGTTAAGACACGGGGTATCTATCACTTTCAGAGCAGCCAGCGTGGTCACAAAAAAGCTGTTTTAAAATGAGTTTTTGAGCTGGGCAGACGTGGCAAGATCGCTTACCTGATAGAGAGCGTCCACTTGTATATCGGACAGATGTCGATAGCAATAAAAATCTTTGGAAGAAGCTGCACATAGGAATCAATGAACCGCTGGCAATGGTCCTGGAGGTGGACATTAACTTGACCATCCTGTATTGCCTGGTAAACAGCTGGCCAGTAAATAGATAGCTTGCAGCAGTAATACTGAACGTTTAGGAAGTTGGACAATGAGTACATCGTGCACAGTTCGCTCGTTTCTTTGGGGAACCGGATGTTGACAGGGAGATAGTCGTACCATTCATCCACCTGGCGCTCCAATTCCAGGGCGATTCCGGGGGCGTAGCTAGGCCGATTATCTGTCGAATATGTGACGGCAGAATTACAACGATGCAACAAACGGCGCATTGCTATTTCGGCGAGAAAGAAGGATTGCGCCTGGTCTGCAGTTGTGCTAGTGCTATCACTGGAGTGGGCGCTTCCTGGGGAGACACCGGCGAGGCTGGTAGAGGGCTGCGGAGGCGGGAATTGCCAGGTGCGATGGCAGTTGGGGAGAGGCATGTATTCACCTAGATTCCAGATGTCGCTTTTGGAAACGTCGAACTGGACACCCAATTCGCTGGCAGAGGGTAAGGCTCGGTTAATTCGAGTCCTATGCTGTATTTACTTTGGTTGGAGGCTTACCTCTCCAGTAATAATATCGCCCAATATGTTCTATGCGTCAGTTCAAGAGCGTCACTATCTGTGACTTCCAGTCCACTAGTTTGCCAGTTTAGCTGGGTTTGTATACTAGCTACCCCGGAAAGCCGTGGCCTACCTCTTGAAAAGATTCTGGATCTTGAAAGAAGCTATCAAGCAGTAGTCGTGGGCCTGGAATGGCTTGAGAAGGCAGCAGTAGTAGATGCTGAAGAAGATCAGGCATTGAATGCTCGTCAATGTGCATTCTGCAAGGACTATAGGAAGCGACGCGAGGGCTGCTTCATAGTACGGGCTCCCAAAGCTTTGGTCGCGTACAACGCCACCGATTGCGGCCACAAGTAGAGCTAAGCAGTTATGGGACGAGGGCGTCAGGGGCTCTGACAGGATGTGAAAGTACTCTTCGGTAAAGCCCAACGGAAGGATGGGGTAATAGCCATGGATTAGCTCCGAGAACGCAGCTAGAGCATCCGTGACTTGACTATGGGAGCTGAAGAAGATGCGCGGTGAGGTGGTCGTGCCAGCGAGAAGGTTCGCTCGCTCGAGTCGAATGAGGCCCTGGATGTAGTCGTCTTCGATTCCGAGAACGTGCATGATAGACTGAGTTGCCAGCAAACGAAATGGGGAGTCCTCGTGTGAGCCTAGCGCACTCCCGGGTAGGGAGTTGGGCTGCTTGGACAGCAGCGCGGTGAGGTAGTCGAGGCGCATATTGACATTCGCTAATTCTGTTTCTACCCTGCATATCCCGTTAGCACAACTCGAATGAGACTTCGGCGCGGCAAGCATACGGATTCGCCGGGCTTTCAGGGAGCTTTTGATAGCAGCAGTCCAGCCCCCGAATCCGACACGGAGCGCAGCACGGTCGCTGGCCACCGCACTTCACTCTTCGTGATCTGCAGGTGTCGCAGGCGAGAACCAGTCGTCTCCGCGCCTTAGTCATGTCTGATAGTGGTGGCGAAGGAACAGGAGCAGGAGGTTGGAGACCAAGAGAAGCCATGGAAGCGCGGATGTCAGTTCAAATTCCGCGGGGCCAATTAATTGTTTTCTAGCGGGAATTCCCCGCACTTATTGCATCTTTCCTCTGTGGGGAAACGATGGGGACTCCATGTGGGGTATTTAATCTCTCGCCAGCATCTCCATGCATATGGTGCCATTCTATACAGCCACTATGAGTTATCCATGCAGAAATCATCTCCTCGGCGACTTCAACAAAAGGTCGCTTGCAGTGCGCGTGTCGCCAGTTGGGACCCCAAAGGCCTCAACAAAGATGCCTTCGTCGTGCTGCCCGGCGACGCTGCCGTTATTGCTGAACTCTAGGGCCCCGGTGCAATCACACATTTATGGTTTATCGGAGAAGCAATTCGGCGGCGCAGCAGCCTTCAATATTTACCTGACGATGTCATTTAACAAGCGCGCCTGGATCGAGATTGAGAACCAGGACGATGAAGCCTATATGCAAGACTTTTGTGTTAATTACGAGCTCTACCTCAGGAAGACGTGCTAAACATATAGGCAAACTCTCTAGCATCCTATCCTGTCCAGTTCAGTAAGAGGATTGAGGCATTTTGAATTCAAGTACGCGACCCGTCTCCGCGACGATTGGTCCACAACTGCCTGAGACTTTGCCCCATGGAGATTTTGGTGGACAAACGACTACTCCGGAGACCTGCGGTCGGGCCACTTGCGGAGCCGACAGCCCACCTTCATCAGGCCAATAGGCCGTAACTCGGCAAATTCTCGGAGGCAGGTTCCCGAGTGGAGACATCGGATCACGGCAGTCTTTATTGTTGGGCACCGTGCCAAGCCGGGCCATCAGCTCGGGGATACTCAGAAAATACCTCGGGGATACCCTCACCTCCCCATGCGGAGGGTCAGGGTCCGAGACCTAGACCCGAGAGTTGTTCTTGGCAAAAAAAGTGACTTTGACATTTTTTAATTACATTTTGTTTTAACCCTATATTTCAGCGCACGCAACCGAGCTACGCACGGTAACGAATATATTGATTTCAAATGTAAATATCTCAACCAAAACTCTATTAAATTAAATACACAAAAATCATCTATCTAGCTAGGCATCTTGTGGCGGCTCGGTAGTGAAATACGTTACTCGAAATGGGATGATTACATAAGCCAAATTGGCGGGTATCCCGGACCTTTTGGAGTATCCCCGAGCTGGAACCCGCAAGTGCCAAACCCACCAATACCTACCCGGTATTACGAGTCAAGCCTACCCAATACCAACCCCATCCCCGGGTTAGTGAGGTGGGCTTGGCACGGAACCCCAGACTCTGTGAAGAGGTCTGGGCCACGGCGAAGGGCCGATGCCGCTGCTCCCGTCATAAAATACCCGATACCGTACCATTTTCCCCGGCCTGGAATTGAACCACTCGTATGTACATTATTATGCCATTGTTACCCCATCTATAAGATTAGAAAAGACTCCACCTCGGTCGACTCCCTCCGAGGAAACAAGATGGTGAATGCCGCTGCCGCACAGATGGTAAATTATCCACCCACAGAAACCGACTCACTCGGGATTGACTACTCCATCATTGACCCAGGCCAAAGATGGCGAATGCTCAAGTCCCAAAAGCGGCTCCTCCTTTGGTGTCGGTGCACACAACCACTTCTACAAGAAAGAAAGATACTGAATAAATCTCTCCACCAGGCCTCTGGGTATCCAGCGGCGTCATCATGCAAGGCTTCGATATCGTCGCAGGAAGCCAACTAGCCGTCCTCCCGGAATTCCAGAAGCAATTTGGACACCCCCAGCCAGACGGCTCCTACATTATCCCAGCTCGCTATCTCTCCGCGTGGAATTCAATTGCCCCGGCGTGCGAGATAGCGTCCACTTTCATCTACGCCCCGTTACTGGAGAGATATGGCCGTCGGCCGGGTATCTTGGTTGCATCTGCCATTTCTGCCGGTGGGGTGCTTCTGCAGCAGTTGGCAACGGATTGGCGGGTTCATATGGCGGGTCGAGGCGTCAATGGTTTTATTTGATCTCTGTCTAGTGATGTCTTCGCTAGCGAATACTGATGTGATGATGCAGGTATTGCGATTGGTATGATGTTTACTATCTCGCCGTTGTGGATTGGGGAAACGTGTCGGCCAGAGCTGAGGGGGTTTTTTCTGTGCTTCTTTAATACGAGTATTGTTTTTGGGCAGCTTGCTATGTTGGTGTCTTGTTTGACCTGGTCTTTGAATCGGTTGCTAATCCATGTGTGTAGTGTAGCCTTGGCGAGAGGAAGCAGCTATATCACTGGCAAATGGCGAGTATTGAGAATATATTCCAAAATGGCCCAGAGCTCTTGACTAACATGGTATTTCAACAGGCAATGGTGGCTTCCAGTGGTAGGGATGTACATCTTTCCAGGTAACCCCGCATCAACCCTTTACTGAATTTGTATTCACGGTCTTACTTTGCCATCGCCTAGTAATTCTCACCTCCGGGTGGCTATTCTTCCCCGAATCTCCCTACTGGCTTGTCCGTCACGGAAAGACCACCCAAGCCCGAGGGTCTCTGCAACGCGTATACGGCATCAAGAACGAGATCTTTTACACCATCGAAGTCCGGCGCATGGAATCAGAAACCCTCCAAGCCTTCTCCATCCAGGGAAGTGTCTCCCAGAACTCCCGCCATAGCTTCCTAGGCCTCGATCTCTCCAGCGAAGTCGAGTGCTTCAACCGCCTAAACCGCAAACGCACTCTAACCGCCATCTTGGCAGCCAGTGGACAACAGATGATCGGTGCGACATTTGTCGTCGGCCACGCGACGTACTTCCTCGACCTGATCGGGGTCAAGGATTACTTCGATGCTTCTATTGTGTTGTATGTGCTCATGCTGTTAGCAAGTATGGGCGCGTTCCCGCTGTCTGAGATCGTCGGGCGACGCACGATGATTGTAATCCCCCAAACCGTGCTGTGCTGCGTCCTCCTCTTAATTGGGATCCTGGGGTGCGTTCCCAACCAAGAAAAAGCAAGCTGGGCGATCATCGTCTTCATCTATATCTGGTCGATTATTTACCAGCTGTCCATCGGCGCCGTTGGGTTTGTGCTCGCCTCTGAGATTGCCACGGTACGGTTGCGCAGTGCGACGCAGGGCCTTGTTACCATCACCAATGCGGCCTGGGCGCTTATTATGCAGTTCACAATTCCTTACATGGTGAGCTCTATCCGCCTCAACCGGTGTTCATTATGTACTTATGTGGCGAATTCTTCTGTGTACAGATCAACCCCGATGCAGGTAATCTGGGCGGGAAGGTTGGATTTATCTTCCTCGGGACTGGCTTTTTTGCTGCCATCGGAGGATGGTTTCTGTATCCGGAAACAAAAGTAGGTGGGACTGATACCCGAAGCAGGGGAAACAACTGACTGACGGCGTCGCACAGGGAATCTCTTTTGAGACCATGGACGAACTCTATGCCAGCGGGACTGCGCCCCGACATTTTCGGGCAGTGAGTGGGCAGATGAGGGGCTGTACTCCAGAATCCAAGCGGGAGCCTCCGGTTCTGCCCTGAACTGGTGCCATCTCACCATCTCACCATCTCATATCTATTTTAGGAGTATTTTTATCGAGGCAAAGAAATTCGTAAAGCTATCTCCTTGCTTAGGACAAGTAATATCACCTTCCAACCCATTGTGAAATGCATGCGGCGTTCGACCACATATCCCGTTCGTTGTTTAGCTAGTAATAGTTGCTTACACAAGAGACGGTCGTTTAGCAGTTTATTAAGCCATCCTCAAGAATATATATCCCCGAATACATTCGTCCTAAAACTACCATCTTGAATTCCTCGACTCAAATCTCTGCTACACTATGACTTGCATACTACCAATACTTCCACCAGGACTCCTCCTCCACCTTCACATTTACTCAAGCAGAACCATCAGCACGGAGCTCAACCTCGTGATGCTCCCCAGTAGCCTCCTGTGGCTCGGCCTTCTCCCTCATCTGAACAAACGTAATGCTCGGCTTCCAACCCACACTAGCACGGGCACTCGGCACCTCATTATACAGCTCATCGACCTCTTCCAAAGTCAGCCCTTTGGTCTCGTAGATCATAAAGTACACGAAGCCAATGCAGATAAAGCAGCACCCGAACCAGATGAAGAAGATCTTCGACTGCAGGTTCGCGTTGCCGTCACCGTAGTTGACAAGGTACGGGGTTGCGAAGCTCAGCGCCCAGTTCACCAGCCAGTTTGTGGCGGTCGTCATGGAGAGAGACTTTGCGCGGGTTTTAAGAGGGAAGATCTCGCCGGTGACAACCCTATTTTTTTAAGGAAATTTATTAGTAACCAAAAAGGAAAGCAGGGAAAATACAGAAAGCAAAGAAAAGACGTACCAGGCGATTGGGCCCCACGAGGCAGCGAAGAAGAAGATAAAGATGCAAATAAACGCAATGGCCGCTTGCTGGGCCGCAGTATTGTGGACGATGATAGTCCCCTGACTATCTTGGCCCGTTGTAGTAGTCCCCACAACGGCAACAATCAACTGCGAGACAGCCATCCCAACCGCACCGAGGAGCAGGACAGGGCGCCGCCCCCATTTGTCAATCGCGTAGAGTCCCGGAACCGTAGATCCCACGTTGACGCAGTTGATAATTAGGGTAATGATAAACTCATTCTTGAACCCGGAGTTTTTGAAGAACTGTGTCCCATAGTAGATGATGAAATTGATCCCGCTTAGCTGTTGCAGCCCTTGCAGGCAACAACCTGTGACAAGGCGTTTCAGCAGATTGCCCCGGAAGCAGTCGATGTATCCGGACTCGCCAAAGCTAACCTCGTACTGGTGATTTGCCTGGATCTCGGCGAGTTCCTGACGTACAGCTTCGTGGTCTTCGGGGAGGCGACGGAGTTTCGAGAGGCTGCGTGCTGCGGCTTTGATGTTGTCTCGCTTGACTAGATAGCGTGGGGTCTCGGGGAGGATGAGCATGCCTACAACGAGGATGATAGACCAGGCAAACTGGACGGCGATGGGGATGCGGTAGGAGCCGGAGTTGTTGTGGTTGTGCGTTGCATTGTTGATTACTGATGCTATAAGGAGGCCGACGGTGATGGCGAATTGGTATGAGCCGACGATGAAGCCTCGAATCCATTTAGGTGCTGTCTCGGACTGGTAGAGAGGGACTGTTGGGCGACACCATAACTGTCAATACCTTGATAGAAGAAAGAAATCAAATGGGAAGGGAAAAATCATACCCAGCGTAGAAATTAGGCCAACCCCTAAGCCAGCAAAGAACCTCCCGGCAAGAAAGAGCGGAATGTGGGTTGCGATTGTCTGCAGGATCACCCCTAGGACAAACACAGTGTTGGACGCAACTAGACCCAAGCGGCGACCAAGAATGTCACCCAAAGGAGCGGCAGCAAGGGCTCCGAAGAAGGTCCCCGCTGAGAGTATAGAGACAATGGCAGAGGACTGGCTGGACGTAACGTTCAGTTGGCCAGTGTTGTCCCTGTATCCCGTGGAGAACGTGCGAGCCCAATATGGCATGGCGAGGATGCCACTGATGGTGCCAGTATCATAGCTAGAAAAACACGCCCCAGGTCAGAGAGAGCTTCCACAAGATAGATATTTCAATCCTCCCCCATGGCAAGTTCTAGCACTCACCCATACAGGATCCCCCCGAATGCAACAAAACCACTTATGACGATGGCAGGCCAGGCCTTGCCCTCGGTTCTTTCGGGCTGTTTGAGGGAGAAGCCCATGGTAAAGATTTAACAGCACACTTTCAAGGCAAGGAACCGTAAAGATGCTTTGAATTGGTGGTTGATAACCCCCAGGAGTCGAGGAGAGAGCGCTTGTATTGGTATTTATAACACGCGGGCACGTCCCTTTCGCGGAGAGCCCCCCCCATGTTTATTTTTTATTTCTCCGTACCAAGCCAGGCATCGGCCGGCGAGGAGAGATGCGCCCGATCCCGATGCCCGAATTCCTCCGGCGTCTGATCGCAAACATGATATCGCGGAGTTGTGGGGATTTCTCCGCGATGTCTCAGCCGAGCACCATCAGCTAAGCGTTGTCTGACTGCAGCAATAATACCAATCACTTAAGAGGGAGTGGAGACTGCTAGTGAGTATTAATTTTACACCGTTGACGCATTGGTCACTTGCATCGCCACCGCGTGAGACTAGCCCTGACCCCCGAAGACTTTACAGTTGACACGGCAAGACGGGCGGTGGATACAAACAAATGATATTAACCACGAATACCTCTAGGTTTGCATGGGTTATATGGCTAGCTTCTAAATCACCGACACGTTGCTTTGCAAGACCCTGTCGTTCAATATCACACTCATTTCCCCAAGCGAGAGGCTCACGTCCGCCACATTTGCAAATATTTCAACAGCCAATCCGAGACCTCGGGCAACCCCCGGAAGGACTGCCACTTCAGATAGACACGGTTCCTCTAGCGCTACCAATGTAGCCATCGAAATGGTAAACACACTACATCCCCAAAACAGGTCAGCCTGTCCTTCCGGTCCGAATAGGATGATACGGACACCAAGCTCACCTCGCATACAAAGTCCAGACATTCGGTTTGCATATCGTTACAGCGGCGGCAGCACTGGCGGAAAACTCAGCATAGCTAGTAAAGAACTTACTGCAGTGGAGACGGAGGTCGTCGTTTACCTCCCTTGCATTGACTGCTTCATAGACCGCAGGCCAGTAAATCGACGCCTTGAACGCATAGTACTGCGTGCGCAGGAACTCGCTCCTCGCTGAGTTCCGCCACGAGGTGCCGATGTATGAACTTGAAGAGACGAATGACAACGGTTCTGGCAGCATCCGCAGCCACTCATCTACTTGACGCTCCAGCTCGGCAGCGACAATGGGCGCGTAGACGTGGCTGCCCTGGGACAGGGTGCTGATCGACCAGGTGCAACACCGTAGCATTTTGCGCATAGCGATCTCCGCAGAGAAGTAATATAGATCGCTATCGCTGTCACTTGTACTATCTATACTATTGTGAGACTCAAAATGTCGTGGTTGGTTCCAGGTCCAGGTTGTCGAGATTGCTAGGCTGGGGGTGTATGAAGCCATGCTCCAGATTCCACTGTCGACGAGGTCCAGTTGGACCCTGATTTCGCTATAAAGTGGTTAGCTTCCGGCAGGTGAGTGACTGGCCGTGACTTTCTATTTTCTCAATAGACGATGGCACAGCTGAGGAGAGGTGAAACCTTTCAATCAACAAGGCTGACCAGAAGCAGTTGTGGAAGATTGATGCTTCTGTAGTATCATTATTGGTGCCTAATTCACTGTGACACCCCATGTTTAGCAGTCATCCCCGTTTCTATCCTACGGTGCATTCGCTTACTTTATCAAATAGTTCTGGAGTCTATACGACGCCATCACCACATATTCGTGCCCCTGACATGGCCGCGCACAACATAGGTGGTATATACTGAATAAGAGCAGGCACTGCGCGCTGCGCAGACTATTCTCTGCGAAGACACATGGAAGCATTTCCATGGCCGCTTGGATGTATGTCGCCTCCGGGCGTCTCCGCACGGCATCCATGATGGTTTCGCACTTCGCCACACACCCAATAGCTAAGATAAGAAGGGTGAGGCAGGACCCCGTTGAGGGCGGCAAATAGGAGGTTATCGCCTGGACGAACTCTTCGGTGTACTCAGCATGCAGAACCGGGTACCAGATGTAGATTTGCTCCATAAATGTGCCGAGAAGGCTAATTGGAGAAAAAGCTGATGTTAGACTCGTTCTGCTCTCTGGAGTGACTGCTTTGCTTTGACTTACAGTAACGCGTGTTGGAGATCGATCATCACAGTGGGGGCTCTGGGCGACTGAGGAGATATTTCTAGTTTTCCGCGCTCCAGGCCTTCAAGTAACACGGGTAGGGGTTGCTCCAGGCTAAGGAGGTTCATGAATGCTGTGTTCTGGATTACCATAATTGGAAAGCCGAGAGACGCATCACGACCTGTTAAAGAACCAGATAACTGCTGCGCCTTGGGCGAAGGACAACTTTTAGGAGACTGGCCATGTACTACTGCTGTAATGTGCTCCAGCTTCTCCCATATCCTCAATAGCTCCAAGTCTTGGCTAGGATACGGTTAGAAACAATATAAGTATCGTAGCTCATGGTGAGGTATTCCACTAACGGAGAGGGTGCAAGGTCTTGGGGGTCCTCGTAGAAGCAGTCCTTTCTACGCTCAACGCAGAAAGAACACTTGGGTCGCTGCCCGTCACACTTCGTCCGTCGTGCTCGACATATATTACATGCCAGCGCGCTGCGCCGTCTCCGGCTGTCCTGGTCCATATTCATTGTCTGCCTTGCTGGCGTGGATGCCTCAGGGGTGAGTACATTCCATAGTAAAATGGTCTGGCGAGATTATGGCAATTGCTGTGCTGATTAAAACCATACTATGGTTCCAGGTTTAAATTATAATTGATGCCAGCGCGTCTTTCTAGGTCCCTGATTGGGTCGGAGAACTCCACCAGTGTAATTTGGCTCCCTCTTTGTATACGTTACAATATGTGCACCGCCCCGTGATATTATGCTTCCAGAACACACAAAGAACATCTCTATCTCATCAAAGCGGGAGAAAAAGCGGGAAGGGGTAAGCATAGCCATCAAATGAGCGTTCAGGTCGTCTCTTACGCTAGGTAGGGCATCAGTCGGGCAATCCCTCGTCTTGCCGAGTGGCTACTATGGGCAGCCACTGCAACCTTGAAGCCCCTGATAGTACGCCGCCACGGAAGCGGGGTAGGCTCATTGTGATGTTATGTGACAGTTGACCGTCGGATCTAAAAGTCCTTTTCTCAGGTGGTTGGCGAGTGGGCAGATATCAGTAGTCCTATCTCGGATGCCCTGGATGCCCCGGAGAGGAGGGGTCCGAATGATTACTCGTGGACTGTGGACCGTGGATGTGGGACACCAATCATCCTCTAGATTGCATGATGTGATTGCGTGCATGCAGAGTTGAGCCCTTTAGTCGCCCGCCCCCGCATTAGCGTTTAATTAGTGTCCAATGAGCTGTACTTTCTAGAAAGAAGGGCTTACCTTAGGGGATCATTCCCGGTTGATGGATAAGAGCCTGAGCGCAAATTGCGACGCCCGGGCCGAAATGCATACGTTGAGTCCTCGGCAACTCTTCGGCGGAGACCAGCGAGGGAAGGTACATTTTATGGATATTACGCAATCCTCTCTCGTATATTATGGGGTTTAACTATCCCGATATCCACTTGGTCGCAATTCAAAGCAAATAATTTTTCTTCATTCAATATGTACAGCGCTGACAGAGTATTTGAAGGAAATATTATCGTCGGCATTGGGCGGAGCTCGCTCATCTTTGAAAGTGGGGTGACTCCTAAAGTCTACTGTGTGCTGACCTATTGTGTGCATTCCATTCCGTGCGAGCCATCCAGTACTGAGCTTATCAAGTGCGGTCTTGAAGTCATCCAGAATAATAGTGTCACAGAGGCATTTGAACATGAAGCATAGCTAAAAATTTGGATCGCTTGTTAAGTTCCGGCCTTGAGAGCAATGAGAAGATGACACACAGGGGCTCACCTTCCAGAAAGGGTTGATTCCAGTGGGCATTGCCGCGCTAAGTACGCCGGTAACGCTGAGAACGTCGGCAACACTGAACAGGATAGAAAGGCACATTGAGCCCAGCATGAGGCCGAAACGGGGGCATTCGCGCACGAGCTCAATGAGTCCGAAGTTGTAATGTATTTTTACCACCCAGAAGAGATTACAGGTTGTGTAAATCCACCAGGGGTCTCTGAGAATGCGGTATAAGCCAGTGAGAAAAGGTCACGAATCAAAACGATATTGCAACAATGGAACGGTACTCTACCGGAACAGTGCTTCCCATGGACGGATCTTTTCGTACGCAACAAGACTGATATTGTTAAAGTAGGTGAAGTTGGCGTATATCTCGACCGCCCAGTAGGGCTGGGCCAGGACAATCGTGCCGATATAGAAGAGAGACAGTTTACGGCCCATGAATGGCCGATTCTTCATCCACGCAATCACATTGTGCAGGGACCAAGATATAATCAATCCGATTGCGGTTGAGGCCAGGTACCATCCATATACAGGGTCTGGGGCAAATATAAAGGTTCCGTGAGCGGTGGCCAAGACCAACTATTACAGAAGGTCGCCGGTTAACAGGTACTACTCAGATTGATACTACCGGGAGTTACCTCTAGTAAAATCAGCTTGTGCAGCAAGACGCCCCGCCGCATGTTTGCAAATGTGACCGCCGCCATGATGACTAGTGAGCCCGTCATGAGGCCCTGGGACCAGGCTTCCAGGACCAACGCAGCAGGGTCATCCTCTGGACGTTGAATAGTTCTCCTCGACAGGGTCAGAAAGCCCGGCCAGGCAATATTCGGAGCTCGCATAATGAAGTCTCGGTAATACTCTACCAGACGGAAGAACAAAAGAGGTAACATAGGGAGGCGCAAGAACGCTTCCCCATGAGCATTGGAATCTATATGTAGGGCTCCACAGCCTCTTAGGCGGGGAAAGGGGGTCAAAACCCCGCATTTCAGGACTATGGGGAATATGGAGATCGTTGAAAGAAATTACTTCGAACAAATCTCTCGAATGGTGCTACCCCGGGGAACCAGAAACTTAGACATGTCGCACCGTCCGTGGGTAGTGGATAGGGCACAGATGGCTTCGCGGAGAGGGAGGAGCTTCCCCGCGGTTGGTGCTTGAGAGACCTGTGATTGGCTTGTTTTGTCATAGGTGGAGCGGGTTCGAGCTCTGGGATACTTGTAGGACGAAATACAAGCCATTTTACTACTAGACCATAACAAAAACGAAGGTTCCTGTTTAAGGCCTAGTAACGCCTAGAGGGGCCATATGCCGAGTTCGACAATACTCATAAAAACCTTCGGGATAGTTAACTATCTCTCATCTCTCAGGTCTAGGAACAGAGGGATACCCGAAATTACCTGATTATAGTATAAGTGAAATTCCCGGTATCCCCGAGATTTTTTCTGAGTATCCCCGAGCTGGAAACCGACTCGCATCCGATAGGGGCATCATTTATAGTACGAAAGTGCTATTGTCTTCCCCCGTGACAATAATTGTTAACCAGCTAATTAAACCGCATTTGATAGTCAACAGTAAGAGCACCGAACCCGTTGGTCAACAACCTACAAGTATATCCGCGGGTTCAAATATGCTTGTCGTCCCTCTGGAATGTAGTTATCTAGCTGGAACACGATGACAGTTGTACCCACTCGGCATAAAGCGACACTGCCAGACCTTTGAAATCCCCAGATCATATACGGTGCTATGGAAATGCTCCCATATAAGCCTGCAGTTTTAGTCTGCGACCACTGTCGCCTGCGCAGGACGCGATGTGACCGAGCCAGACCTCAGTGTTCATTCTGTGCCTCACAAGGCGTGCAGTGTGTATATGAGCAGCCTCCTGATTCCCAACCACCACAGCAAGTCCTTCCTCTCCTGATGGCCTTGCATTGGCTAACGTACATTTTAGACTGGTACAGGAGCTTATGAACATCCGAGAAAGACTGGAGTATATCACCCCACTGGTGGAGTCGCCATCGCATCACTTCACGTCATATGACAATATCACACGCCTTCCGCTTCTACGGGGTTGTCCTCCCCTTGTGATCAAGTCTGCTCATATCATGCAGATTTTTGGTTTACCGTCGGATCTAGCATGTGTTTTTTACCGACTTGAGCGTTACTCTGCACAGAGATCCGAGTATTCGACTGAGCGTCGGCCTATCGATTCTGCTGATCTGTCAGTGTGATATGAATGAGCAAACAGATTGATGTATACTGACCACTACTAGTATCCTCCACAGGTTTCACGCTCACACGCATCGGTGGTATCCTGTTCTCCATCCAGATTTCACCCTTCACTTTCGCGAGTCAAGTGCTGCTGGTTTCCCCCCCTCTACAATGTCTTGCTGTTCACTCCTTGTCGCGTCACTTGCACATATAAGCCATTCTCATACCCAATCCTCACACTTCGAGGCCGCTTTGTCCATGCTCCCAGTAGTACTTCAGGAATACAGCGTGACAAGCATCCAGTGCTTAGTCCTTTTCAGTCTATACTCTGCATGCCTAATCCAGCCAAGACAAGCGCATGATTATATACAAAGTGCGTTCCTAAAGATTCAACCATTTTTCAAAAGGTACACTTTTGTTTGGAACCCCTACCGCGTCATTGCTTGCAAGCTGCCCTGGCATTATCTAACGGAATGAAGGACTCTTTGCGGCCAAAGCTCTCCCGAATCACAGATTATCAGGCGCTTATATTGGATAATTCACATGATAGAAAGGTTGGCCAAGCTGACCCGACTCCCTTCGAAAACCCTAACAATGATATAGCGAGCTCTCTATGCACCTAAGTCTAGTGTCTATAGGTGGAACCATGCGTGGCCACTTGGATACGACACCCTTGCCGACATACACGTATCTTTGGGATCGGTTCGACGATTCGCATTCACCCTCCGGACTATCCTCATCCGACGGCTCACACATAGGTGAAGCTAACTTGCCAACGGAAACGCCTTTCCATTTTGCCACGGAAATACAACTACAAACAATGCTAAACAAGTATACCAGTTCCGCAATGGATGAGTTGAGCACCAGTGGGGAATTTCCAGATCCCAACCACCATCCAGGGCCCGGCCCAAACATGCTATGCTCAAGTATTGCACAGGACTCGCCCTCTCAACCGTCCTGTCAGCACATCGATGGTGCCATGTGCCGAGCTAAGTTTCACTTGTATGAAGTGTCAACCTACTGGCCGGTGATATACCGCATCATCACTAATGGTTCTGCGCACCCCGAGCTGCTACCCTACGCGCCACGGTTCTTTCAATCAGTGACAAACCTTCTCGGTTCAGCCAACCTCGCCCTGCAAGTATGTCTGCCGAAAACCTGGTTTCTATGTGGGAGGTATGTTCTGCGAGTTGCCGTTACTTTTTTTTCCTGTCGCGGGACCGTACTTATGCACCGCGGTTAGTATATACATAGTATGCATTGCCGCAATTAGGGCCTTGGAAGTGCGTTGTCTTCGGTTGCTCTGCCAACCACAGTTCTGGGAACATATTGACGCAGCGGTTCATGCTCTGCACCGGCCGAGTATGCTGAGTCCGTCTGTGCAGTATATGCGGGAGTCACTGACGGCCCGATTGGAGGGGGCTAAGATTCGACATTGTCAATAACTCTGTGGGCATTACTTGCTTGTTCTTCCGCTGCGAGTCGTAGTGAAACTGTCCTATCCTTGATTCTTTTATAAGTCTGCACTTAGTGTTTCCAGGGCTCAACCTATCAGAGGAGAAAGCTACTGCAAGAAATGGAAATATCAACAGTTGTATTATTGATGGACTTTGGAGAAGGAAAAGAGAGGAGAGAAACTATGGGGGCATCTACTCCCTAGTCGCTGCATGAGGCCACAGAATAATGCAAACTCTGCCAACTGATAGACCGGAATCTGACCCACGCACGCTCCCCCGGCAGACTCCTCCTGTAGACTATCTGATGCAAACTTTGTGGGATCTCTAAAGACTACAGAAGGCGTCAACTCCTTCGGAAATGATGAGGTGAAATGTTTATCCGATGAAATGGTTTCAATGGGGAGGATGATGATATTCCTAAAACTACAATACATGGGCCGCGTAGGTCACCGCATGACTTCCCCCCATCTCCTATGCCTCTGGCAATTCTTCGTAATTTCCCTTGACACCAACCATTCGGGACGACCGTCGATCATATAACATATCACATGACACAACTCTAGCCCAACCCCTATCCTAATCCGGTTTAACTGATATAAGATCCTACTGCCACGTAGAACGCACTTCCTTCACCCTCAGTGTAACATTGCTCGTTGCACCGCCAGTAGAGAACAGTCGACCGTACACAGCCTCAGCAGAAGGGAAAATCTGACTGGTGATTGTGGCTTCACCCTGTCCCCCAAAGACCTCAACGCTTGACCAGTCCACATAGACTCTCAAGGAAACAGATCCGTTTGCCGAAGGAGACAAAGGGGCGGAGTATGTAGCCGCAAAGGTGGCATCAAAGGACACGTCTCCTGACTTTGACCGGTCAATGAAAACTTCCTGGGTGTCGAAATCATAGCCGACTCGTGTTTGCTGGGTATAGTCCTTGGTTGCGGCGACAACAATTCCAAACTCGGAACTGTTACCTGAAAGAGACGGGCGTCTGTTGGAGAATGTCAAATCAATCTGCAGCGCTTTTCCGATACGGCCGAGCTCGCGCACACCATCCACGCGACGGAAAGTGGATGCATTACCGCCGCTCGTAATTGATTTCCATTTTCCCGCTGGCTCCTGCACCAATGTGGCCTTGCCACCGATTGTCTTTAGAGCAAGGTGCCGGGGAATAGTCATCGCACTGCGCCAGGGGTCTGTCGGTATGTTACCTCCATACTGCCAATTGTTCATCCACGCGATAACCGTTCGCTCATCTTGAGAGAGACCATTCCACCCGAGCGCCGCGTAAAAGTCTGGGCCCCAATCGAGCCAATTTGCGATCTGGCTGTTGGCGCGCGTGTTGGAGAAAGAAATCTCGTCAACATTAATATGGCCCCATCCTCCAGTGGCGTTGTCGATAATCTCGATAGTACCGCTCTTCCCCTGGAGGGCTCTTACGTCCCAGCTTTTCCACGAAAGCGTTTCACTGTCGGACCCGGCGGAGGTACGAACAACCTGCCCCTTGACCTTCAGCTGGATTGCGGTTTTGTTGGCATTGCTCCCTCCTCCGACGAGGAAGTTAATGTACTTCTGTGAGATGTCGAAGGGCTTAGATGTGAGAGTGCCAGTTGTGGCATCGCCGTTCAGGAATGTGTTCAGAAGCTGCTTTCCTTTGAATCCGGTTACTGTGTTCTGTCCGTCGAGGGTGCCTTTTGCCGGGGAAGCGCCGACAAAATCACCGGTAGTTATCCAGCCGCGAGCAGCAAGGGTCTTGTCGCCTTCGAAGTCCTCAAAGATGACGCCATCAGTGGGTCCACTCCCGTCATAGACACTGTCGCTGTCTGCGGTAAACGTGGTGCCGTTGAAATTCCCCACGATATACTGTGTGCCGGACCCTACCGTTCCAGGAGGGCCCCCAGGGTTTAGACCAAGCATGAGAACCCATTTCTCAGACTCTCCACCGTTGAGAGGTAGTGGGAAGATACTTGGACATTCCCAGACACCACCAACAGCATTGGCTGGGCCAAACTCACTGGCCAAGTCCCATTTCTTGAGGTCGTGTGATGTGTAGATAAGAACCTTGTGCAGTTTCGCAAGGCTAATAACTGCCACCCATCGCTCAGTATCCTCGTGCCAGAAGACACTGGGATCCCGGAACTCCGGGAACTGATCTTGGTATGGAGCAGGAGGGTCCAGAATCACGGGGTTAGCAGCGTCGTATGTGGTCCATGTCATCCCTTTGTCGAGGGAATATGCTATAGACTGGGCCTGCTGGTTTGTGCGCACGTGTTTCCCACTCGGCAGTGTCTGCTCCATTGGATACTACAGTTGCGTTAGAATCATTCCATAAAGATTCGATGTTTCGGGTGTAATTTCAAATCACGGCACTTACATAGGACGTATACATAGCAACCCAGGGTGCCTTTCCCTGGCGACCAAACCCACTAGTATTCCTCTCGTCGACAATAGCCGTCCCAGAGAAGTACATTTCGGTGATATTGTTCGGGAACCCCCTCGCCTCAAGAGCAACAGGCTGTTCAGTCCAATGCAGTAAGTCCTTGCTTGTTGCATGGCCCCAAGACATTGCGCCCCATGTATCACCACCAGGGTTATACTGGAAAAAGAGGTGATAAACACCATCAGCATGTATGAGACCATTGGGATCATTCAACCAATTTTTCTCAGCGCTGAAGTGGAATTGGGGACGATAAGGTTCCGTGTAGGCCTTGCTAGATCTGTCTGCAGAAACTCCGAAGGCCAACGCCCCCAAGAAAAAGGCCGTACCAAGCTTCATGGTTGCCGGCTTTGGAGGTCGCGAGTAATATGCAGATGGAGAAGAATGAGCGTGAGTTGTAGCGGTTTCCAGTCCGGGTGGTCCTCGGGTTATATAGGCCCCAGGAAGCAACAGTCTCACCGGGCGCGGATTTATGAGCATTGAAACATGAGGAAGTAGAGTTTAATCTAAACGACTTTCGCGGAGAGACGAAGTGGTAGCCGAAGCCCTCTTGCTCGCAGTCTCAACAACTGGAGGGTTCCAGCAGCCCCGTATTCCCCGCAGTGGGGCGTCGGGGTGATGAATTGATGAATCATCACTTAGGGTAAAATGGAGTCTCCGTATTTGTGGGGTCTCCGGATATCTAGGGGTACCTGCTTTTTTCGATCAGGGGAGCCCTCGCGGAACATGTCATGCTCTCCGCGAAGTGGAGCGGATGCGTCTCAGATCCGCAGATTCCGGCACCAAGAATGTTGACATTGTAGATCTCTATTTCCTCTGCAGAAATTCACTTGCAATTCCTGAAGAATGAGGTAACTTTCTGTATAAGGTGATCGGGCGTAAATACCTCATACATTGTGATTATATGATGGTGTGTTGTGGAGGAATTGGAAAGGTATATATAGCCCGAATACTCGACAGCAGATCAAGTGCAACAGACAAATCAATCCTTTCTTCTTTTCTAAATCAGTTACAGCAATATCATTGTCAAGATGATCGTTTCGACCCTGCTACTTCTTGCTACCCAGGCTTTAGCCGACGACTATCGCCCACTGTTCCATTTCGTCCCGGAAAAGAACTGGATGAACGAGCCCAACGGCCTCATCAAGATCGACTCGGTCTGGCATCTGTTCTACCAGCATAACCCAACCGCCAATGTTTGGGGAAACCTGAATTGGGGTCACGCAACCAGCACCGACCTTCTCCAGTGGACCCATGAGCCCATCGCGATAACAAGCGAGAACGGTGTCCAGGCATTCACCGGGACCAGTTACTACGATTCTGAAAATACATCAGGGTTGGGCACCTCTCAGAGTCCGCCCTATCTGGCTTGGTTCACGGGATACTTCCCGTCGAATGGCACACAAGACCAACGCATTGCCTATAGTGTGGATGAGGGCGTGACTTGGACAAAGTTCGCTGGTAACCCTATTATCTCAGCGGCGCAGGAAGCACCCCATGATATTACTGGGGGACTGGAGACACGCGATCCTAAGGTCTTTTTCCACAAGGCATCTGGGAAGTGGGTGATGATTCTTGCCCACGGTGGGCAGGATAAAGTCACTTTCTGGACTTCTACCAATGCCAAGGACTGGACGTGGGTGAGCAATCTTGGAACAGCCCAGGTATCAGGTTTGCCGTCAAGTATCACCGGCTGGGAGGTGCCGGATATGTTCCAGCTACCTATTGAAGGCACCGATGAGACTACCTGGGTATTGATTTTGACTCCAGCACAGGGGTCTCCAGCTGGTGGGAATGGTGTCTTCGCGCTGACAGGTTCATTTGATGGCGAGACCTTTAAACCGGATCCTGTGGACACTGCCAGTCTATGGCTTGACTATGGGCGTGATTTCGACGGCGCGATGAGCTGGGAGAATGTGCCTGGATCGGATGGGCGACGGATCCTCGCGGCCGTCTCAAACAGCTACGGAGCCAGTCCACCAACCAATACCTGGAAAGGAATGCTCTCATTCCCTCGGACTCTGGCACTTCAACAGACAGGTTCTGTGCGATCTTTTATTCAGTGGCCTGTCAGTGAACTTCTGACTGCAGGCTCTGCTCTAACAACTATTCAAAACCAGACCATTACCCCAGACCAGGTCCTTCTCTCATCTGTTGTTGGAACCGCATTGGATATCGAGCTTGCATTCGCCCCACAACCAGGCACAGTTTTGTCGTTGGCAGTTCGAAAGGCCGGGTCACAGCAAACCGTTATCCAGTACAAACAGTCCACTGCCACACTGTCAGTTGACCGAACAGCCAGTGGGAATACCTCCTACGATCCTGCAGCAGGCGGTGTTCATAGCGTTTCTCTGAAGCCCGATGCCTCGGGGGTGGTCCGAATCAGAGTACTGGTTGATACTTGCTCGGTGGAAGTCTTTGGAGGGAAAGGGGAGGTTGTTATTTCCGACCTAATCTTTCCAGACGAGACAGCAGATGGCCTATCTCTGCAGGTAAGCGGAGGGTCCGCCATGCTACGGAGTGTAGTGGTGCGGAAGGTCTCTCTGGAGTAGGTTACTGGGGTTAAAGAGCACCGGGATCACAGCACCTTTCACGGGCGGTTTCATGATAGCACATCTCCCAGAGCTTTGGAACCACTGTATTTAACTACCTCTGCTGATTTCTATGCTTTCATTCGTCGACAAGTGGTGTGGCCGTTGGAGGAGGATAAGGCTCGTCTATCATATTGATAAACAAATCAACACACTGAGAGCGTGTTATAGTTGCAGAGGTTACCCCTCAAAGTAAGCGTGTAGAAGAGCAGCGAATTATCGTAGTCATGTTTTGTATAGCATCAAAGGACGCTTGCTGAAATAACATGTTTGGTCATTTTAGTCATACATAGACCTCCACAGAGCCCACCAAGCCCAAAGCCCAACCCGGGCCCACCGATGGGCTGTGGGCCCGGGGTAGAAAGCCCAGTGGGCTTTTAATGGGGCCCCAATAGGGCCCAATAGGCACTAAACAATACAAACATACAAAGTTGAACCCCCTTTTTAGTTTTTTTTTTTTAATTAACTACATTTAGTACCGTTTCTCACTATTATACCTAAGGTAATATTTTATTAATTTAAATAATTCAGAATCAATTACTACTTATATTTCTATACTACGTTAAAAACGCGTAATTTAATCTTTGGTTTGGAACGTTTCTTTATTAACACTGTCGCGGGAGTTGAGTCTTATCGAGGCCGCCAACACTGGCGGTACGTGGCTATCTCGGCTTCTAACCAAGAAGCACTGATGAGACGAAGAAGTTTATGTAATTCATAGCCTTCGTTGCACCTTGAATACTGAGGGGTGTAAATCTACAAATTTATTAGCTCAGCTGATTTGTCTATTTCTTTGAACAGCAAGACAAATTGGATCTATAGAATTTCTTGTTCCAATAGGTCCATGCTTGATATTCATGCAAGTTATATTTTTGATCCTGTGAAAAGAACTATACCTCGACAAACGCACCACTTAAGAGCCACTGAACCTCGGACATATATGTTATTTAAGCTGGTATAAGAAACAATTCGAATCACGACCCAAAAACCCAGACAAAAAGGCTTGTACTAACGTATACCCCAGATTGTTGCGTCCGAAGGGAAGCAAAGTCCTCGATGTAGATATAAAGTCGACAGACGATATAAAAAGCACACGTGATTGTAACGGGGATTAGAACTCGAAGAGATATCCTGGCATGTGGATCTTGGTTTGGCAAAGTTGCATGCCACTTCTCGAGAAAGCTTGCAACAATGGGCATATTAAACCATCCTCTTCCAGTTCGTGTAAGAACCTCGTGCCTTTCCTCAATCGAATCCAAATTTTGATGTGAATAAGATATATATGATGATTGCTTCTTGCTTCTGAACATCTCAAACACGTAGTAGAGGAATCCATAAATAGAGAAAGCAGCATGATAGATGGAGAACACTCTCCACATGATTCTTTCTGTGGGTGTAGGGAAATAGAAATCCCATCCTGCAATAAAAATAATGCTGAATATACCTATTACGCAGGAGGTAGGAAACATCCAAACTAGAGATGGACACAGCCATATGTCAGAGGGGAATCGATCCCAAGGTCGAGAACTGATTGGTCTGGAAAAGAGTCGGATATGAAGCATAGCAGAAAGGCGCGTGTAATAGCTCCAGTGGAGATCAATACCAAATTGCTCTGGGCTTAGGTATTCTAAAGGCGTCTGATACCATTGAACAGGTAACATACAGTGGGTCTATCAATAGCTTTAGTAAGTAAGTATTTCTTTATACTCTGATAGCAGGATTACTTACACGCTGCTGCGAAAACTCTCTAATTTGTTGTGTTGTCTGAGAATCTTTGGTAAAAATGAACCGAGGTTGAGTGATAGAGGGTTTATGATACCAGGCGGCAGAAGTAGCAAACATAATGAATGCAAAGGAAGTCGCCGTCAGTTCTAGCGTCGTCATAGGAAGACTTAGGCAGAATCTTTGAATAATGCCCGCAAAAAACCAAAAGGTTTGAAAAACCGTTATCACGCTTGAAAGGTCAGTTTATCGGATCGAGATTGAGTGGCACTTTGAGTGTTTACCGAGATAAAGAATCGACAGAGTTTCGTTCAGATATTTCCATACTTTTCAAGTCTAGCGGCGCAACAAAATTGTGTTTCAACAGATAATGCAGCTGTTGAGCGTTGATAGGAAAGCCTTGAGGGAAATCAGGGCTTTTTAGATGTATGCCTCCAGAATTGACGAAGAAAGCATGCTCCTGTGTCCACTTTGTCTCGCTGATTGTCGGTGGTTCGTCCTTGAATTGCTGGTATTTGATGATGAATGTGAGCGGAAAAAGTTGAGATAAAACATCCAATAATCTCTCGGGGCTATGGCAGTCCACTTACCTTCACACTTTCTTTTGCTTTTGACCACTGACCAAAGGCAATCTCGAATAGAAAATCAGGGCCGAGGAGAGCGATACAGAACAGATTGAGCTTGTCGAGAAACGGATGATACCATTTATCACTTGGTGAACCAACATTGGGGTAAACAGAGACCCAGCAGCAAAGTAGTATCGTTGTGCCACAAGACGATAGGATATCCAGAGTACCTCTATGATCGCCTGATCCAACCCAGCCATAGACTGGAGTATCCGTAACATTGCCCATTGGAAAGAAATTGATTCTTTGGTTCTTTTCTCATATACAAAAAAATTAGCGGATAGAGCAGATGGTTCAACCATATAGCATGGGCGATAGATAGTACTTTTGTTACAGGGGCGGCTACGGAGCCACCCACCACACTTTGCATGGGACGGAAAAGTAGTCAGAAAGTGGAAAA